GAGAGAGAGAGAGAGAGATACCCACCCCATTCCCCCGTCCACCTCTCACTCGTAGGAGCCAGCCTTGCGTATCAAGGCGTCGTCGGCGCCCTCCTCAATCACGGCCTGGCGGCGGGCCTCTTCGAGCAGCTCCTCGGCAGAGCCCGCGAGCAAGATGGGGCTCTCGCAGCCCCTGAGGCCGATGAACATGCCCATCTTGCGGCGCTTCTCCTCGAGCGGCAGGTTGGGGCCCCAGCGGACCGGGCACGGGTACTGGGACGTCCAGTAGCCCGGGGTGCGCTGATGATAAAAGTGGGCGAGCGAGTCGAGCTGCGCGTCCGTCAGGACCCAGAAGTGCAGCAGCGTCCGCGGGAAGGCCGGGTGCACGCGGCCCGTCGTCATCTGCACGAGTGGTGCCAGCGGCATCGCCATCTGCTCCAGCTTCAACGCGAGGGCCGGGTTGCCCGCCGAGCGCCGCGTCGACATGCTGGTGGGTGCGGTGAATGTGGTGGTAGTGGGGGTGGTGGCGGCGGGGGTGGTGGTGCAGGATGTTGCCGGCGAGCTCCAGGATGTTGCCGGTGAGCCCGCCGCCGTCGGGCTGCTCGGGTCCTGGGGCGACTGGGCCTCCACCGGCGACGAGGGCGGGCTGCCGGGCTGCCTTTGATGGCCGGCGGGCTGGCACTGGCGCTTCTGGTTGTGCCCGTGGTACATTGTGAGTGTTTGTGGACCGAGAGTCTTGCGAGAGATTTCTTGTTTTGGCGTCTAGTTGACTTGCACGGGTTTTTGAGCACGATATGGGGGCTCAGGAGAGTGAGAGAACGGAAAAGTTGCGGACAGGTCAGGGAACAAGGTAAGCAAGAGGAAGTGAATCGGACACGAGCGAGGATGGCGCGGCAGTCTAACGAGAGAACAGGAATATGACTATGCGTCTGTCTGAGTGAGTGGCGGGCGTCGTAGAATTCGCTGCCCAGTAGCAACTGTGGCTTGTTGTATGAATGAATGAAAGTAAAGGCGACAGATGGTGCAGAGAGCTGTGTCCGGAAACGATATCCCCCTTTTCCTGAGACGGGACGCGAGGTGATGAGACTGTTCTTGTATGTCACCGACCGGTCCGTCTTTTCTTTGAAGGCTCTGGCAACGGTCTGGCCTCCTTTCACCAGCCAGATCGCATGCCACCTCACTTGTCGCCCATTCTTTGTGGCGGCGAGTTATATTTAGGAAGCACTGACACGGTGGGCCATCACTTTCTTTCAGCCCCTGCCTCCACACACCGCGTGCAGTGTGCCGGTCTCCGTTGACCCAAAAAGACCTGCAGCAGGTTGAACGAGTCCCATCACCCGCCGCTTATTCCACAGGCACGCCAGAGCGCCAGGGGCTTCGAACCGGAGCAAAGGCCGTCAAAAGAATCAGATGTGTTCTAACTTTGGCCACTGCTGTGGCTACATCCACTTGACTTTGGCGATGTGGTCTTCCTTCTTTCTTGTCGGCTGGACAAAGCCCATGCTGCGCAGTTCAGCAAGGCCCCTGTAGAACAGCACCAGTGCCGTGCGCTCGTCGCAACCCTCGGCCGCTCCGCGCTTGTTATCACCACTCTCATCATCCTCGCCAGCGGTGCCGTCGTCGGCAACGACCATGGCGCTGAACGCGGTCCACAGATCCGCCACATTCACCAAAGGCCCGGCTTCCTTGTAGAGGTGGTATAAGATCGATGTGGCCGGCAGTGTCGAGGCAAGCCCGCCGGCAGGCGTGCTGCTGCAGCACGAGCAAGCGAGGTAGTCGTGTGGTCGAGCGAGGGCTCTCTCCAGCGCAGCACCTGGGGCGGGGACGAAGACGTCTCGGTGCGGTGATTCGTCGTCATAGAGCCAGGTCTCATGTAGGAAAACCTCTTCGGGGGCCTCGCACGCCAGGTTTTCCGTCAGCGCGTCTACGAGGGTGTCCACGAGCTTGCTGAACTCCTTGTCATCCTCGCTGAGGGCGGCGGTGTCGCGGCTCAGCTGCACTTTCTGCGCAACCACTGTGGTCCGTAATACCCTGCTCTGCGTGTGGTACTTGCTCCGCAGGCTGGTGCCGTTGGTTTCAACCCTCTGTTGCAGGCTGCGTATACCGTCGAGGACTTGGGCTAGTACGCCACCTAGCCGGTCAGACATCTCTTTGGCAATATCCGACCTTCCCGATCGGCCCCGTATGCTTCTAGGATCACTCTTCCTGGTCTCTAGCCCAATCAGCGATATCATCTTCTCGACAACGACGGCCAGATTGTTGGCCTGCATTCGCCTGATGCCATCGACAACCCCAACAGCCTTGGCCGACAGGTCCAAGCCGTCGGAAACGGAATATGTGTAGAGCGAGGTGAAGGATGTCGATGTCGCCCCGCTGTCCACGAGCAGGCCCAAACACAGGCCCAGCTTCTGCGCCCATTTGCGCCGGTGTCTCAGTTGACTTTGTATCTCGAAGCACATGTAGTTTTCGTCCTCAAGCAGTGCGCGGGCGTGATCCAGACGACCCCCGATTTTGACGCATGACTCTACCTCCGCGCGGAAGGACGCCAAGTGGCGGATGGCGTCGAAGTGCTCCGGTTGAATCAGTTCTCCCCAGTCGGGTGCTCCGTTCTCCTGCTGGCAAGAGAGAAGACTGAGCGGGTTCGCATAGAAGTGGCACATATATGCAAACTTGATCGAGCTGATGAGCATCTGGATGCCGGCGACCTGCTCGCGCTGCCGTACCAGCTGGGTAGCTAGAAAGTCGGGCCCGAGCACGGGGCCGCAGTCGGCGTGCTCAAGGTATGCGCGCAGGATCTTGTCTGTGATGGCCGAGGCGTGTGCCACGTCGAACTGGCAGCCGTAGAGGTGCTGGTACGTCGACCTCGGCAGGCGCGCCTGGAAGAGCTCGACCGAGGTTCCGATGCGGAAGAGAAGAGTGAAGTGGATGCGGTCGCGCCACGACGCGAACAGGGTGATGAGGTCGGATAGCAGGCTGCTGTCTAGAGCCTCGCTGTCCTCGAAGGCGACAAAGACGCGCCGCGAGCCCTTGGCACGGAGGAAGACGTGCAGCGCCTCCAGGTCGTAGTCCAGGTACTTGCGGCGGGTGGCGGGCCCGCCCGCAGGAGGCGCCAGGTCCTCGAGATGCTCGTCGGGCGTGGCATCCGACGGGCGGCTGGTGACGTCGCGGATGATCTTCTTGAGTGCTGACTTCAGGTTCGTGGCCTCGGCGGAGCTGACGCGCACGAACCTGGCCGGCTCCGCCTCGGCGAGCCTCTCGCCGAGCTGGGAGAAGAGCAGGTCCTGGGACGACAGGTCGGGGCCGGTGACGATGAAGGCGGCCGGCATCTTGGACCTCTGGGCGTCGGCCTGCTTCACGAAGGAACAGACGCCCTCGAGGGTCGACGCGTTGGCCTCGCGCAAGACGCGCTGGATGGCCGCGTCTGTCCGTCCCCAGGCGAGGTCGAAGAGGTCCGCACGGGCGCGGACACAGGCGGGCCGCTCGGCGCCGCCCAGGAGAGGCACAAAGGTGGCGGCGGTGGCGGAACGCCGCTGGTCCCTCGACCAGTCGGCCGACGTCGCCGCCTGGCCGCGGGCCGTCGACCTGGACTTGCTGCCAGAAGCCACCAGCTTTCGCTTCTTGGGTGGGCGAGCGGCAGCAGGGGTCACCGAGGCTACACCATTGGGCCCCCGTCCATCAGAAGGCGCGAAAATATAGGCTGCCTATTCGCGATGATGTGAGCCGGTGCAGTTGGAAAGGCAAGAGGAAATGAGTGCTTACCTGGTGATCATCCTCGGGAGCGACGCTCGCCATACCTCATATTACGACGGCCTGCTAGCCGACTTACTACTGTATTATAACTGCCAAGTAGCCAAGAAGGCTACTCTATGGTGAGCACTAGGTAGGTATGGCTTTCGTATGAAGTGCGTCAATCTCTCGATGTTACGGTGGTGAGTGGTTGACATGAGCCTGCGCGTCGACTACAATTACATGCGCGTTGGCGTGAGCCGCGTGCCCGTGCTCAAGATCGCGTTGGGGACGCACGGCCCAGGAGCCAGCCTGAATCCACTACAATTCCAGGGGCTAATCCCCTGTATCTTGAACATCCGGTCAAATGGATGGATACCATCATTGATCCCATAGCATTGCATACTGAACTTTGGGAAATTGTGACTTGCAAGTGGCCTACAGTTACCTGGTACTGGTTCAAGATATAGGAAAAAATCACTTCCATGCTCTTGATGCTTTTAATGTCTCCTGCTGCCACTTGATATTTTCCCGTTCATCCTGCCGCCGATCCTCCTTCTCTTTATAGCTTCACCAAATGCGGCAACAGCGCCACCACTCAGCATCACTGCACGCACCATCCCTCACCCCGACCATACTCGACAGTCTCCTAAACATCCATTCAAGAGAAAAGCTCCCGATACGTAGACGTAGGTAGGTAGTGATCAAGTCAGATGGTGTCCATAGGTACCTGTAGGCGAATTCTCGGCTAGCCCAAGTACTAGCAAGGTCGCAGAACGACGTCATAAAACGATACCCAGTGTTTCAAAGAATCCAACCAAACTCCCACCCGACAGGACAAGGCCCCAAACAACCAAACGATAGAAGAAACGAAAAGAAAAAGGGCATAGATGGTGGGTCGAAAAGAAGGACTGAAAAGTCGGGAGAACGTGATAATAAATAAGATACGTAGTTATACATTCATGCTCCAAGTCGAGATGCGCCACTCAACTATCAGCAGGGAGGCAGCCCCGTCGTAGCGATGTCCCCAAGAGTCTTTTTCCATCAACATCGACATCGATTATCACTGTCTCACCGCTTTTACTCGCAAACACCCATGCGCGCCGGCATGGTAATTGTGTGGTGCGGGTTGAAATGGTAGTTTTAAAAATTGGGTGCCTGGTCAGAAACACTTAAGCCGCTGCCTCGACGGACTCGGTGACATTGGGCTTCTGTGGAGATCATGTTAGAATCGAGACACTTCTCCCTCTCCATTCAATTCTCGGCTCACCTTTTCCTCAGTCTCCTCCTTGACCTTGCTCGCATCCACGCTTGCAGGCTCCGTAACAACGGGTGTCTCGGCCTTCTTGTCGCCGTTCGCCTTGGCGCCGTTGGCGCCGGCCTCTGACTTGGCGGCAGTGTCCTTGTCGCCCGTCTTGCTGTCCGCCGCGGTCCCGTTGACTCCGTTGGAGACGACAACCTTCGTTGTTGTTGGGGCACTGCCCCCTTCAGCGAGCAGCTTCGTCCATTTGTCCAGCAACTCCTTAGATCGTGGCTTGAACTTGTACTCGTCCTCTTTGGGGATGTTGTCGAGCTTGAGGATCGCCTTGAGGACTTTGTTGATCTTCGTTGCCCTTATGATGCTGACTTCGAGCTCCGGCATCACCTCTAGCTTTTCGATATAATCCGACATGGCCTTCATCTCATCCTCCTTCGGCTCCTGGTCGCGCGTCAGGAGGCCCTTCTGAAGCTTGTGGCGCAGGAACAAAACCTCTTTCTAGGTAGTCGATCCTTGTCAGCGTGCGCACCATGGTGTCGGTCAAGCCAAGATCGAGTACTTACCTCTTTCCGCGCATGCTTCTCCTCAGGAGAAAGCTCGGGCATCACAATCTCCTTTTCCTTCTCGACTACCTTCTTCTCCACCGTCCTTTTCGGGTCAGCCACCTCCTTGACGGGCTTCTTCGCCTTGGACTTTGACGCTTTCGCCTCGGCTGCAGGCTTGGGGGACTTGGGGGTCGAGGTGCCGTTTGCAGCCTTCGGGGTAGAGTTGGTGGTCAGTTTGATCTTAGGCTTCTTGACCGAGTCCGAGCGTTGAGGGGTCTGCATTTTATTTGTTGGTCAGTTGATGAGCGCGCAGTTGAAATATATATGAGCGATGCTGTTGCGATTGCCTGGGGCGGGAGTGGGTGTTCGGGGCAAAGGCTCACAGCTGCATCATCCTCTGCCTTGCGCTTCTTGGAGGTCTTCTTCTCCTTTGCGGGTGTCCCCATATCATCCTCGTCCACATCCGCCATTTCGACATCCTCATCTTCCTTGGCCGCCTTCTTCGCCTTCTTGGCGGCAGCAGCAGCTTTGGCTTCTTTGGCAGCCAGTTGCTCCTGAGCCTGCTTCTCTTCGTTCAGGACATCTTCCTGGTGCTTGATGAGAAGATCCTTGAAATACTGGAGATCGTGGCCTTCCCCTGCAAGCTCATGAGCGGCCTGGAGGTCCTTGCGCATCTTGCCAGTAGCGAGACTCGCAACAATCGAGACATCGAGGTCGACGAGATCTTGATTGGGGATCCACCCACTATTGGAACACGATTGTTAGCTGGGCCGAGATTCGCCTTCACCAAAGCTGACGAGAGCAGTGGCTTCGGTTCGCCGGAGTTGCCCAGGGGCTTCTGAGCAGACATTATATCGCATGGAACATCTACAGTTGGGGTGGTTTGGGCTGCCGGGAGAGGGCGAAGCAAACTCACAACTCGTTTGTGTATAGGTACATGACCGGGAAGGTCCGGTCGGCAGCACGTTTGCCACCGTCGGCGAAATCATCGCGGTAGGTGCCATCAGGCCTGGCGGCGGTCACAGGGCGGGACTTGAGAAGGGTCTGCGGCAGCATGTCCTCGTCACAGATGATGCCGGGCCACAGAGGATAACCCTTGAGCCTGATGAAGTAGTAGTCGCCGGGTTTGGCGTCCATGTGCAATATCTTGGCCCGTGATCCCTTCCTGTTGAGCTTCTTTCTGCTGTCGGTGACGGAAGTCGACTTGCGGCGCGCCTTGGACTTGTCGGCTGGTGTGGCGGGTTCCTTGGTGGCGTCAGCCGTGGCGGTCTCACCGTCATCCGTTGCCGCATCAGGAGCTGCATCCTCGGGTTTGGCGCCGGCACCAGTTGGCGCGGACTCGTCTGCGGCAGCAGCAGTATCGGCGTCGGGTGCGGCGTCAGAGGCTTCCTTCTTGGCATCGCCCTCTTCGGTGGGTGTCGCGGGCGCATCTTTAGCTTGTAAAAGGGAAGCTTCCCGTTAGCAACGCCGTACAAAGAGGCGAGAGCACGAAGAGCAAGCAAGACAAGGTGCGGCAAACCTTCAGCGGACTTCTTGTCGCCTTCCTTAGGCGCATCGTCGACAGATGTGGCCGCATCGGCCTTTGTGTCGGCGGCGCCGTCGGCCTTCGCTTCGGAGCTGGCAGCAGGCGGATCCTGCACCACCTTCGAACCCGACGGTTGCGCATCCGGCGCAGAAGCTTGCGCGGCTGAAGCGGCCGAGTCAGACATTGTCGCGAGCGTGTGTCGATCGAGACGGGGACGCAGGGTCAGAGAGGGCTGGCGTGCGAAAGCGCGTGAGATGAAGGTTGGTGTGAGAGGATGCTGATGAAGGAAGGTCTTTGCGAGGGACGGTTATGTGTCTTGTGTCGGACGGTCGCGTGCGCGCGGGCACGGCGAGCTGGAGCAAAGCAATAGCACCAGCAGCAAGAAAAGCAGGCGCTTGAGAAATCAGACAGAAGTTGAAGGGGAGAAAAAAAAAGGAAAAGAGGGACTTGGGGGGTGCTCAATCACGCATTAAGAAGGACGCGTTCTTTCGCGTTGCCAAGTAAATGCGCACGCGGGAGATAGAGTGAGGGAGAGGGATTCAGACGAGTGCGTCAATGAGGTGTAGCTGTAGGATGCATCAATTACCCAGCGCCGGCTCGCAGTGTTTGTTGATTAGACAAGCGGGAGCGAGGTGGAGGGAAATTTTTTGGGCCAGCGAAGGTACAGCGTGGGCATCGAGGTGGTGTTTTCAGGCCTTGTTGATGCTGCGGCCGACGCTGCTGCGGCCTTCAAAAACGCAGCACTGGTAGCTCGGGATAGGTGGAGCGCAGTGCCGATGCGACTGGGATCACGTGCGCTCACCGGCCGCCCGCCTTGGGAAATGCTTGGGAATTGGGGGGAGCCACCGTTCCCACCAGCCCATGCCCCTGCCACCCGCCTTGTCTGCCGCTTTTCCCTTCTTGTTTTGTTCTTTGCCACGCTGCGGGCACCGCCCGAAGCCTAGCAAACTGGGCAGCTCGGGGTGGAGACGGCAGCAAGCCTGCAGGGTGGCACGAGAAGTCATCTCTGCGGCTTGGCGCACCACTGAACACTGAACGAGAGACCCATCCAAGGACGGCCCTGGCTGTGCTCACTCTGGTGCTTCCACCAACGCCATGGCCTTCCATCCGCGCTCCGCCACCCAGTGAAGGATCCTGAACGCATGCTCCCAAGGTCGCAGCTTTGCGCTGCCATCCATGCGTGTCTGCCCACCTCCCCTTGAGCCGTAAAAGTGTGAAACGCATCACTGTGGGCGCCGTGGATACTTGTCCAACACATCCTGTTCGTTGCCTGACTGGCAACTAATCCATCATCTAGCTATATATACAACAAGATCAGTAGGGCGAGTGCGCCCTTGTCTTTATGCATGCCTCGTCGCTTCCCGACCTCTTTCAATCCCTTTACTCGTCGTCCTCGTCCTCGTCATCGTCATCGTCCACGTCCATACCCTCGGTAACGGTGACAGAGAAACCAGGCTCTTGGTCGACGCCGACGTAGCTATCGCTCATCAGGAATAGCTTCAAGTCATGTTTTCCGGGCGTTGGCACCGTGAACTCGAGCCGTACGTCCAGACTCCGCCCAATCGTGACGCGCTTGATGGCAAGCAAAGTTTTCGTGGCCTCGGAGCCCACAACCAGCCACCAGTTCTCCGACTTCTTAACAGGGAAAAAGGGAGCGTGTACTGTGGTGTCAATCTCCTCGTCCTCGTCCACCTCACGCTCGATCTTGATCTTCAAGTACGACGGCTCGCCGGCATGCAGGTTCTCCTCGTCCTCGACCTCGAATTCCATCGAGATGTCTGGGTACTTGCTGTTGGTGAAGTTGGCCGCCTGCGCAAGCTGGCTCTGCGAAAGCGCCAGTCGCTTTACCAAAGTCTCGTACTGCGGGTTCTCTCCTGGGTTCATGGCCTCCATGAAATCGAACACGTCCTTGATCCTATGTGGCAATACACGGTCAGCTGATAAGTAGCACAAGAGAGAGGGCCGACGGAGGGGGCCACGCGCATCACGGGGCCAAGCTGAGACGTACCCGAATTCGTTTGCCACCTTGACCACTTCGGGCCCGAAATGCGGAATCTGCTTGAGTGGGCTATCGCGGTCCCACATTGCCTGTACTACCATCTGCGACATCTCCATGGCATTCATAGCGTTGAGGTGGCCTTCGGAGGACAGGATGTCGACGGTTGCGCTGAGCAGGCCTAGCACCTTGGAGAGAATGACCTCCTGGTCCTTTGCGAGGTCGATGGGCAGCTGCATCCGGGAGAAGTGAGCCTGCAGCAGAACGAAAGCCTTGAAGTGCGGCGAGTCAAACGACGCCTCGGCCATCTTGACGGGAACACGGTCGTAGATGCGCCGCAGGATTCCTCCCTCGTGTCTTCGGATCTGTATCGACTCGAATTCGGCAGCCGACGTGATGATCTCCAGGATGCCCTTGAGCTTGGTGCGGGCCTTGAGCGAAAGCAGTAGCGTCTGCATCGTGATATACGAGATGTTGTAGTATGCCGCAATCATGGCCGCGTTCTGGGGCGCCACAGATCCGTCATCCTCATCGAACTCGACGACCTTGGATTGCGACAGCTCCGTCAGAGTCTCCTCCACAAGCTCCGAGAGATACTTGCCCAGACCCTCCTCCGACACGTTTGTCAGCCCGTAGTAGCTCGGGTTCGCGAGCAACCGCCGGTAGAAATACGTAAACGTCAGCCAGCTGAGAGCGTCATCGCCCGACTCGATCATCTTGGTACTGATCTCCGTCACGAATGCGTCGTGCAGGTAGGCGTGGTTCTGTGACTGTTCGGCAAGCACAGATTCCACAGGGATGGCCTCGTTTAGGAACTTTTTGTAAAATTCCCGCTTCACCGCTGGCAGCATCAACACACCACGGCCGCGGCCGTCTTTGCCAGGGCGGAGCGCCTTGCCGAACATCTGGAGCACGTCACTGACGGGATAATCGACATAGCGGTGCTCCCGCCCTTCGAAGTACTGGGTGCCCATCACGACCACCAGGTGCGCCGTGCTGTCCAGTTCCCAACACACGTCGCGCGATGCGACAAGGACCTGGATCGCCCCCTTGTCGTAGAGGTGTTTGACGATACGTCTGTCTGTCAGGCTCAGGGCCTCGTGGTAGTAACCAACACCGTGCGAAAGCGACTCCCTCAGCGCATCCTCCTGCGTCTTGTCGAGCAAGGGCTGAATCTGCTCCACGTCCACGTGCAGGAAGCGGTCCTCGTCATCATCTGCTAGGCAGGCTGTGAGAAGGTCGCGCGCCGTCGCCCGCGTTTGCTTCCTTGTTGGGACAAACACTATGGCCGGTCGGTCGGCAGACATTTGAGTAATGGTGGCGTACGTGGGTTTAGCCATGGCGAGCATGAGGGAGGGGAAGTGCGGGATGGTGAATGATTGCAGGTGAAGCTCAAGCGGCACCGCACGCACGTGAGGGCTAAAGTTATAGACATCGTGCTTTTTGCAGTCCAACCACTCGCCGATGTCACGCGCGTTGGACAGGGACACGCTCAGACCGACCATCCGGATCGGGAGCTCCGTCGACGACCTGATGTAGTGCATGCGTGAGACGATGAGCTCGTATATGAAGCCCAGCTGTCCGCTCAACATATGAAGCTCGTCAGCGATGAAGAGCTCCACCGTCTGCACATTCTTGCGCCGCTTCCATTGCCTTGACAGGACATCCCACTGTGTCGGGGTAGCCAGAATGAGGTCGCCCTTCTCAAGCAGCTTCAGGTCCGTGGCTGTCTCGCCTGTGAGCTTGACAACACCCTTGCCGCCTCGGAGACCTGACAGTCGCTTCCCCCAGTCTTGGAAACGCGCGTTCACGAGCTCCTGGAACGGCGCGATGTACACGGCGCGACCGTGCTCCGCCTTCGACCACAGCCTCATGAGAGCAAACTCAGCACAAACTGTTTTGCCGCTGCCTGTGGGTGCTGCGACGAGGACATTCTGGTCCGTGGCGTACAGCGAGTTGAAGCACTGCGTCTGGATCTTGTTGAAATGCTCCCATCTCGGATACAGCGCAGCGTAGTCTTTCGCCTTGAGCGCCGATACGGGGAGAGGCTGTAGGTCGAGCAGCTCCGTGTGCGGCGGGAACTTCTCGGGGAGAATCAATTTCTGGAACGAGACGGCAATGCGCGACTCCGAGTGCATCCATCTGTCCGACACGACCGAGATGAAGTAGTTAGGAGGCATCGGCTCCGTCATTGGGACGGTAAACTCGACCTGATGCTCGTTGGTCTCTGACTGGGCATAGTCCTTGCGCAGGATGAACTGGTCATGAAACAAGATATCCTCGCCGTCGCAGTCCTCAACAATGACCCAGAAGCTCTCGGCGGTGCCGTGGAGGTCGTCGTCCCACTCGAACTTTGGGCTAATGGTCAGCTCCACCCGGAGCATAGAACGGGTAAGAGGCTGGACGTGCTCCTGAATCTCTACCCTCGGAAACTTGGACACGAGAGAGCAGACTGTTTTGCCGGCTTTGGGCATGCCCAGGAGCTCGCCCATCCTCGGGGGATCCAGGTCGAAGTAGCTGGTCCAGGGGACATCAATGCGCTCTGCCTTGCCGACAATCTCGCGCGGGCACGTAGGGAATTGGCGGAGCGGCGTCATGGTCGGCCACATTCGCTTCTCGGCCATTTTGCACAGGTCCAGGGCCGTCTTGGCGACAGATGCCCACCCCTTCTTGAGTGCAATCTCGAAGATTGCACGCAGAATGCGACCGGCGGACTGCGTAACATAGACCATGTCGGCCATTAGAGCAAGACCATCAAGTCTCAGCCGCGAGATATAAGCCTGCAGAAGAACGTTGATCTTGGCGTGCGGCTCCTCGACGCTCTCCTTGACCGGAATGGGGACCTGGCCTAGTAGCTTGGCCAGCTCCAGCTTCTCCTCTTGACGGACCGGGATGTACTTGAACTCAGCGCTCAGGGCGAAAACCCTAAACAGCTCAATGGTCGTTATGTTGGGCTGGATCAAAGTGTTGTAGGTGTCCATCGAGCCGTGCGTTATGTAGTAGTGCGACGCGATGCGTCCCAGCTCCGTGGCCTGCAGCTTGCCCGTCTTCTCATCGTACTTGACCAGGTTGGATTTTCGGAGGACGGTGGCAGCCGAGTGGATCAAGTCGACGCGCTTCTGCTCCAGCGCCTCATCGTCCTCGTACTCGGCCCCGACCTGGTAGAGGCCGGGCGAGCGGAGCATTCGAACAAAGAGATAGGTGTAGCCAAGCCATTCGACACCCTCATCACGGTTGCGGATGTTGCCTAGGACGATCTCGGCATTCAGGTTGTCCACAAGCTTGCTCACGAGCTGGGACTCTATGGGGAGTTGCTGGTTGAGCAGCGATAGGTAGTAAGTCATCTCGTTCTGGGTCGTGATGATGATGCCCTCGCCGTATGTGTCAAACTGTGGCCGTCCAGCACGCCCAAGCATCTGCAGGACGTCTTGCGGGCTCAGCTCGACCCAACTGCCCTTTTCAGGGGAGTAGACTTGGGTACCTTTGATGATCACTGTATGGGCCGGCAGGTTGACACCCCAGGCAAGGGTTGCAGTGCAGACCAGCACCTGGATCGACCCATCAGCAAACAGCTCCTCGACATCCGTCCTGTCAGCCCGGCTCATGCCGGCGTGGTGGATTCCAAAGCCATACGGCAGCAGGTCCTTAAGATCCCTGTCGTTGGCTTGGTCGGCAGATTCCTTCAGGATCTCACGGCTGCCCGCATCATGCTTGAGGATGTCGTTGATTGTCTCCATCTCCAGGGCTTTGTCGCGGATGTACCTTGCCGTCTTTGCCGTCTCCTTCCGCGAGTGCACAAAGATGAGCATCTGGTTTCGGTTTTTTCCAACGTGCTCCATGACCTTGGTGTACGTGATGTCGTTCATGGTCTTCAGTTGCCTGATGGCCTTTTTATCCGACACGCCGATAAACTCCTGCCGCAGGGGACAAGGACGGAACGAGCCGTCAAAGTGGAACAGGCCTTTCTGGGAATCGACACGGAGGAAGCTGGCCACGTCCTTGTAGTTTGGAAGAGTGGCCGAGAGACCGATGATCCTGACCGGCTCGCCCGTCTGCTCCGTCCTGCGGATGGTCCTGCTGACGACGCTCTCGATGACGGGGCCACGGTCGTCATGAAGCAGGTGAATCTCGTCGATAATAACCAGGCGCACCAAGTTTGTGTATGACAGGTCGGTAGCTTTGCGAGTGATGACATCCCACTTCTCTGGGGTGGTTACAATAATCTGGGTCTCAGCGATTTGCTGCTTGGTGAGCTGGCGGTCACCTGTGAGCTCCGAGACTTTGATCCCAAAGGGCTCCAAACGCTTGCCAAAGTTCCCGACCTGCTCCTGGACCAGTGCCTTCAGCGGCGCGATGTAGACAATCTTGAAGGCATCCAGGTCGAGTTCTCCTGTCTGGGGGTCCCTGTTCTTGCCGATTTCGCGAAGGATTGTGAGCATGGCGACGTTTGTCTTACCACTACCCGTCGGAGCACAGATCAGCATGTTCCCGTCGTCTCCAAAAGCAGACGGGTAACATTGTGACTGGATTTTGTTGAGAGCTTTGGCAGTGCTGAAGGGGGCACGAGCCCACTCGGGCATATCGGTGATGGGTATGCTGACGTCGGTCGGGTCGTTGCGCTTCTTTGGCGGCGGAACGTGGATCTCCTCGTATCCCTTGAATGTCCTTTTCGTCGAGCCTTCTGGCAGGCTAACTTTCGGGTTCGACATGAGGTGGTTGCCTTGGTCAAAGACCAGATTTTCCAGATTAATAAGCTTCTTGGGCTGGAGACCGCCAACCAGTTGACCATCTTGTTGACCGGCGGCCGCCGGCTTGGCGGCATCGAGCGAGGCGTTGTGGTCGATATCCATCTTGATCTCGAGCTTGGGTTTCCTCTGCTCATCGCTCGTTTTGCCATGCAGCTCATCCAAGATCCACCGCAAGCCTTCGGACGCCATATCCCGCTCGATCGAGGTGCGCTCCTCGTCGTTCTCAGCCTTAGCAAGCCTCGTCAGCCACACCACCTTTTCTCGGTTCTCTATCAGCTTCTGAACGACCTCGTGATGTTCATAATCAAAGAGTTCCATCAGATCGTTCTCAATCTCGCGCAGCTGCTTCTCGTCGCCCCCGGCCTCATCGGGCTCGCCCGAGAGTATGCGCAGCGCAGCATGCGTCTTGTCGTGTTGAGTGTGAGCATCCGGGTATAGCCTTCCGATCCGACGCTGGAGCCAGTACGCGTCAATCTCACGAGCAGGTACGTGGTTGGCGTCCCTGGATTTGTCCTGAGCTGATTTTCCTTGTGGCGCCGAGTCTATAATCATGGCCTCGCCATCGAGTGTGTCCGCGGCTCCGTCAGCAGCCTCGGGGCCTTGCTGGTCCGACTCATACTCACCATCAGCCTCGTCTTCCGACGACTCATCGCGGATCTCATTGACGAAGCCCTCTCCGTCGTCATCGTCGTCCTCGAAGTCCACCGCAACTCCTTGGCGATCGTCGATTTCCTCCTCGTCCTTGGCTCCGGCCGCTCCGTTGTCGTCGTCATCCTGTGCGTCGTAGTCGGTGATCTTCTTTCCCAGGTTCTTCAGCTGGTGAAACTCTTCAGGCTTCATACTGGCACCCAGGATGTCATCGATCTCCCTCTTCTGTTCAATGTCCTTGAGGTCATCGTCTTTGAGGAACTCGAGCACCGCATCGGCCGCACTCCGCACCATCTCGTGTGATACGTCGCCAATGCTCTTTGCGACGATGGAAAGAATGAGCTCGAATGTCGCCCTCGTCGCAGGGGTTCGGGGCCGGTAGCGCAGACCCTCAACTAGCATATCTGCTGTGGATAGGATACCACCTCCCGATTCCACTTTGCGCTTCGCGCGCTGCTGGGCTAGGACGTCGCGCCCCTCGTCTATCCTCCCCCGCTGGACATCGGGCATGTGTGAGGGCTTCTTTGGCTTGGGGGCGTCGTCACGGGATATGCGGGAGCCCATGTCACGGATGGACAGGCGGCCAGCAAGGGACTCGGGGTCGCCGGTGGCCTCATCGGCGCGGCGCGTAACAAATCGGCGGTCCGCCTGGAGGACTAGGTTGGACATAGCCGAGTACTTGTACTGCGACACATCGCGGTGGTGGTCCGTCATCGTGACGGCTCCTACAGCTCTATCGAATTAGGTGTGAAGGGCTCGGGGACTCGTCGGCAGGGTCGGGGGCCGCGACGCGTTTTGCGCCAGGTGTGGTCCTTCAGGCGGCAGCCAGCAAGTGGCGATGCAGGCTGTCGACGGCAGGCATCAACCAGTGGGCGATAGCGAACAATGCGAGTAGCCGGCTCTCAGGGTGTTTGCCGCAGGCGCAGAAGTCCTGAGTACCGCAAATGATTACAATATACGGCGTGGCGTGGTTGGCCCGTGGGTTTGAGGCGATATCGAGTTCAGAACGAGGCGCGGTAGCCGGAACTTTTTTTGGTGTGGGCGAGCAAGCGAATTATTCCATGCTGACTTTCGCTTGACGTTTGATCCAGATTGGCCTGCCGCCCGTATGGCACTGACACCAGGCCCCAGCTGGGCAGCCGTGGCAGGGGTGCTTCTCCACTATTGTCATTGAAGTGGGTACCTTCTACCACCTAACCGCCCGCTTGCAGCGCTGTAAACGTGAAGCTCGACGCCTGATAGCTTCGTGTGTGATTGAGACGTCCATCATGTCATGAAGCTGTTACAACATACCCTCCCATAACTTCGAAACCAACCACACACACCCATCTACCCGATCGGTAGTTGTCTCCTACATCATCTTTGACCTCATCAACTTCCGCAGCCCTTGCAAATCTTTCACCCATCCCTCAACAGGGACTGTTAGAGGTGTGATCCCAAATTTGGAGAGAAATAGCGGAGAGGCACGCCATGGAGGCAGCACAGGAAGCTTTATCACCCTTCATCCGGCCGCGCGACGAGGTCTTGCACATCCGCAAGATTCTGTCCGCAAATCTGGCGTCCTGTCTTGGCAACGCCGCCCATGACGGTCCGCCAACCCCGCTGGCGTTAGCAGATCCGCTCGCCGTCATCGTGATCCCCCCAGAAGCGCGTGGGATCCAGCGCGAGTATCTCGAGGCTCTGAACGCCAATATCCGGGCGCGGGGGGAGCACCAGGATCTGGTAGCACGCCATCGCGTGCCTGCCACGACGCCTGCCGAGCAGACAACCGACTTTCTTACGGCGCACATCGTGGCTCTGAAGCTCAGAAACAAGGAGACTCGTCTCAGGGCGATTTCAAAATCTCTGGAGCTCCTGGATCAGAGACCGGCTGCTTCCACTGAATTTCTGGATCCCAACCAGATCTTCAAGGACTCGCCGCGCTTACCAGAGATGCCTAGGGAGGCGGTCAGCAGCTTTGTCTTGGACAAGACACTTTCCAAGGCAGGCTTGGACGAACTGCTTGACCGGCTCCAGAAGTCAGTTTTGCGTGCAAAGCTCCTGCTCAAAAAGGAAGAGCAACTCCTTGGTGCGGCCAGGAAGAGATCTCCGCGGCCAGTTGAAGGCCTGGCACCTGTGGTGAAGCTCGCCGCCCTCACCGCCGCGCGCAACGAACTCATTAGCTGGATCGAGACAGAGCTGGCTAGTACATCAGGAGACGGGGCGGGTGGGGGCGAGGAGCAACACACAAACGGCGATCAGGTTTCCGAAACGAGGGCTCGTGTCGAAAACCAGTTGTCAGCGATCAAGCAGAAGTACGACAACTATGTTGCCACACGAAAACAACTCCTCAGGGCGGCATCACAAACGCATCAACCCTTGATGGAGCCGCCAAGTATCGAGCCCATTCATAATTCCAGGTTACCAGGCCAGGCACCGGCGATGCCGGCCTCGTACCTGCTGTCTCCGTATCTCGCCCGTCTTCTAACAGCTTCCCACGAGCAAAAGGGGCTAATATTGCAAAAGTCGCATCTTAATGCCACCATCGCGAAGAAAACCAAGGATACTTGCCAGCTTCTGGATCATCTCGCGGAGGAAAGCCAACTGCTGCCCAAACACCACATCCCGGGCCGGCCTCACCACCAACCCAGACTCCTTGGGGACGGTCCGGGCTCGGCAGAGGGCTCTACCGTCGCCGGCCACTCGAGAAGATGGGTTGTAGCAGCCGAAGCCTCAAAGTTGGCAACACTTGAGACTGTGGCCGAAAAGACGGAGGAAGGCGAGATGGCTCTGGAAATCTCATCAAGACATCTAGATGAGATTAGTCACTTGCTTGGAGCCCAGACACTGTCGCAAGATCGTAACCCAGATACATCGGAAGGAGATGGGGATATCTGGCTGTCGCAAGGCCGGAGCGGAGAAGGTCCTCTCAATTATAACAGCAAGGCGAAGCCGACTGATATCTGGTCCATTCTTGACGGAGGCCTTGGTGTTCTGCGAGCAGAGGGTGGCGATGACACATTTTATTAGCTGTTTCGTCGCACACGCACTGATAACCCTAGCTACTCTATTCCATGTGCAATGGGCTATCTGCCAATGTGTGCAGGTGAAATCCTTCCTCCCCGTGCTGAAGGAGCCCTGGTTTGTCGGGTAAGCAGTGTAGTCGGTTGTCGTACACTTGGCCCATTGAATAAACAGCCTCCAGCTATATCCTGCTGGACATTATCACAGACAACCTCAAACCCAAGTCCAATATCGATAGATGCTCGTCAGCACCGTCAACAAGGCGCTTGTCAATCTCCGAGAACACTATTGAAATCGCATTCTTTTGGACATCTGGGATCTCCTCGTCATACATGATGGCTTGGAAGAGCTATATTTTTTTTGCAGAGATGAGTGTCAGCGCCGGGTTCTGTGAGTATCGCAGGGGGGAAGCAGATACACATACCTGCGAGACAACCTGAGTGGCACTCCACCCATCCGCAACCATGTTCTCGACAACCTTGGCAACTGATTGGTACGTCTGCCCACTGCCACGAGGTCTCATGGCCTCAACGAGACCGTCGATTGTCGCAGTCGGGATCACGCCTGCGATATCCTCGACAATCTGTGCTGTCACAGCCTTCGAGTCAACATCCATCGTGTCCTGTTCGCCTTCGCCAGATGCACGGCCCGCTCCCACCAATCGTGCGGCGCTCTGCAGAAAGGTTATGGCCTTTCTCAAATCGCCTTCGCTGCTCTTGATGAGCGCATCGACAGCCCCCGGCTCAAGAGCGACACATTCCTTTTCGGCAATGTGCTCGAGGCGTGCTTTGGCGTTGCCTTGGTCGAGGCTCTTGAACCTGAATTTGCTGCAACGTGAGGCTAGCGGGTCGATGATACGGGTGACGTAGTTACAGATGAGGCAGAAGCGGGTGATTTTGCTGTAGGTCTCCATGGTACGGCGGAGGGCGCTCTGAGCATCCTGGGTCATGGAGTCCGCCTCATCGAGGATGATGATCTTGAACGGTGGGCATGGATACTTGGACCTGTCATAGCCAGGGGGTGGGTTCGTAAGTTGCATGCGCGCAAAGTCCTTGACCTTCTCCCGCACAATCGATATTCCACGCTCGTCTGAGGCATTGAGTTCCAGGACACGCGACCTCATCAGCTCCGGGCCGAAGAGCTCCTTGGCAAGCGCGAGCACCGTAGATGTCTTTCCTGTTCCGGGTGGACCATAAAAGAGCATATGAGGAAGCTACGTGCATGTCAGCATCGTAATACGAGGAGACCGCGGGTGAGCAGAGCGCCGACGGATATGTGCAACAATACGGACATTAGAGGCTTGCAGAGTGCGCTGGAGCACCGTCACGGTATGGTCCTGAGCAGTGACATCGCTGAGGGTCTTCGGGCGACTGCAGGTGAGAGCAGAAGAGGTCAGTTTTGTCGGTGCTGATGTGGGCGTTGCGACGACTATTGAAGCCCCGCGGTTTGTGCATACTATTTCTCGACCCAAGGCTGGGCTCGGGTGGCTTCTGGGTTCTGCTTTTCCTGCTTGGCCGACGTAGCGCCGTTGGCCGCGGCTTGCTTCCTTGCCTTGATATCAAAAAAGCTTGCCATTTTGCGTCGTGATAGACAGAAATCCTTTTCGAATGGCCAGGTGCGACGTTCTCGGAGTTCTGGAGCGTGTCTACAAGGCGTTCGGGATGGAGAGTGGGTGGCAATCCCAAGTCGAGCGGCATGGAAGTCGAAAGGACATGATTTCACGAACAGGCATTAGAAGCACTTAACGCGTCGCGTCAGGCGTTTGCTGGGTCTGTGCTCCATCCTGAAGTCCCCAGATCGGTGGGGCAATGCTAGCTGACCCCTGCCAGTTTCGGCGTCCGTTGTAACCGTGCCTTGTTCGCTCTCACACGGTCCGTTCAAGCTCCAACCAGCACCTTGACTAAACACGAGGCAGCACGGGCAGGTACGTAGAGGCCTGCGTTCGAACATTGAAGTAAAGAAATACAGACGCACATAGGAGATGGGAAACAGTAATGATTGGTGGGCAAATAAAGTATACACGAATGGATATCTTGGGTATTTATACACCAGCAAGCGAAGAAGGTACAGACATCAGAAAGTTGAGTAACATCAGCGTCATCGGAACTAATAGAGTATAGACGTTTGTACATATTTGCCTTCCCGTGCCGCCGATTGAACCCCTCAATGCCGTGGTGCTGGGGTGCTTTTGAGCTTTCAGGCAGCCATACGCTGCGTGCGGAGCAGCATCCCCTCACATATGCAACCCCACCATTGCCCCTGCCACACGCACACGGGTGCTGTGCATGCTGTGCTTTCACCAGCCTGGTCCCCCCACTTCCGTTACAAACCACGAGAACCTTCCCACCCAACCTAACCTTTCTTCATTAACTACCTCCGCGCATAACCGCTACGTTGGCCCACCGTCCAAGCCAGGCGTGCTATTTCCCACTAGAGGTCCCCGCAGGGACTGGAGGCCAGCCCGCTCGCCAACATCCATAGCCGCCGCCGTCGGACCGCCATCCATCTCCAACTGCGCTGGGCTTCCTCACATGTCCAACCCGACAGCGCGGAGATCCCGCAACGAGGACTTCAGCTCGAGCCAGGAACGAACTGTCTAGATTTGCCTGCCCTACAAACGAGGACCCATCACCACGGCGCAATAATGGCGGACCAGTCCATCATCCGAATCACCAAGGTGAGTGAGGGGCCTCGTACAAAGGACCACGGCGGCGCTAGCGCGCGTGGTTGTCAAATGCACACGGATGATGATATTTCTAGAAACTAACCGGCGCCCCATCGGGCCTTGCCTTACAGGAGCTGAGTGACATCCAGAAGAACTCGGATTTGTGTAAGGCCGTCCGCGTCATCGCCCTGCCCCTTCGCGCCGCGCGCCGCGGCATGTTTGTCTGCTGGAAACTAACATCCAGACTTCGACCTAGCGCTCGCCGTTGCCTGTCGGGATGTCGACGTCAGGAATGTGAAGGCCATGATCATTGGTCCCCACGAGACGCCCTACGAGTTTGGATTCTTCGAGGTACGTCCGTGCTGCCACAGGCCATCTTGGAAACTGCCGAGGTTCCAATCCATGTTCAAGTCCTTTACTGACTGGTCTTGCAGTTCACCTTCAGATTCGGCAAAGGTCAGCGACCCCAAGCCCCCTCTACCGATTTCGCCATGCCAGATGTTTGCGCTCGGGGCTTAGCTAACACGCTCCTGGAAACCATGCATAGACTATCCTCGCAAATCGCCTGCCGTAACAGCGATAACGACCAATGGAGGACGCACTCGCTTCAACCCCAACATCTATGCTGCTGGCAAGGTCTGCCTGTAAGTGACCGTCCGACGCATCCCCGTGTCTCGTAACAGACGACTGACCAGCCGTAGATCTATTCTAGGGTAATCGAAACCTCTCAGAGTCACCCCTCGCATACCTCTGCCAATACTAACATTTATGTAGCACGTGGAGAGGCGAGCGGGGTGAGGAGTGGTCGGCCGCTCAGGGGCTCGAGTCGATATTGTTGTCGATTCAAAGTTTAATGTCTTCAAACCCATACGAGAACGAGCCGGGATTCGAGGACGCCAACGAGCCTTCGGACAAGAAGAACCAAAAGGACTACGTTCAGAAGGTTGTTAACAGCCCATCTTCGATTACCCTGGCGTTGGCGATGATGTGGTGGTTGGTAGCTGACTTCATTCCGCCTGCCAGATCCGCCACGAGACCTTGCGCATCAGCGTCATCCAGAGGCTAGAGGAGTACCTAGGCATACAGGCGGATGGGTCCGTCCCGCCGTCAGTAACCTTGGACAAGGAGGAGGAAGACATGGATCTGGAGGAAATAGACGACCCGAATGTGCCATTTGAGCCATTTAAGGACCTGTGCAAACGCCGGTTCCTGTGGTACTACGACTCATATCTCAACAGCATCCAGAAGGCGAAGGAAGAAGTCAAAGACGGCCAGGCATTCGTCAGAATGCCATTCGAGGGCTCACACAACTCAATGGAGGGAAAATTCAACTACTCGGAGCTCGAGAGGAGACTAAGGAACATCAAGCAGGTCCTGGATGCTGAGGCAATGGGCTGGGCTGCCGAAGGTCTTACCCCCAAGGCCAAGGATTCCACGGTGGCTGTCAACTTGCAGCGGCAGTTCGAGCAAATTGTCGAGAACTTCAAGCGCAACGACATCCCACACAACCTGGAACTTGATGAGAAGAACCCCTTCGTCTGGGTGCTTACCTATTTCGGAGCCCCCATGACGAATCTCGACGGTGGTTTATTCCGCATCACCATTCGATTCAGCCCCCGATTTCCCGAGGAGCAGCCGCGCGTCAACTTTGACACCCGCATCTTCCATCACCGGATCGCAGCCGACGGGACCGCCTGCTACTTCGCCCCGGTGACTCGCCGGGAGGATGTCAAGTCACATATTGACGCCATCATCGAGGCGCTGGAGGAGGAGCAGCCGCCGTACGACCCCAGAACTCTGGTCAATCCCGAGGCGTTCAAGCTTTATTGGGGCTCGCCCGAAGACCGGAAGATGTACAATCGGCGTCTGCGGCGGTCAGTACAGCAATCTCTAGAGTGAGTACAACTTACCTCGTGCCCCTGGCACCGTGAAGATTTAGGGATCAGTAGTGCTTGGCACCAGCTCTCGAGAGTCTTCTCTACATGGCACCGCTAACAGCACAACTACCTATCTAGGGACATCTAATACGTCTCATAGATACCGCTGCTACCACCGACCACTCCCACCACGACGACCCCCTGCGCTAGTCACATGTACCTTTGTATGGCTGCGTCATTCTTCTTTCCATTGTTATTACTTATCTTCATGTATCTTCTCGGCACCGTCACGGCGTTCGCGTTACATGCTGGCTGGGTTTTGGCCGGACATACCAGGTAATTGCAGGAATATTGATGCCTGCCGGCATCATGTGCGTTCTTTTTTATCGTCTCTCTTTTCACCCTGTCCATCATGGGTAAGTAAGCGATGCGTCTGCTAGGTCGCCGACATGGGCCGGGGAATGGGAGGCTATGCACTTTGATAGGGTTGTGTGCCCGCCACCTCCAACACCTGGTGTCTGCCCGAAAATCCCCTGTTCCGAACTTGACCAGTGCAGAGCATGCTTTCAACCACGGGTGAGGCTCATGGTTTGATACAGCGCCTTGATGAAGAAAGCGTCATGGAACAGTAATCACAATGAATGGTATGTAAAGATGTTACCAGCTCCCGTGACTTGTGATGAAGGCAGGGAGAAGATCATCATTTGGTGGCATCTGTTAGTGGATTTCAAGGGGAATAAGTTTTTTTTGGGTCCGCTAGATATGAGGACGCCCATGAGGACTGGATTGTTCGTTGCTACGCATCCTAACTGCCGCCTGAGTACCCATTTCTAATATCCGCGACAGATTTCCAAGCTCGTCGGCCTGCATTTTTATCAAGTGGGTGGTTTTGGCTTCTTGGGCTTCTTATCTATCCTGTCGCGACCGGGCATGTATGGCGAGGCAACTCCAACAAGTCTCTGTGCTTGTTGTGCGCCCCCGGGCTGTTGCCGCTGGTCACCCTTGAACTCGTACACACCGCCGGGGCCGATTACTCGAGGCGTTCCCAGGTCCGGTCTTGTCAGCTGCTCATTGTGTAGCTTCTCTAGCGACTCGCCCACGACCGCATACTGGGCCCAGTTGATAGGGGGACAGCGGACAACGTTTTGTCGCTGCGGTAGCTCACGCCAGGGCGGCTGCTGCGGCTTGTGTCCCTTCTTTTTCCTCTTTTTTCTCCTTGGTTTGGGCGGTGGAGTCTGCGCCCCGGTTGGCATGGTCCCCGCTGTCACTACTCTCACCGGTAGCAGGCTCTTTGCCCTTGCATAGATCGCCCGCGGCACGGTGACCGTCGTGCTCCGCACCGTCGCTCTCGGAAGAGTCCGAGCCGGACTCGGAGTCGGAGTCACCGTCGTCCCTGCCCGCGTCGAAGAGCGTCGGCGCGGCAGGCGCCGTGCTCACGCGGCCCTCGGCGAGGTCGCGCAGGAAGGCATCCGGGTCCTCGAGCGCCGCGGCCTTTGCGCCGGCCAGGCGGGCGACGTCGGCGGCGGCGCGGGCGCGCTGGATCTGCAGCACCGAGATGGCGCTCTTGAGGGCCAGCACGTCCGGGTTGGCGTCGAAGTCGAGCGGCAGCGGCGGCGGGGGCGCGTCGAGCGCGGTGCCCGCCGCGGCCTGCGCGGGCTGGGACAAGTGCGTCAGGGCGACGCGGTTGGCGGCGAAGAAGGTCAGGGCCGACGGCGAGGGGTCGGCCGTGTAGTGGGTGCTGCTGCCCGACTTCGTCGGCGGCACGGGCATCGCGGGCGGCCCGGAGGTGGAGGTGGACGAGGTCCCGGCCAGGCGCGCGGTGCGCAGCGTGGGGGTTATCGGGCTTACAGGGGGCGGGGGCGGGGACGGCGGGCGCGCGTGGGCGGCGCCTCCGCCCGCCGGGCCTTGGTCTGCAGCTGTGCCTGCGCCTGGCGCCGACGCTGAGAGGGGCGGCTGCCTTGGACCCGTGGCAAGGCCGCCTGTCGGCGTGCTGCCGGTCGTGATGCTCAGGGGAGGCATGGTTGTGGTGCCAAGTAAGCGGGTTCCTGTGATGGAGTCGGGTGGATGTTCGAACAGACCGACGCAGAATCCTGGCATCATTCCCATTCACGACGGGTGGCACCGCCGCCCGACTCTAGCGGTTGCGCTTGCCTTCAGGCAACAGCCGGTCTGTATACAGTGCGAGATCATCAGCCCGTCATTGTCGCAGCTTGACTGCCGGGGTCCCTCGCCTAGTATGTGGGTCCCGTCGGATCCTGTCCATCCACACCAGGAATGCGCGCAAGGATCTCGCCTGCGAGAGCAACGTTTCAAAATGAGCTCCCTCTGGGCAGAGTAGTGAGCCAATCGCACGGCATCATGCACCGCACTCCTCTTCTAGCATCCACGAGCGTCGTGTCTCATATAATTGTACTAGGCATGGCTCTATGGGATGTTCATCGATTCAACACATTCTTTTCGGGTGCTTGCGAACATGCCAAAAAAAAAAACACTCAGTCGCAAATCGACCCGTGACCTGATGGTGTGCTGGATGGAATCTTCCATCACCACTTTTCTTTTCGATCTCTCTTTGGCGCAGTTACCTCGACTTAGGCCTTCGCGCACTCGCACTTCGGCAACTCCACTAAATAGCGCCTGCTAGTCTCATCCCCAGCGGGTAATTTGGCCTGAAACCTTCGAGTAGCACCAATTTGGTCGGAGGTCAACGGCCTTGGGGTATAGGTAGCCAGGAGGAGCATGGCGCTATGCATGGGAAACCGCCGTCTGTTCTGGCTGAGACATGGCAATAGCTATGGCATTCCTCCATTCCCGTTGCATTCTGACCGCTCCTTTCAGCCCGCCAGCCACGTGCAGCAACACCACCAAAGAACATCAACGGCCACCAGCCGCTAATGCCCATTCTGGAACCCATCCATCTCGCATGCCAAGGGTTAAACTCCAGACTCGTCGGCTGTGAAACGACCACCCTCGCAATCTCATTCGTTCTCAACGTCCGAGCTTCAGCTAGTTGGACCCGGGCAAGACCTTTAGAATGCCTTGGCAAAGGGCCTGCGAGACTTCTAGCCTAGCACGCCCAGCTTGCATGTCGAGCTAAAGAGGCTTGATAGCCTTGCTGATCTGGCTTAAATGAGTCCAAAGCCCCGGACTCCCCCCAACCGTCACGGATGCCCCCACTCTTCGATCATTGCCATGCTCCCCGCCCGATCCTTCTATCATCAATCCCGGGCTATCTTCCTTGGATACGACCGCCGCCTCCTGACCGACCATATCTTGCCGTGACATAGTCGGCAAGCCTAGTAATTATCACATGGCAGCAACCCTGTAAACACTTTCAGTTGTGGACCGGAGGAACGCATCCAAGCAGCCAGCGAAAAAGAACCGAAAAAAGAAACAGACAAGGCCCGCTTCCTCGCAAGCAATGAGCGACGCACTATTTTTAGAACCCGCACAACCGGACTTTGTCGGTGTCGGCCAAGTGTCAAAGACCAAGGCGGACGAGCGGACTGGACGGGTGCGCACGTTGTCTCGGCTCAAGAGCTGGATCTCAGTCAGTGAACCATCCGCCCAGGCGTTTAAACAACATCAAGAAGAATCATGCAGCAGAGCTGGCACCAGTCGGGACGACCCAACAGCGAAGTCCAAACTGAGGGCTCCAGCCAGCAGCATTCCAGAGGATGCAATCAAGCCTTCTGGCAAAGGTCCGGATCCCGAGGACGCCGTGAGGACCAAGGCAGCACGAACTCGGGCTTTGAGACAGGCCTGCGCCGCCATTTCTTCAGAATCCCGGGCTTCACAAACCTACTCATCCCACTCGGCCTCGTCATTTGACTCCACTACGAGCCTCGAGCTGTCTACACCGTTCGGCGTGGCCAAGAGCAAGAGATAACCCGCCTGCGGACTTAGAGATGGCGCCTCGATCCCAACTAGCCCCTTTCTGCTTCGTGGTCTGGTTGGACAAGGCTCCAGAAAATATTCCGAGCGCGGGTGAACAGGATGGGATTTCGTAACTGGTCCAACACGAGAAAAAGAAGTTCCGGCGAGGTTGTTTGCGGAACATAGGATTGTGTATATCTAGGGTCGCATTTTGACATTTACGATTGATATTTGCCTCATCTGGCCAGGCGATGCAACGAGGGGGTGAGTGTTACAATTGACAAAACTAACCGTCCTTCGAATGGAAATGCATCGGGCAAGCTGCTGGGATAGCAGATCTGATGACTGGACTGTCCAACCATCGCGCGTCCCTTCAATGGGCCGCCAAAGCTGGGCGCCATGATGCGACACTGACCAATCACAAGGCCCGCTCTAGCCTGAAAGAGGAAACCATCTCGATCGTTGCTCTCGCCATCAACATTAATGACGTAATCGACTGCGAAGTGTGATAGCAGCAAATGGATATCAAAACATCAAAAACCGCCTGCAACCCTGTTCCATTCCATACATTCTCAAGTTCAAGCACTGTCCCCCACCAACAGTCGAGTAGGGCTCCCAGAAATGCTAGCTCTGTGCGCAAACACGAACAAGTCACCCGAGCCACTGATCTAAGCCTTGGGGACGGTCGCTTCCGCTCGGAATCAAAGGAAACCCTGGAGTCCATAGCCAGAGCCAAATCCGGGCAGCAACGGGGTTCTCCCACGAACTCGTCCACTCGCCGAGAAAAATGAGCCGCGAGAGAGGCCGCAGCGGCTCGCGCGCCAATCCAGGTGGCCAACGCAACTCAGAGTCGTACGACGAGCACACTCGCCTTCTCCCAAACCGTCTCGACAGCGATGTTCCCACATACCTGAACCCCGACGACCCGGCCGTGACGCCTTGTAAGTGATAGACGCCCCAGGCCTTTGAGTCTGTTTGACGGGACAACAACCGCGTGGCTCCTGCGGAGCTGACCTGGAGCATTTCGATAGATAATCTGTGGACGGTGCGGCTCATGAGATGGGTCACCGTTGTGTTCGCCATGATCGCATTCTTGTGGTGGATATTGCAGCTTGTCTCCATATTCATCACACCGCCCGGGCTGCATACACGAGGCTCCGTGTTCTTTGCTTTTGGCTACTCGACAGTGTCCCTGGCCATTCTTGCCGTGGCTCTGCTGTTTTTCGCAGTGCCGTCCAAGTCAATCAGGGTGCTTTCGGGAGTCCTTTCAGGCCTGCTGATTGTCGACGCCATCATTATTCTCAGTGTGACACATCTCAGACACGAGGAGACCTTTGTGGGGTCCGCAAGTGTTATATGTAAGTCGACATTGCTGCTCGCGCACTTGCGCTCCCTGTTATCCGCTGGCTAGCTACCACTGTTCTAGGCTAATACTCGCATGCGGCGCCTCTAGGGGCCTTTTTCACGGCTGTGTGGACGCTCTTGGCGGACGAGGTTGTGCAATGGGGCAAGAGAGAAGAGGAAGAGCGTCTGACAGGCCGGCCGGAGACGCGCCGTACTCTACTAGAGTGGACCGAGGTCGGCATCTCGAGCATCGTCATATTTGTGCTGTGCATCGCCGCCTCCCTCATGACCTGCACCCTCTTCATCCGGGCCGTCGACTCGGGGCTTCAACCACCCGGAACTCGGCACTGGGTCGACGCCGACAAATATCAGATCCACATATTTTGCGCGGGCAACAGCACTGAGCTCGACGAGCCGACCGTTTTGATCGAAGGCGGTGAAGAACCCGTGGAGAACGGTCTGTGGCAGTTTGCCGACAACGCCGTGCGGAACGGGTCTATGACGAGGTACTGCTTTGCCGATCGTCCAGGCTTCGCATGGGTGAGTCTCGAGCGCCCTGTGGCACAGCCCGCCCCTCCCATCTGGACAATCCGACCCGACTGACTCAAATATTCGATGCTGTGTAGAGCGACACGGCGCCCTCGCCTCTGACGGTAGGGATGGCGACGGACGCCCTCAGCGAGGCGCTCGCGCGGGCAGGCGAGCGGGGCCCCTGGATCCTGATGAGCGCCGGCGTCGGCTCACTCTACTCTCGTGTTTTCTCGTCCAGGCACGGAAAGGAGACAAGGGGCATCTTGATGATCGACCCGACACACGAGGATTTGCTGTCACGAACTGCCGATCCAGGCCGGGGTTTTTTACTTTGGGCTCGGGGCGTGTTGGCGCCTTTGGGGCTCAAGAGGATCCCGGGCGCCGTGTTTGGCGGCCGCAGCCGAGAGGATCGTGTCTGGGGGAGATCGGCGTCGCAGGGAGAAAAGTACATATTCGCCAAGCTGCAGGAAGGCCTGGTGGCTAACTCGCTCAGCAAGCGCGAGGTCGTAGCGAGCCGGGCGATACAGTACCGCAAGACCCCTCTGGCCATCGTCAGCTCAGGGGTTCAAATTCGGCAGGACAGCGAGTGGGAGGCGAAGCAGCGCGATCTCGGCAGGCTCACGCGAAACCTGGTCAGCTGGGATATCGAAGATGAGGCGCCGCACCAGGTCTGGAAAACGTTCAAGGGCCGCGAGCTGCTCGAGAAGCGGCTTGCACAGCTGGTGCGTGCTTGAGATGAGAGTTGGGGGGAACTTATATAGCAGGTATGACGAGCAGCAGACGGACTTACAGAGATTGCCGTGTTTGTTGGTGGAGGGAACGGGGAATGGTGGCGTGGTACCCGTAGGATATTGAAGCTTCGGCTACTGGACGAGGAATAATAATGAGAGACGTATGCCCCGAAGCCGCCTTGGCTTCAAAGTCAAAGAGTTTCTATGTCGAGTCTGATAATTGATTGTTTCGATGCACCCGAGGCATGGAAGCTTCTGTGCTTGGCTAGTCCAGACCCCAGCTGTCTGGGCGACCAGCTGCGAACCATGAGATAACGGTCCAAGCCCGAACCGGAATCCAAACTGCTGATTGCTAGGACGCATGGACGCAGATTCGGATAGGCGGAACGGCAGACTTCCAATGGTCGCGTAACCCACAATCGGATTTTGGGTTGAAAAAATTGACAGCGTTATGACTGAGGTAGGTGAGATGAGCTGCGGTTTGGCCGACAACGCAATATCGATATGACAGATGCACGGCATTAGGCCAACATTGTGCTGCTTTGTGTGTCCACGACAAAAATAACAAGGGGGGGGGGCAAACAAGGCGCTACATACCTCGAGGGGCGCGGGCTGCCGCCTGCAGGTTTTTGTGTCTGCTGTCAGATAAATGCAGGTAAAATACAGTAGACAAACAGGCACTGAGGTAGAATCCTCAAGTAAATATAAAGATGGGTGATAGTCATTAGAGTTGGGATGACGGGGCGGCTGGAACCCTGGCTGGCGGTGACAGACCGAGACCCCAACGTCTGATTGATCTGGGCATTCCGTTTTGTTTAGAAAAGAGCCCGGGGAAGGCATCAAAGCACCTCCATACATCTAACTGGCAGGTTGATGTAGCACTGCGCAGGTCGTCTGGTCCTCCCTGACTGGACGCTTGCCGCCCTTGCGCAACACAGGGTCCATCCATCCTGTCTGCACCGAATAGTGACGGCGGGGATTCTAGCCTGTTTTGCCGTCGGCACTGAGCGTCCCGGGCCTCGAGTCCCCACTTCGGCACAGACTGACCCTCCATTCTTCTTACCTAAGGCACCCGCAGAAAAAAAAACCCACCGCGTCGGGCGCTGTGCCCAGTGAGCCAGGGTGCCAGGGACCGTGTGCCGTGTGCCGTGTGCCGGCTCTTTGGTGCTGGTGCAGGGTCGCCCATCACTTCCCGCTGGCAGAGGCACCCTGCACACCTGCACCTGCACCGCACCGTTGCTACAGGCCTGCCACTCGTTGGCACTGCTCGTCACCTGCCAGCCCTCCTGACCGACCCCTTTGCTGAAGAAGCGGAGGGCCAAATCCAGCCCGACACGGTCAGGATCCGTCGCCGTCGATTGATCGAGCTGCGCCCCTCCAACTCGGCGACGCCCTCGAGACCCAACCCGTCATCCGTGTCCAATTTCCCGCCTCATCCATATTCCCTTCCTCGCTCGATCCCTCGACGGTCCCTGCCATTTACTTTATCTCCCCAGGCCCTCGTCACCCTCGCTTCGACAGACCCGGAGCCCCGATCGACACGTAGCCGTCGTCCTAGCGCGGCCGTGATTGAGCAGGAAAGGCGGGCAGCCTGGTTCGCGGGCGCCACGACTCTTGTCGATTGATGTCGACGCCTCCAGCCAATCGGGCTTTGGGTCGGTGTCTGACATAGCTAACGCCCTCACTTGATCAATTCACCCTCTCGCCCCCCTAAACACGCCTCTGCGAGCCTCTTGTCCTCGCGCGTTGTCGCTGGAGTAGGCCATCGTCCTCACCGCAGGCCGCCATGTCTGCACCCGATCCCGAAGGCGGCCTGCCGCTCCACGAGCGCGGCCGCGGCGGCCGCCTGGCACCGGCCGAAGCGCCCTACCAACCCGAGCGCGACTACCAAGGCCAGGCGATGGGCCCGGGCCCGGCCCGCCCAAACGGCGGGCATGGCCGCAACCCGTCACCCTCTTGGGCACCAAGCCCCGGCCCGGGCCCTACCCGGGGCGGCGACCACGCCCGAGACGACCGCAGCCGCAGTGGGGAAAGAAACCGATCGAGACCACGGAACGGCCGTTCGGCCAGCGGTCAGATGCGCATATGTAAAAAGTGCGGCGAGCCCTTGACCGGCCAGTTCGTGAGGGCTCTGGACGGCACGTTCCACCTAGATTGCTTCAAGTGCAGGGTGAGTATCTCGTCCCTCGACCCACCAAACTGTGCATGCCATTTTCCTTTCTTGTTCGCAGTGTCACTCGCTTGCTCATGATCGCCCCCTTTCCTTCCCGTCTATTCTGTATATCATCTCTGCTGCTGGTTATGTTCGCCCCTCAGCTTCTTATTTTCTTGTCCTTGTTTCTCTTCTTCTTTTTTCTCTTCCTCGCCTCTGCTTTGTCCATACGCACCTCGGTTGTGCATCTGCACGGCTCTCTATACCCTCTCATCGTCCTTCGAGCTGACCCGCCGTGAGTTTCTTCTTTACAGGACTGCGGACAAATAGTAGCGTCAAAATTCTTTCCCGCCGACGACGAAAACGGTGGACAGTATCCCTTGTGCGAGAAGGATTACTTTCGCCGCCTTGGCTTGCTCTGTTTCCAGTGCGGCAATGCCCTGCGAGGGTCCTACATAACAGCTTTAGACCGCAAGTACCACGTCGATCATTTTACCTGCTCCCTTTGCGAGACCGTCTTTGGCGCCCAGGACAGCTATTACGAGCACGATGGCAGCGTCTACTGCCACTACCACTACTCGACACAGTTTGCACAAAAGTGCAACGGCTGCCAGACCGCCATCCTGAAGCAGTTCGTCGAGATCTACCGCAACGGACAGAACCAGCATTGGCACCCCGAGTGCTACATGATCCACAAGTTCTGGAACGTCCGTCTCACACCGCCCCAGGAAGCCCCGGCCGAGCCCTACCAACATGAAGACGAGAAGGCCAGTCGTGAGCTCGTAAAGGAGGGCGAGGAGCGCATGGAGGAAAAGGTGTACCGAATCTGGAGCGTGCTCTCGACATTTGAGGAGTCCTCGGCTGCCTGTATCTCGGATATGCTCTTGCACGTCAGCAATGGTGCTTATGTCGAGGGCGTCATGGTCGCCAAGAAGTTCATATGGCACGTCGATATTCTGTTCAAGTCCGCCGACGGGCTCGATGCGGCCATGGCAAGGCTTGATATGAAAGGTACGGCGCTCACCACAAATACTGGCCCGACCTCGTTACTGACATTTCCTACCTGACCATCCTGCAGGCCTGTCTTACGGGAGGGAGGCAAAGTTGCTGTGCAAAAAGATCGTTGCCTTTTTCTCGCTCCTGTCGAAAGCCCAGGACAAAGATGTCCGGAAGCTCGGCGTCACGCAGGAGCTGCTGTCTCTAGTCACCGGCCTGGCGCATTACCTCAAGCTGCTGATCCGCATCTGTCTCCAGGGCGCGCTTCGGATAGAGAAGGAGAGAGGCACATCGGACGGGCTGTACCAGTTCTTGGATGATCTGGGTAACCTCGACAGCCTGAAGAACGACGAGCCCGCTTTCCAGATCACGAGCAGCATGTCTCGGCTATCCGCGAACGATTCGGACCAGTGCACCCTCTGCCGCAAGCCGATCGAGGATGAGTGCGCAAAGCTTGAAGACAAGCGTTGGCATCTGGCATGTGTTGCTTGCAGCCGATGTGGCAAAGAGCTGGGCCGGAACCTGCAGGACGCGAGATTCAGCCCTTACGACCAGAAGATATTCTGCAGCAACTGTGGCTCGTACCATGGCGATCAGGCCCACGGGTTCACCAAGGTCACCAAGCTCCAGCAATATGTCTTCTTGCTCAAGGTTGCTTTGGCGAGGCTGCTGGAGATTCTTCGGAGCACTGGCGCGCTCCCGCAGGCCTCGGAGGACGCTGGAGTGGATGGGTACGAATCGCTCGACGGCAGCCGAGAGGCTCCGCATCTCCGGGGCGATGCTAGGTCCAAGTCCTATGGCGGCGGGAAGGCGCACCACCGCGAGTCGTCGTACGAGAGCACCCTCAACGATGTTAGGAGACTGAGGAGCACGCGGCTGGACAAGGCGCTATCGTCCAGCTTCAGGAAGGCTAGGACGTCGCGGATCATGGACGGACCCGAAGGCACGAGACCAGGCTCAGCGGGAGGCGTTGGAGGGGCCGACCCTACCAAGCCCGGCTTTCAGATTGTCGAGGATAGGGGCCCGGCCGACGAAGGGACCACGGACACGATGCTCGGCAACCAGGATGCCTTGACGCTGGACGACATTCCCCGCATTGTTGCTGCCGAGCAAGCTCGCGAGCAAAGGCCCAATGCCTACGCCCGCCAGGAACTATTCCGATCGCCTGCTACGGAGCCGAACTTTGGGTCGAACCAGCACCGGGAGCTCTCACCAGGACGAGATGCCGACCCCCGCCGGGCTGGCGAAATGTCGCCACAGCGGGGCATGGGGATCGGCGGCAGGAAGTACTTCTCGGAGCTGTCGGGTCTCGAGTCTTTTATCGTCCGGCACCTTGCCGTCCTGACCATGCACCCGATGCTCGAGACTGAATTTTCACTCGAGGAGCTCCTTGGCTTCATCGAGTCGAGGAAACCGGCGACCTTCTGGAACAAGTTTGGCAAGGCATTCAAGAACGAGGGGAAGAAGAACGTCAAGAAAAAGGGCGTCTTCGGCGTGCCTCTGGAGATAATCATCGATCGCGACGGTGCCGACTCGACCGACGGGGTCGGGCCAGGCACTCTGCGGATCCCTGCCGTAGTCGACGACATCGTAGCGACCATGAGGCAGATGGATCTTTCGGTCGAAGGTGTGTTCAGGAAGAACGGCAACATCAAGAAGCTTAGCGAACTCTGCGAGAAGATCGACCGGGACGGCTGCGACAGCGTGAACCTGAGCGGCCAGACAGTCGTCCAAGTGGCCGCTCTCTTGAAGCGCTACCTGAGGGACCTCCCGGACCCATTGATGACGCACAAGCTCTATCGGTTGTGGCTGGCCGCCGCGAAGCTGCCGGACCCCGAGAAGCGACGGCAGTGCCTGCACCTGATCTGCTGCCTGCTGCCCAAGTGTCATCGGGACTGCCTCGAGATTCTGTTCTGCTTCCTGAAGTGGGCAGGTACCTTTCACCAGGTCGATGATGAGTCTGGCTCCAAGATGGATGTCAAGAACTTGTCAACAGTTATTGCGCCCAACATTCTTTACACAAGCTCCAAAGCCCTCACTCTGGACAGCGACCCCATGTTTGCCATCACCGCGGTTGAGGACATCATCACATACATAGAAGATATGTGCTTGGTATGTATTCTTTTTTCTCTCTCCCCCTCTTCCCTACTTTATGTTTCGATATCCTTGTCTCTATGTGCGTGCTGCTAACAGATCACCCACTCTCTTCCCCCGGGTTCTCTAGGTTCCTGATGACCTGGTCGACATACTCAACGACCCGTCCCTCTTCAACAACAATGGCGACATAACAACCAAGGAGATACTGAAAAGGTTCGGCGACCGGCCTCTGATGAATGGCGGAGGCCAGCGCCCGCATGGGGAGGCGGCTGAAATCATCGGGAGGCATGACACGCCCAATCGGCCGTTTGCCAAGCGAGTGGATACGGACCCCTCAGTTTGGCAGGACGAGCGGAGTGTGCGGCCAGTACAGGATCTGAACGCGCCTTATGCTGCTCCCGGTCACCACCAGCACCCACACACCTCACCAGGGAAGCCAAGGGGCCCTCCGCCTGAGGAAGGGCACCCATCACCATATGGCAGCGAGTTTGAGCCTCCAGGGATGACGCCTGACGGCCAGGATCGTGGTCAGCGGCGTGAATGGCGCAACTCGGGATGGAGCAGACAGAATAGTTCGGTCGGCGTCACAGGAACGGGGTGACGGCGCATGTCTGGGTTTATGGCTGGCTTGTTGGAAACATTCGAAAGCAAAAAGAATACGGAAAAAAGGCCGTTCTGCGGCCAAACTCGATCAGATATTTCATCTTTATCCTCCTCCGGCGGTCTTTTCCCATCCTGTGTTTTCTTACCCGCAGCTTGTTTACTCGTCCACCGTGTTCCCTACCTCTCGCGCCGCCATCCCACCTTTCCCCCCACCTTTCCTCCTCTTCTTTTTTTGTCCTATCTCTCCCTTTCTTTCTACTCTATATAACTATTTTGGTTTCTTTCGTTGCTCTTCTCCTTATTTTCTTTGTTCATGGTTTCTCTGGTAACTCTTCCATCCCTGCCGGTTTACAGCAATCGGATTATCCGTCATTGTCTGTTGGTGCACACTCGTGCATAACCTGGTCCTTGGGATGGACTTCGATATACCCTCCCATGCGCTACGTGGCCTACCTTTTTTTCTTCTTTTTTTTGTAATGCTTTTTTTCTCTCTCACTACTGCTTTTACTAGAGCCACTCATACTTGGGGTGTAGAGCAATACGAAACATGTCTGCATCGTCTTGACCAAGTCCGCTCGCCAAATCCCAAGCCTCGTGCTGCGCATCGCCACTTTGGATCCTACTTCTCTTGCAGCCGTTTAAACCGTAACCCATGCAAGGGGCGCTTGTCACGTTCCACTCTGGGAAAAGAATTATGGGAATATGGGTAGATTGACCCTCAAACTTTTCCGCGGACGAAGGGAGTTGTTCGAGAGACAGACAGCAGAAAAGTGGTCAAAAGTGTATATTAGTGGAAGTCCTGTAGTTTATATAGATGAAACATATGTAAATCCCGCCGGCAATCATCCCTTCGATCATGACAAGATAGAGCCGAGTTAAAATAGTGCCGGACAAATATTAAAGCCGATTCTTCCCCACCCGCCTCCTGGACCCCTTACTTGGCCGCGGCGGCGGCTTGTTGCCGACTCAGACAGTCGGCGACGCCTCTCCGAACGCCCTCCTCAAGCGACACGAGGGGCTTGTAGCCCAGGCGCCTCTTTGCCTTGTCGATGTTGTAGTAACGCGTCATGCAGCTGTAGATGATGCGCTGGCGGTTCAGGGTCGGGGCCCTCCCGACGAGCCAGCATCCCATCTCGCTCAGCCAGCCGAGGGCCAGGCCGACCTCGCGGGGCAGGACCCAGACGCGGTCGACGCCGTGCGGGGAGCCGGCGGCCTTCCAGACCATGCGGGCAAAGTCCCAGAAGTAGAGGGGCGAGTCGTTGGTGACGAGGAAGACCTCGCCGTCGACGCGCTCGTGCTCGAGCGGGGCCGTGGCCGACTCGTGCGTGATCAGGAGCGCGCGGGCGGCCAGCAGGTGGGCGTGGGCGACGTTGCCGACGTAGGTGAAGTCGAAGATGTTGTTGTTGTCCCCGACCTGGACGCTCCACTTGCCCTCCTGGTAGGCCTGCACCATCTTGGGGATGGCCATGGCGTCGCCCTCGCCGATGATGCCCGCGGGCCGGATGGCAACCGTCAGCAGCCGCGAGGGCTCGTTGGCCTCGATGACGATCTGCTCGGCCGCGGCCTTTGTCTCCGAGTAGTACTCGGACTGGTCGGCGCCCCGGATGACGGGCCAGCGCTCGTCGGCGTTGACGAGGTCCGAGTGGTTGTCGCTCACGACGCTGGCGGAGCTGGTGAAGACGAGGGCCTTGACGGCGGCGGAGCGGCAGGCCTCGACGACGGCGGCAGTGCCGTCGACGTTGACGCGCCGGAACAGGTCGTGGCTGGCCTTGTCGTCGCCCTGCGCGAGCGGGCTGGCCGTGTGGATCACCACGTCGGGCTTGAGCTCCTCGAAGACGGACGCGAGCCGCGCCGCGTCGGTGATGTCGGCGTCGACGTAGCGGACCCCGTCCGACTCGGGCCGCCGGTTGCGCGTGCAGCGCAGGTCGATGACCGAGACGGTGCACCGGTAGCCCTCGATCAGCATGCGCACCACGTGGTGGCCCAGGAACCCGCACCCGCCGATGACGAGAACCCTGCCCAGGTTGGGCTTTGCTTCTTCCGCCATTGTTCGGGGGGTGTCCTGGCGTTGGGTGGCGTTGGGCCGGTTCCGGAGTCGGTCAACGGGGGTGGAGGAGGAGGGGCGGCGGCGGCGGCGGCGGTGGTGGTGGTGCTGGGCTGGCAGCGGACCTGGCCTGGTCCCGGGTCGGGGCGGTCTGAAGGGAGGCGCACGGATAGTGCGGCTTGGAGCCTGGATCGTAGTCGAGGGTCTGGGTCGGGGGCTGGGGTTGTTTGTGGGAGGATTACAGTCGAGGTCGAGACGGCCACAGCCAACCAGTCTGGCGGGAAAAAAGGCCGGATATTTGGACGTGCATAGATCCTCCAATCCAATTAGACCTCAAACTTGGCCGTCGTGAGTGGGCCACTAACTGTGCAGGGCCTTAGCGTACAACCCGGCTTACCTAAGACCCACAACCAGCAACAATGCAGGCTATCAGCCCACGGCTCCAGGCCCGTCCCCCCACTAGGCGAGCGTGAACAAGCCCGCTCAGCTGGTGCCTTAATGGAGCATCTGTGCTTCTCTCCAGCAACAACAACTGCTTGCGCTCGGCTTTAGGTCTGTGGTCCGGGCCTGTCCGTGATGGGCATGACACTCCATGGCCCGTACAATGGCAGGATATTTCCGGGGCTTCTAGCTGCTCAGTCCTAAACGCCCATCCTCAGCGCTCAAGTTCTTTCTTGGATATGGACCCCGTATGGGCCGAAGCAGAAACCGAGATCCTGGTGCACGCCGCCGCTCCCAGCCGGGCTTCGCACGACGCCTACTACCGGGCCTTGGCAAGTGCCTATCTCGACTTCCAGCCCTCCCGGATCACTCTCCTGGTGCCCACCAGGGATGCCGACCCCGACCCCGACTGCCCGCCATCGCCCAATCAGGTCATCCACTCCCCGCAGCTCTCATTTGAGGATGTCTTGGATAACGCTGGCTCTCCCCGTCCCGAACTACCCCGATATCCAGACGCCGAGGTGCTGGCCGCAGATTCGCAATCGTCTCTGTCTGTGCCGCCCAGCGAGGTTGAGGATTCCCAACCCTTTCACCACCTGCGCCTAGGGATCCGGTCCTCGCAGGGGAGTGACAGTCCGGCTCGTCGTGAACCGCCCTCGTTAGCACTGCCGTCGTCGTCTCCCGGCCGTGGAGACATAGACGCGAGCATCTACGGCCTTGGTCTTAGTAATTCCGACGTTGATGCCTTCGACGACGATCCCGAACATGATGGCCACGACACGGTGCCGTCCTCGGGCCGGGCCGACTCAGAGCCCCTCCTCGCCGATGGAGCGGGGTTCTCGCCGCTGCGACGGGAGCTGCTGATGACCAAAAGCCTCAGCGACGTCGGCCCCGGGCGCCCTGAGCTCTCGCACGAAGCCAGGGCCGCCAGACAAGGCGGTCCAGGCGCAAGGCTGGCGGGAGCCCTCGAGGTGTTCGCCCCGGAACCCGACGGCTCGTGCGACGACCTCGAGCCGTCGAGCCTGCTCACCTACAACCTCGTCAAGCTCGACTCCGACCTTGGCCTGGCGGGGCGCTTCGTGTCCAAGAGACGACTGCTGCAGGGGAGGGAGCCGCGACCGACGGAGCGCGGCTTCTGGGAGCTCGCGTGCTCAGGCTGGGGCCCTGACGCCAAGAGGGAGACCTGGGGCTACCTTGCACGCTACGTCGGCGAGGGCCGTGCTGGCTGGGGAGTGTGGCTCAAGCGGGATAACGCAACCGACAGTATACGTCTGTTTTCCTTCGGCCACGTATTGGGCCACATGTATCTTCTTCTCTACACCGCCACCCGCCGCCGTATCCTCAGCCTTGACTGCACATGGACGTCGGGCGGTGATGGCCTCGTCCTCGTTCCGGCGACCAAGAATCGCTGGGACATGTGAAGAGCTGGACTGACTTCTACTCGGGAAGCGGGAGAGATGTTCCTTTCGTTAATTACTTCCCCTGGATTTACCACGTTTCGAGCTATTATACATACACCAACGTGCCTCCATTCCTCGCCTTTTCCCTAATGCTTAATCCTACGACGCACAAAAACTGCCCACACAGCGCAACTATCACCCATGGGAAGAAAATAACCACAGATGCACAAACTGCAAAAGGGACGTGAGAGAAAAGAAGATGTGTGCTGTTCCCTTTTCAGGGGGTAGTTTGGGTATTCGTGCGTTGAAATAAGGAAAGCGTAACGACTGGAATTCCAGAACGACCGAAACCTATTTAGACACAATTTGGAGTGGCGCTGACATGCGAATCATGGCCCCTCAAGTCACACAGCTAGACAGACGAGTTGAGGTCGTCGAGCCCGAAACTCGCTCCTCTTGTCCACCTAGTATCGTGCATTTTTTTGCAACTAGCATGATGGGATTGACAAGAGTGGTAGCGGAGCTCGCCGAGCTTGAAAGACATAGAGCCTACAACAAGCCTACGTTCTTCTTCTCCACCTCGTACCGAGACCGGTCTGCAATCGCCATGTCAATGAAGGGCTGTTGGTAAGCGTCCAATGTTAGCAGTAGCTCATCGGTCTTACATGGCGCGAGTAATTATGATAGTAAAAGGCACCCCTTGGGTCATCTCGTCATACCTTGCGCTCGGCCGTGCCCAGTGTGTTCCACTGAGAAGCAGCAGCCTTCGCATGATCCGTAACCTTCACGAGTGCGGGATCGCGAGGCGTGAAGCCCTTTTGAATATAGAAGAAGAAGGGCGTCATCGGGCGTTTGGGAAGACGGGGGTCCTTGATCATCGATTTCGAGACCTTGTGGACGCGGCGGAGGCGGGAGCGCGCCTTGTTTGCGGCATGCACCTCGGCTGGAGTGTGGCTCTCCACCCAAGCCTTGTAGGCAGCCTTGTTTAATTCGACATTCGCCCGCGCGGTCTCCTTTAGGTTCTAATCATGTTGAAGCTATTTGTCAGCAACTTGCTGTCGTTTTGTCGCGACTGGAAGACACTACGCACCTCGACCTCTGCCGCCGGCAGCTCCTTGAAGCTCTTGCTGAGAGCGGGTGTCTCCTGTGTAACATTGAAGTGCTTGCCCTGGATCTTCTGCTTGAGGTAAACCAGCCAGGAGTTCGAAGGGAGCTGGGTCGGTACAGACAGGGTACTCTTCGCCAGCTTTCTCTTGTCCGAAGCCAGCTTCTCCTCGGGGGTCTTCGCCGGCTTCCTCGCCTTGGTTGCCTTCTTTTTCGGCTTAGCAGCCTTGGACTTAGCCTTGGGCTTGGCAGCCCTGGCACCCTTGGTAGTCTTTGTCGCCTTAGCAGATTTGGCCGTCTTGGTCGCCGGCTTCTTGGTCGCCAGCTTCTTCGTCGCAGCGGCGCGGGCCTTGGGCTTGGTCGCGGTAGCTTTGGTAGCAGCCGCGGCTGGCTTGCGGGCAGTCTTGGCTTTGGCCGTCGCAGTCGCGAGGCTCCGGGCCACAACGGTCAGGCGGTAGGCGCACGAGGCGCTGCGGTTGAGAACCACCCGCGCCGAGAGCCATCCCAGGCCATGGCGGGCGGGCAGGGAGCCGGTGGCCCCAGTGACGCGCGCGGCTTGCAGCGCAGCGGGACGAACGATAGACCACATTGTTGCAAGTTGAGGCGGCGCTTGATATTTGGGATTCAAGCGATCACCGGTGGCGGCGTCAGTTTGTGTGGACTTTGAGCGATTGATTGAATTGGAATTGGAGTGTGGCCCAGCAAGCGTTCCACCGACATCAAGGTCTGCGGTTGATGAGGTAGGTCAGTTATCAGTGGAGGAATCTGTTTTCCACCTTTTTTGCTGCATGGATGCAAGCTTCGTTCACTCACACAACTGTGGAGCCCAGCCTTGTTTTACACTCGCATTGAGGGGAACGGATGGCGTGGGAGCGTGGGAGCCATGCGCGGCACTGTACCTTGCTCGGCGCAAATTCCAGGGCTTTGAGCCTGAGTGGCTTGCGCCCAACGGCACGACCTAGCGTGTACCCCTCCGTGTCCTCCAAGCGATATCACGTGCTATACAGTGACGCTATTGAATTCGCAAGGTGGCACGTGCACGGTGACCCACAGATACCCCCAGGAGTGTGTCCGGCAAATCCACTCCGCGGCTGGGCTGCAGACTCATCGGCGTCCAGCTAGCCAAGGATCCATCATTTGACAAGCAAGAAAAAAAACCTCCAAAAAAAAGGAAAGAAAGAAACAAAGAAAGAAGAAAAGAGCCGCGACCGCCATCTCGGGGTCCTTTGGCACTCAATCAACTCTTCCTCCAGCTGTGGCTGAACACACATTATCGGCTGCACTCTGAGTCCAGCGCTGGCCACCATCGTTTTTGCTCCACGTCAACGCCTCTATTCAGCCTTGTCTCTTGGTGGATGACGGGAGTTGGCACCGTTTGGCGCCTCTTCAATAACCGTGACTCTGCAGCACCCTCGAAAGAAGTACATCTCACCAAAAAGAAAAAGTGCCTCTTGAGCCGCCAGCAGCACAATGGCTCGCCCCAGAACGTCACGCTCACCATCTCCTGCAGGAAGCCAGCAGTCCTCAAGACGTAACGCAAAGGATGAAGAGAGACGTGATCGCGGTGGCAACCGGGACAGGCCCCGCGATCGCCACCGCTCCCGCAGTCCTGCCGACGTGAGTGCACTCTCTGAGCCTGGCCACTTGCCGCGTGTGTCCACTAACTTGCGCCCGCAACAGCGCCGCCATCGAGAACGAGAACGAGAACGAGACCGAGACCGAGACCGAGACCGAGACCGAGATCGCGACCGCGATCGAGACCATGGCACATATCGCCGCCGCGATCGCTCCCGTGACCGGTCCTTAGATCGCCGAGATGACGACTACTACCGCGGCGGACGCAGGGACGGCATCGCCAACCGCGACCGTCGCCGCTCACGCGACCGCCTTCGCGACCGGGAACGATCACCGCCAAGACGCCGTCCGCGGAGCCGTGATGTCGATCGCGATCACCGCGCCAGGCGAGATGACTCCCTAGATAGAAATCGTGCTCGTCACGAGGATGCCGCCGATTTGGGGCCGCGTGGCAGAGCTGATGACCAGCGCCAACGTGTGTCTAGCACAGCACACGGCGGGAAGCCCAAGGAAGCAGATGTATGTTGTCCCAGGAAAAAAAAATCCTCCAACTTGATCTTGGTAAACAGAGTTTCTGACAATCCACAGGCCGCCAAGACCGCCCAGTCACAGGTGCAGTTAGAGGCCGACAAGAAAGCCGAGAGACTGGCTAAGCTGGAAGCATGGAAGAAGAAGAAGGAGATGGAGCAGCGTAAGGAGGGCGGTGCAACACCTGGCAGCACGAGGAAACTCCTTGCCGAGATGGACATCAGAGCCACCGGAATCCCCGCTGCTATCTTGTCTCCGTCAAACGGAACGACCACGGGGCCCGGCTCTCCAGCGACCCCCCAATCGGCCCAGGAGGCGCAGCCAGTCGTCCCTTACGGTGGTAAATTTGATCCCAAGGCCATAGCTAAGAAATCTGGCCCCCGGCATCAATCCCCCACTGTTCTCGGGTCCATCAAGGGCCACCCTGTCGACAAGACCGCCACGGTCTCGACAACCTCCTTGGTCGGTAGGTCGAACCCGCCTGGTTTTTCTCGTTGCTTGAATATTTGTTGTTTCAACGCCACATGTCCAAGTGCTGACCGACCTACAGCGTCCTCGCTACCGCAAGGGAAACCAATCAGTGGCTTTGGGTTCCAAAAGTCGTCTGAACATGACAAGGCCCCGACAAAGCGCAAGTTGAATTTGGACGACGAGGAGACGTCGAAGCGCAAACTTGCCAAGCTACCTGATGTATCTCTTGAAACCACGGACAGCACGTCGTACGTGGAGCAGGCTGATGACGACGACTCCTCGGATGGTGACAACTTCGCAGGGACCGAAGAGGAGGCTGCCGCTGCGGCCCGAGCTGCTCATGAGCGGCGCGAGGAACGGATGCTACAGCAGAGCATGGCCATACAAACAGATGACAACAGCGAGGTCCCATCGGCAGCAAACGGCGAGACAGCTGATGCTGATGTCGTAGTACCCCATGAGATCACGGCTATGGAGGTCGACGAGAAGAATACAGTGGAAGACGACGTTGATCCGCTCGACGCCTTCATGGCCGATTTGGAAGAGCCAGCCACCAGTGCGCGAAGCAAGCTAGCCAAGACTGCGGGCGGCTCCAAGCCGGCCCCTATCCCAGAGGCCTACTTCAGTGACGACGACGACTTTGCATCTGGCGCTGCGGAGGATCCCGATGCCAAAACTTTGCTTGCTCTGACTGCGAAGCGCAAGAAGAAGGAGATCCCCAAGATTGACTATAGCAAGCTCGATCTTGGGGTGATCCGCAAGAATTTCTGGGTTGAGCCCTCGGAGTTGAGCGAGATGTCGGAAGCCGAGGTGGCCGAATTGCGCCTCGAGCTGGACGGCATCAAGGTGTCAGGCAAGGATGTTCCAAAGCCTGTGCAGAAATGGTCGCACTGCGGTCTCACACGGCCGATATTGGATGTCATTGACAAGCTGGCCTACGACAAACCAACTGCCATTCAGATGCAGGCTCTTCCCGTCATCATGTCGGGCCGGGATATGGTGGGCGTGGCCAAGACAGGATCCGGCAAGACCATGGCGTTCCTTCTTCCCATGTTCCGCCACATCAAGGACCAGAAGCCCGTCAAGGACGCCGAGGGCCCCATCGGCCTGATTTTGACCCCCACCCGCGAGCTTGCCGTTCAGATCTTCCGCGACTGCAAACCGTTTCTGAAAGCGCTCGGCCTGCGCGCCGTCTGCGCATACGGCGGGCCCCCAATCAAGGACCAGATAGCCGACCTGAAGCGGGGCGCAGAGATTGTGGTAGCAACGACAGGCCGGATGATTGATCTCCTGGCGGCGAACCAAGGTCGAGTGGTTAGCCTGCGGCGGACCACGTACATTGTCCTCGACGAGGCCGACAGGATGTTCGACATGGGCTTCGAGCCCCAAGTCACAAAGATTCTGGGCAACGCCAGGCCAGACCTCCAGACGGTACTGTTCTCGGCCACGATGCCGAAAATCATGGACGCACTCGTCAAAAAGGTGCTTAAAAACCCGGTGGAGATTGAGGTTGGCGGCAAGAGCGTGGTTGCGTCGGAGATTACGCAGATTGTCGAGATCAGGGAGGAGAAGACAAAGTTTAACCGGCTGCTGGAGCTTCTGGGAGCGCTCTACGTGGACGATGACGACGTCCGGGCGCTGGTCTTTGTCGAGAGGCAGGAAAAGGCAGACGAGCTGCTGCGCGAGCTGCTGCACAAGGGCTGGGGTTGCATGTCCCTGCATGGCGGAAAGGACCAGGTGGACAGAGACTCGACCATCTCGGACTTCAAGTCGGGCGTCTGCCCAATCCTCATAGCCACATCCGTGGCGGCGCGGGGCCTCGACGTGAAGCAGCTAAAGCTTGTAGTCAACTACGATGCGCCAAACCACCTCGAGGACTACGTCCACCGTGCTGGTCGGACGGGTCGGGCAGGGAATACGGGCACGGCGGTGACATTCATCACGGAGGAGCAGGAGAACTGCGCCATGGGAATTGCTAGGGCTCTGGAGCAGAGTGGTCAGCCTGTGCCGGAGCGGCTCGTTGAAATGCGCAAGGCGTTCAAGGACAAGATCAAGGCGGGCCAGGCCAAGGACCAATCCGGGTTCGGCGGCAAAGGTCTCGAACGGCTGGACAAGGAACGAGAAGCGGCACGCAACCGCGAGCGCAAGACGCACAAGGCTGAAGGAGAAGACGAGGACGTGCCGGAGGAGAAGACGGGCAAGGACGACGAGAAGAAGCTGAAGGCGTCGACGGCCATACTGTCCGCGGTGTCGGCAATCGTCTCTCGGGACGCAGCCAAGGCCGAAGCCGAGGCCAAGGGCACAGCAAGTTCAAACGAAGCCGCAGTCTCGACAGGCGCAAAGGGCGGGGCCCTAGACAAGGCTGCGTCGGCCATCGAGATGATCAACGCGCGGCTCGCCAAGGCCGGGCAGCTGAGGCCCGGGCAGCCCATCGACAACAAGGGGCCGGACGCGGGGGCTTTCCACGCGACGCTAGAGATCAACGATTTCCCGCAAAAGGCGCGCTGGGCTGTCACCAACCGCACCAACGTGGCAAAAATCCTGGATGCTACAGGCACCTCCATCACTACAAAGGGCACTTACTACGCTCCGGGCAAGGAACCGGCGCCGGGTGCAGACCCCAAGCTGTACATTCTTATCGAGGGCGATACAGAGCTTGTTGTGGGCAACGCCCTGTCAGAGCTCACGCGCCTCCTCCGCGAAGGCACGATAGCTGCCGCGGATGCAGAGAGCCGTGCCCCGGCCAGTGGCAGGTACACCATCACGTGATTGGGGCACATGCCGCGGAAGAATCAGGAACGGCCCTTAGAATTGGGCTGTGTTGGCCGCAAAGGAGGCCCAGGGTGTGTTACATATATAGTCCATACATGTATTAATCTCTATATTCAACGGTTAATGCGGTATGACGGGGGTTATCTCGTCTGATTCGTTCTGTGCGCCCGCAGAAAGAGAGACCCGGCAAACAAAAAGGCGCAACATGAGTGGGGGATGGAAGGGAAAGGCCGGGGGATAGGCTAGGCTAGGCTGGAAATAAGTAGTAGATAGGCAAAGAATAAGATTGGATATGATGGATGGATATATTGGGAATGGGTAGCTCGAAGACATTGGCCTCAGTTATGGCTCAAGGCCTTGGCCTGGTCGTCAATGTCTCTCAGTCGGCGGTTCTCCTCGCTCACCTCCTTCAGGGTTTCGTTCCTCGTTTTCTTTTTCTGAACCTCGAGCTGGCTCCCAAGTTTCCCTGCCGACTTGCCTTTTGCGCGGGCCTCAGCCGCCTCTGCGGCTTTCCTCCTCGCGTCCTCGGCGCTGGTGGAGGACGCGCTACTGCTCGCGCCACCTCCGCCGCCACCACCGCCGAGGGTACGGGGCGGGCCACCGACCTTTGGGGGCTTAGGACGAATGGCCAAAGCCGGGATGGAGGCCGTGGTCTGTCTGGGCGGAGCGGAGCCGAGGACGCGGCCCTGGGAGGCGAAGTTGTCCGATTCGGGCTTTCCGCAGCAGTTTCCCATGATGGCAGTCGCAACGGTGCTGGTGGCGTCGGTTGTTGGTAGTGGTAAAGGTAGGCGACTGGCAGTCCTGCGCCAACGCCAGGCGGGGGCCTTTGGTTGGGGACGCAGGCGGCGGGGCCAAACGGGCAGAAGCTTCAGGTGGCGGCCGCTGCAGAGAGCGAGTCGCGTAGAGATAGACCGTGTCGTGCGCGCTCTGGTCTCTGGTCAAATCAAAGGGGCAGGCGGTGGTGGGGAGAGCGGAAAGCGACAGAAGCCGGCGATCATGTGCGACAATTGCGAAATATACGCGCACGCGCGTTTGTGTGTGTCGCCGTTGGGGGCGCGTATATGGAGCGATGTGAGTCACTATGGAAGACGGAAGAGGCCCCTAGTTGAATGTGTTGGAATCCGATCTTCTTCCTTGTCGTCCGTGGTTGCCGCGCTCTTTCGTATGCGAGGTGGGTGACGAATGCATCCATTCATTCATAATTCATACTGGAGTGCGTGAGTGCCTCGCACTGCCTCGGTAGCACCACCACTAAAAGCACCGGCCCCGCATTTGCCCCGCAAATCGGGTCCAATCGAGACAGGGCGGCGGGCTGACAAAACCGCAAGTTGAGTCTAAAATCCAGCCCGTCTCTCATTGCCCATCAAGGTTCTCACACAAAGTGCTCCGGCCCGCTCGAACAATCGCCGACCCTCGCCATTCCGCCGCCCCGCGTCGATACGGAACACTCGCGAAGCCGTTGCCAGACAGCCGAAAGAGCCCCACGTCGAAAAATAATCAATTCAATTGAAGCAGTGCCACATTCGCATCACGCTTGCTTGTCCTTTTCTTGCTCGACGACCCCACGCCTTCGCACTGCGCGGCTCTGATCTATCTTGCTTATCTCCGCGGACCGTCCGACGCTGGCCTCGCGCCCTATGCTACCACCATGATCCAAGCGGACAGGAACACTCCGGGTGTTCCCCCTCGCGGCGCCGCTTCGGTGTTCTCGTTCGCCGGCGCCGCAACCCATGCCCGCCAGATGAACAGCGGGCTGGACAAGGACCTCGTCGGCTACCAAGGCCACACCCACCAGCTCCTCCAGGCCCCGGCTCACGCGGCCAACAGACTCGATGCCGCGCCGCCCGCCTTCACCGCGGCCGCTCACGACCACGACTGGCTCATCGCCGACGGCTACCCGGCATTTCTAGCGGCCGACGCGCCGTCATGGGACCCCACCGACTATGTCTACTCGTCCGGGGCGCTGTCCATGTCGCACGCCGATGGGTTTGGCCACCTAATTGGCTCCCACGATGCCAACCAGGCACAAAGTGAGAGCGCCTTTGGCTGGTCCGCCGTCCCGGATAGTGCTGCTTCGACTGCCGTCGCGCATGAGGGTGCCCCCGGCCCGGCCCTGGTGCGCAGGAACTCGACGACCAGCAGCTGCGCAGGATCCAGCTGTAGCAGCGCATGCGTCTACGGCGATCGGTGCGACATTGCCGAGCCCTGCGAGCTCGGCGACGAGTGTGAACTCGACCAGCCTTGCGAGCTCGGCGACGAGTGTGGGCTGGACCAGCCATGTGACGCGTCAGACTGCGACGACGAGCCCGTCTGCGTGGACGAGTCCTGTCCAGCCTATACCTGCGAAGAAACAAAGGCCGCCGCCACCCTAGCCTCGTTCGTCGCCACCGATGCTGGCGCAACCCCATCCGCGCAGCGGCAGCACCTTGAACCTTTGCAGGCCAGCCACTCGACGTTCCCCTCGACGTCCTCGGTTGTGCCACAGCACGATACCGCCCGGAACGCCCACTGCGATGGCTCCATGGTAGCACCCAAGGCGGTCATCCAGCATCTGATCGAGAGGCACAATGATCCGTCGGCCGAGTCCTGCGTTCGGCCTTGCCTTGTGGACCAGCCACCCAACTACTCCGTCTGCCCCATGCCGTGCTTGCTGGAACACCCCCAGCTGCACGGCCACCAGTGCCCATGTGACGACAGCTTCTTCTTCACGGCCCTCGACAGCAACGGCCCGATGGACTGGGACAACCCTTCGGCGCTGGCATCAGACTGCAGCGCCCACTGGACAAGCGGAGACGAGCTCCTTCAGCACTGGCACATGCAGCATAGGGCCATGTTTCTTCACCCACACCACCAGCAACACCCCCTCGATCGCCCTTTGGAACATGAGTTCGGCGCCATATCGTCGCACGGGCGCCTCCATACGCCGCCATTCATACCATCTCAAGACGATTCTTTGGCAGTACACGCGCACCACCCACTGGCGTCGTCACCAGCCACCACACTCACCCACGACCCGTCCACCATCGCCACCCCGCTGACGGGTGCGTCCACAGCCTTTTCCCCGCCGCCGACAACACCAGCCGGCCTCAATGAAAACGGGGTCGTCCCCAACGAAGGGTCACGAGCTGGTGACCCGGAAGCAGTCGGCGAGGCCTTTCAGTGTCTGTGGTGTGACTCCCCCGGCGCCAGCTGCTGTGGGCAGGTGTTTGACAATCCCAAAGATCTCAATCTCCACGTCATTGGCTACCACGTCAAGATGTTGGAAAGAAGCGACGGCGGCTACGTGTGCGGCTGGCAAGGCTGCAAGCGCAGCTCCGAGGGCAAAAAAGGGTTTCCACAGAAGAGCAAGATCGAGCGTCATGTGCAAACCCACACGGGAGGTATGTTGTCATCTTGACCCCGGAGGATGTGCCGAGCTGATGTTTCTCCCTTGATGCACCAGAAAAACCATACAAGTGCCCGACTTGCCACATAACGTTTTCGGCCAAGCAGGCGCTGGACCAGCACGAGCTCATCCACAAGGGCTCCAAGCCGCTGCCTTGCGAGTACCCTGGCTGCAACAAGACATTCAGGCAGCAGAGTGCAAGGAGTGAGTAGCACAGTCGTGGTGTCTCGGGGCCGTGTGCGGCCTGGTGCTTTCTTTTTACTGACTTTTGTGGACCATGCAACCCCCTCCCACAGCCATGCACATGCGTACCCACACCAAGGTCAAGCCCCTCGCCTGCAACATATGCGGGCGGCGCTTCAGCGAGTCGTCGAACCTGTCCAAGCACCGCAGGACGCACGCCGAGGTCGGTGCCTTCATGTGCCGCCACCCAGGGTGCAGTAAGACCTTTCACCGCATGGACCAGCTCCGCCGCCACAAAAAGACCCACGAGACCAAGATCAAGATCCGCCGAGGGGGCGCCTACCAGGCCGCCCAAGCGGCCCCGGGCACTCTCGAGGACGACGGCGCCGCCGGCGACAACCCTGGCGAGTCTACCAGCACGTCCCCCGACATGTCTGAAAGCGAGTCCCTGTGAAGTCGTCCGAGATGAACACGCATCCCTTTCTCAAGTCGTCACTGCACCTCATTCCGCATTTTAAAAAGGATACCCCAACCTGCAGGCGTTGATTTCTTTCTCTCCTTCATTTCCCAGAGCGTGCTATCTTGTATTGGTAATTTTATAGTCATCTTGCTGTTGGATCTGCACTCCATTTTCTTTCCCTTCACTTCTCAAAGAGTATCCCTCATTTCCCGTTTTATACCGGCCACCAAGGCTACATTGATGCTTAGGACTAAATAGAGAAATGAAGCGCTCTCTCATGGACTTTGGCAATGTGAGAGAATGCATACTGCACTGCATTGCACGAGGTTCTGGGCTCGAGATTGTTTTGTTCATCCGTTGGTATTTGACAGCTGATTTGGGCTGCCTGTTATGATCCCCCTGAAAAAGATCATTTTTATCCCTCGTGAAAATACCCTTTAACCCCTTTCCCTGAACAAACACATGTCCCCGGGATGCAATGCAAAGCGTATCGAGAGAAATTCGCGTTTTTGTTTTTGTTCTTGATAAACCCCGCGCCGACGAGAAAGCAGTCCGTTGGAGAGAAACGCAACCCCCCTTGCCCCAGATGCGACCAAATTAGAAACTCCGAAAACCCCGATTTACTCGGCCTGTAAATGATGAAAGGGACGTCTGGTCAGCAAGGAAGGCTCCTGACAGTGGTGTCGTGGCAGGAGGACGCAATGTCGCTGGCCGGCCCGGATCCGAAAGAGGACCACCTACCTTGACGAAGTACGTCCGCTGGGAAAAGTGTTGCTGCCGCTTGCGGGTCTTCTCGAGAACCCTCGAGGCGTCCTCTTTGGACAGCTGGCGGCGGATGGCACGAGTCTGCTTCGCCCTCAGGTCCAGGGGAAGGTAGGTCTTGTTCTTGTAGAAGAGGCGGAGCTGCGACCGCTGCTTCAGGTTGATGACGGTCAGGACGCGGGCAATTGACTTGCGCAGGTCGTGGCTATTGGAGGGGAAACCCGGTCGTTAGCCATTGCGCCTGTGAGGTTTTGTGTCATTTGCCCCATAAATCCAACAATCGCTTCGGCACCATCTCCTGGCATCTCTGATGCCGAGCGATTGCTGGTGATATGGTCCTCATCATGATCTCGCCCCGGCAAGACCCTTCATCAACCCCCTTTCCAATCGCGCGTCTGCAGTTCTTGTCGGGGCGAGCAACAGAAAAAGTGGCCGAACTATCGGGAGCGGCATCGACGCGGGTGTCTAACGGAAAGCGGGGCAGGAAGAGTCGTACATCTTGTTCAGCTTGGTGCCTGAAGAGGCGATCTTCTGGATGCGGAGCTGGTTGAGCTCAGTCTTGAGCTCGCTGAGCTGCTTGGTGAGCTCATCCTTATCCTTGCCCCAGAGGGCGCCGGCCTTGACTTTAGCGGTAGACTGTTTGGTTCCCCTCCAAATGTTAGCCAAGTCTGGTCAAATTCCGCACCTGCTTGCCGGCGCGGCAGCATCCAGGAAGATCCTAGGAATCCCGTGGCTGCGCCATGCATCTATCCCGCCCAGAATGCCGCCATCCCCGGATCCCTATCTCCCAGCGGTCGGGGCAAGGGCGGTTCCCGCATTCATCGCCTGATGTGCACACAGATGCAGCAACAATTCGGGGAAGTAGAGGGCCAGCAGGTTGGACATCGAGTAACGTCGCAGACGTACCATTTTCGGTGTGGTTAGTCGTCGGATCCGGGGGAGGAGAGTGGTGATTTGGTTGGTGTAGTCGCGTCGCCGGGCAATTGCTGGGGGGAAGATCTGAAAGCAAGGCGGCGAAAATTTAGGGTTGGAAATGTGTGTGTGAGACCGAATTCAGCGTCACGTGTTGCCAATTGCTTTCCGATTCTTTTTTTTTTTTTTTTTTTGCCTTTTAGGAAAAAGTCTGAACACCCCTTGGCGTGCCCACCCGACCCCACTTGTGTCGGCAAGGGTGCATCAGCCACATCCCGCACCCAGCCACACTTGAAAAGAATGTGAAACCAGAAGGAGACAATGGGGGTTCCAATTAGTCGTCGCTTCTTGTCATTACGTAGAACTGGACCCACCAGTTCCAGCCGACGGCTATGGCCATCCATGCAGGGACCACCCGGCCGCATCGGGACCTGTCCATTTCGTTTCGACATTGACAAGACCATCACCCCCTTGGACGCCTTCCCCACGAACATAGCTGCTGTCGTTCGACCCCATCGCGAGTTTACGCCGGACAACCCACGCATCAGCATACATAGATCTGCCGCCATTCCGGCTCGATAGCCTCCACACAGCCCGAATCAATTTGCGCGACAAGATGGCATCCTCTTCTGGTGCCTCGGGCTGGGTTCAGCTGCGACAACAAGCCCGGTCGCTGGAGAAACAGGTCCGTAGCCCCGGTTGCGAGCTGACCTGCGGAGGAAAGACTCCCTGACTAACGCCCGGCGACTGTGCTGCTCAGACCGAGACGCTATTCCAAACATACTCGCAGATCGCCACGGCCAACAACATCCCAGCCAAGCCGACGGAACAGGAGAGGGAAACAGAGGCGCGACTGCAGGAGACACTGGAAAAGGTACGGAGGGGAATCTAGCAAAGCTCCCGAGGCGGGCGGGCCGTTTGAGCCTCCTGCACACACATGTATCGGCCATGTGACTGACCCTTGTCGAACCAACGCAGAGGGAGAGCGTGCTTGGACAGCTGGCTCGGCTTCTAGACTCGGAAGCGGCCATCTCGTCGTCGGCGCTCAAGCCGAAGAACCTGGTGCTCCTGCGCGAGAAGCTAGCGGAGCACCGGCGGGACCTGCCGCGGCTGCGGTCGCGCATCCAGGAGGCGCGCGACCGGGCCAATCTGCTGTCCAACGTGCGGCAGGACATCGACGCCTACCGCGCGAGCAACCCCGAGCAGGCCGAGGCCGAGTACATGCTGGACGAGCGCCGCCGCATCGACAACGGCATCGCCACGACGGACAACGTCCTCAGCCAGGCCTACGCCGTCAACGCCAATTTTATCCTGCAGCGCGAGACGCTCTTGAACATCAACCGCCGCATCACCATGGCCGCCAGCCAGATCCCTGGGCTCAACAACCTGATCGGGAGAATATCGGCCAAGAAGAGGAGAGACGGCCTCATTATGGGCAGCTTCATCGCCTTTTGCTTCCTTGTGTTCTGGTTCTTCTTATAACACATCCCCACTTGCCTTGGTGCTGTTTTTGGCTACCAGCCCACCGCTCATGAGCAGCGCGGAGGTTTGATTTACAAATGCTTTGACCGTTTCTCAGGTTTCGCATAGCTTTTATTAGGGCATTGGCGTTACGCGTAACCACTGACACGGGGCGTCTGGTATGATTTCTCTTTTTTTTTCTTTTTAGTTTGTCTATTTCTCCTTATTTTTACATTTATCGTTATTGTACATGGCCATGTCCATTTCCAGCGTCCCCCGTCCTCAGCAACAGAAATTTTACCATAGCGGCAAACAGACAGTGGCGGCTTCTTCGAAATGGTGGTGCTAACACAACCCGCCAGCTTTCTTCTTCTGATGCTTAGCAGACTGCATTGCTCACTCCCTACCTACTCAGATTACGCCGTTTTCAGTCTCGCAGGAGCCTCTCGAGCCCCTTGGCAAGGCTGGATCTCTCCTCGGGCTGGCTGTTGCCGCTGGCGGCCCATCTTATCCTGCAGTCGCTGTCGACGAGATAGGTGTAGCCGACCTTTGCGTTGAGGATGCCGATAGATTCGCTGATCTCCGGAGAGACCGGATTCCTGACGAGAAAATACTTGTCCCAGTTCGAACTTCCAACCCGGTTCCTCAGCGAGCCTATAAAAAGGCGGATGATCCAGGCCTTGAGGGCATTGTCCTCGATGTTGAGACGCACCAACTGGGCGGCGGCGCCGCTACCGTCGAGGATATGGTGGAGCTCAGGGTTCGCCTTGGGCGAGACGAAGGTATCGACCTGCTGTTCGGCCCAGGCGCTGCTAAAAACGGCGACGACCGAGGTCTTGCCAAAAAGGGCCGGAGTGGTGTCGTGCGGGCCCGGGTCCGTCTTGGACAGGGTGCGGCCAAAGAAGTTGGGGAAGTACAGGGACCTGTCTGCCTTGAAAATTCGGGGCGGGGCGAGAAAGGACTTGCCCTCCTGATATTTCATATTGGACCAGTCGCGGAAGTAGGGCCGCGAGATCTTTTGGGTGCTGCACAGGAGACGGACGAGCGGGCAAGGTCAGTGACGGAGGCGGGGGCACACAGGGGCTGCGAGGCGACGGGGCGGGGCGAGAGGGTGGGGGTGTTGCGTTGCGTACAGCTCCTTGCGGCGGGCCAGGTGCTTCCCGTAGTCGACAAAGTCGTCGCGGCGCTCGCGCAACGACCGCGTGTCCAGCCCGGTGTTCTCCCCAGGACGCGGGGGGTTCGCCATGCCGATGGGCCGCCCGAGGTGCTGGGGGATGAAATCCTCGCTGGCCCGCCGGCCGTACGATCTCGGGGCGTTGCCGAACGGGCTCGGGGCAGCGGCAGCTGGCGGCGGCGGCGGCGGCGGCGGCGCGGGGGTTGCGGCGTCGGCATGGTCAGCCTTGGCATCTGGACCGGACCGCAACAACGGCGCCGAAACGGCGAGGCCGCGATGTTGGCATGCCAGGCGCCTCAGCCCTCGGGGGGCTGGGCTGGCGTAGGCTCGGATGGCGGCTTGCATGTCGGACCGGTTGGTGGGCGACGGGCTCCCTTGTCGAAGCAGCCGAGCTGGAGCTCTGGAGCTCTCAAAAAATTAGCCTCAAAATCCGAACGGATTGATACAAAGCGGCGTGCACGTCTACCCCAACCGAGGACCCCACCAATTCCCCGAACAGGCAAATCTGACCCCACACCCCCAGGCGGGGGCGTGATTCCTGCTCCAGCAGGGGTCGTCGGGTGTGCGGCTATTCGCGGGCAAGGTTCACCCGCCTCGCTGCCAACGTCATCTGCACCCGTCAAAGCCGACGGTAAACCACGGCGCTTCGACGAGGGGCTGGGTTTTGGTGCCTCGGCGCTGGACGTGTCAGCCCTCGTTCTCGAGTCCTCGAGGATGCGGTGAATCAGATACAAAGAGGCAGAGTAGACAATATCACCCACAGCTATCTCGTTCCTGCACTTGTCCTGCCCTGATTGAGATTGACCCCGTGTGCCGTTCTTACTCACTTCGGCGCATCCTCGCGCATCCTCTCCCTCTCCGCCATCGCCCTCCCCCTCCTCCTCCTCCTCGGGGCTCGCAGTCTAGCAGCCATGCTCCTCCAGCGAAGCTCACTGCTGCTTGTACGGCGCCTGTCAAGGCCCTCATCCATCCGCGCGTCGAGCGCTGCATTAGAAACGGTTCACGCTCGGCGGCACCAGCCGCTCAGGGCCTCGATCCAGCGCCGCAATTGCCTGTCGGCGGGCTTCCACACGACGAGCAGGCTTTGCGTGGTGAAGCCCGTACTGTTAGCCGACATTGGCGAAGGTTTGTCCGGTTTCCCGCCCCATTGACAGGACCTGTCAGGCTAGCCAGGCTAACCACCCGTATCGCGTCGCAGGCATTGTCGAATGCGAAATCATCCAATGGTTCGTCGAGCCGGGGGCCCGTGTCGAAGAGTTCTCGCCGCTGTGCGAGGTGCAGAGCGACAAGGCCTCGGTCGAGATCACAAGCCGCTTCACTGGTGTCGTGAAGAAGCTCCACTATGACGCTGGTGAGATGGCCAAGGTTGGCAAGCCCTTTGTCGACATTGACATCCAGGGTGAGGCTAGGCCCGAGGACCTGGACGCCCTGACGCCCGCTGAGGTTGGCCAGGATGCACTACAAGAGGCCGAAAGCGGGCAAACAACTCCTGTCATACCGGGGGCTGGGACACCTACGGCAGTTGTACCGGATATGATAGGGACCCCGGCGGCTGTGACTGGCGAGGTCCCCGAAAAACTAAAGGGGAAATGCGCGGGGCTGGCAACGCCCGCTGTGCGCCACCTATGCAAGGAGCTCAAAGTGGACTTGTCAAGTGTGGACGGAACCGGCAGGGATGGGCGCGTGCTGAAGGAGGATATCTACAAGTTTGTGCAAAGCCGGGATAGTGGAGTCGTCCCTGACATGTCCCCTGACATGTCTCCAACGGTCCTCTCGGGCACCGACAGCGGCGTCCCAGCGTCCCAGCAGCCACCGCACCAGATGCCCGGTTCCGCGCCCACAGCTTCCGCGCAGTCGGAGACGGTGGTGCAGCTGTCGCCGACGCAGCACATGATGTTCAAGGCCATGACCCGCTCGCTGTCCATCCCGCACTTCCTGTACGCCGACGAGATCGACTTGACCAATCTCGTCGAGCTGCGGGCCAGGCTGAACAAGGTGCTCGCCAGTGGCAGCATCCCGGGCCAGGCCGGTCCCGCCGGCGGGGCCTTGGCCGGGGTGCCCAAGTTGTCGTACCTCCCCTTCATCATCAAAGCCGTGTCGCTGGCGCTGTACGAGTACCCCATCCTCAACGCGCGCGTAGATGCCGCCGGGCCCGGCGGCAAGCCCGCCCTCGTGTTCCGCCAGCAGCACAACATCGGCGTGGCCATGGACACCCCCCAAGGGCTCCTAGTGCCCGTGGTCAAGAACGTCAACGAGCGCAACGTGCTGTCCATCGCGGCCGAGCTGAACCGGCTGCAGGCGCTCGCGCTAGCCGGGCGGCTCTCGCCGCAGGACATGAGCAGCGGCACCATCACCGTGTCCAACATCGGCAGCATAGGCGGCACGTACCTCAGCCCCGTCGTGGTCGAGCGCGAGGTGGCCATCCTGGGCATCGGCCGCGTGCGCTCCGTGCCGGCCTTTGACGAGCACGACCAGATCGTCAAGCGCCACGTCTGCAACTTCAGCTGGTGCGCCGACCACCGCGTCGTCGACGGCGCCACCGTCGCTCGCGCCGCTAGCGTCATCCGCCGCGTGGTGGAGGAGCCCGACGTCATGATTATGCACCTCAGGTGAAGATAATGAAGGGGGATGTGATGTGACGCGTGGGCGGCCTTGCCGAGACCGAGCAAGACGCATGAATGGACCGGCCTGGCCGCGCGTGCTCGCCTCGTCTCCGCGTCCGCAGCTGTCACACTAAGGTGGTGGGGGGCGAGGGTGCGGCCGACAACGACGGCTACGAATGTGGCCGGGTCACGGGTGCATGAGGGCGGTGTTGCTGGTTGCACCGCACCTGTGATACTTTTCTATTGCCCGGGCGCGGCTCGAAGCCAACCTTGCTCACATGCCGTCCCCACCTCCGAGGTGGCACGATGGCTGCATGCATGGATGAGGCCGTGATATTTCAAGTGCCTACCGGGGATTGGGACCTAGATTGGCATGTACATATTTTAGCTGCCGCCGAGAATACCCTTTGCGGCAACGGGCGGCCTGGCTCTTCCTGCAGCCGGCCGAATCGGGAATGCTGCTGTGGAGGTGTCGAGGATATAGACTCACTCATTGCCACCTCGCCCCGTCTCCCTCATAAGACGCATATGCCCACGCATCCACTGCTGTGCAGAATGATATGCTCACCGTCGCCCCTGATGGAGTCGGGTGGGTGTAAGCTCGTTTCTTTTTTTTTATGGCGGCATAGACCAGAGAGAAAGAAAGGGGTTCAAAAGAAGCAGAAGAGAAAATGCTAGAGGATGGAAATTGAAAAACAACCAACCAACATGAAAGAATGATGAAGAAAAGTCAGGGAGAGCGGATAACCTCCCATCAGTCCCCTTCGGACATGGAATACGACCGTCTTTCTTATCTCTCTTCCCCTTTCGGCAGGCTGCGTCCAAGGCATGATGGCTCCATCTGCAGTCGCCCGGCTGAGGCTTAGCGCTGTTACACAAGTTAGAATCTGTGTGCACCACGGCTCATCGCTGCGGTCTCGGTACCCTCAGCCTATACATATATATATGTGCGTTGTGTTTGCATATGTTGCACCCTGGCTTGAAGTGTGATAACGTCGGCTGTCTTGGACAGCAACTTACCCCCGTGTTAGTGCGGCGCCAAAGGCTGCGTCTCGGATGCGCACACTGAGAGGCAAGGCAAGTGCACCCGACATGGCATATCCGTGCAGCAGAGACGAAGAAAAAAAGAAAGAAAGAAGATGATAGGACCCTTGAAGGAGGGGGTGAGGCACGCCCGATAAGGTACGAGGTGGCAGACACTATGAGTGGCTAGTCTGGGTAGGCGGACTAGCGGGCAAACAACTTCCCAAATATGCAAGCCTCCCAAAAGCCTTCACCCTGCATGCATGCATATGCGGGTCTCCTGTCCGGGGACCTTGGCAGAAAACGGAGCAGCTAGCCGTTCGGACGTACGTCTGCCTGCCTGTCTGCCTGCCTGGCCGGGCGGAGCGACGGTGAAGGAATGGCTGCAAGTGGCGAGCACGACCGACGACCTCGAAGGACTGGACTAGCGCGAGGAGGGGAAAACGCACAGGAGAAATGCAGTGGGTGTATCACAACAACGACCAGATTTGGATGCAAACAGTGAACAGAGTAGCACCTAGAGATTAAAAGAGTATGGTAAAAGCAAATGGCACACAAGTCAACGCAGGCCAGATACATGCCGCATGCGGTACGAGAGCAAAAAAAAAAAAAAAAGAGCGCGTGACCTAGCATGTCATGTCGGCCGCTTTCCCAAATCCAGTTGCACCCATGGGAGCAAGGTCCGTACGTTTGCCGAACGCCACCACGCCAATGTTGAGACTGCTTGACGCCAAATGGGGTAGAAAACAGGGCGAAAACATCAAGACAAGTAGAGTGGGGGGGAAAAAAAAAAGCCAGGGACTGCTGAAGATGGCTGGTACACGCCTTCATGCCTCCTGGCCCATGATCTCCAGGACCGTCCGCTCGGCCGCGGCCTTGACGGCCTCGCGGGGCCGGCCGACGTCTATGTGGATGACGTCGACCTCGTCGGCGGTGGGGGGCTCGAGGGCCTCGAACTGGCTGTGGACCATGTTGGCGCCCATGTAGTGGTTCTCGCGCGCGGCCACGCGCTTGAGGAGGGCCTCCTCGGTGGCCTCGAGGTAGATGAAGTGCAGGCGCACGCGGGGCCTGAAGTAGGGGGCGACGCGCATGACGTCGCGGTACTTGCGCTTGAGCGCCGAGCACGTCACCACGACGCCGCCGCTGCCGCTGCCGTCGCCGCCCGTGTCCAGCCGCCCGACGGCCTCTTCGCGCAGCAACCTCAGCCAGTCCCAGCGGTCCGCGTCGTTGAGAGGGACGCCGTTCTGCATCTTGGCCACGTTGTCGGGGGTGTGGTACTGGGGGAAGGCGTGTTAGTGTTGGACCGATAGTGAAGCCAAAAAAAAAAACGGGACATGCGAGGTCACAGAGGTTGTTGGAACAAACACGAGACAAAAAGAGAGAGAAAAGGACGGCGCGAGAAGCGCAAGCGCACCTGGTCACCCTCTATATAGGGGACGGCGAGGACGGCGGCGAGGTGCTCGGCCACGGTGCTCTTGCCGCAGCCGGCCGGGCCGCTGACAATCCAGATGTGGAGCGGCGGCGAGCCCTTGGCAGCGGTGGCACCGGCGCCGGTGTCGGCTGGGGGGTCTGCCGAGAGCGTCATGGCAGCTCGGGTGGGCTGCGGTGGGCTGCTGGGGTTGGGGCTCGGGCTGGAGGGCGCAGGGGTGTTTGCAAAGGGCGGGGCGAGTGCTTCTGAGGCGGCGGGTGGTGGTGGTGGTGTTGAGGCAGGGACGGGAGTCCTCGCTGGGGTCTCGCAGTTGAGCATTATATAGCTCGCCCGTAGACCAGGTAGGGAGGCCCGGCCCGAGTCGCCCACACGACGGGCGCGCCAGGAATACGGCGGGAGTTGTATGGATGGGGGGTGCGCTAGCAGGTCCCATCCAGCGCCCAAGAGAAGAGGTAACCAAGGCCGGCCGCCGGGAGGAGAGCGAGTGCGAGGCGGAGGGTCCCTGTCAGACGGCCGGCCACGCACCTACCACCAGGTACCTGGGTAGGCAGCTCGGGTAGCGGTAGGGTAGGGCAGAGTGGGTAGTTGAGGAACTTCGGACGAAGGCTGATATTTTTATTTATTTTTTTCTCTGCTCATTTCTTTTTTCTCCCTTCGTTGTGAATTTCCTTTCCCCTCTTTCTATTCTTTTCTGTTTCTTTCCTTGGTATTTTATTTCTTTATTTCTCTCCCGGGTCGGCTCGGTTCAAAGCACTTTTACCCGGCGGCGTTGCTGTTATGGCCGCCTCGCTCCTTCGCCGGGGTTCCAGGGGTTGCTCAGACAGGCCGAGGTCGGCAGAAAGCTCGCCATTGGAGAAGAGGGAGGCAGTCGAGACCCAGCCCGACAGGCGACCAGCAGCTGCCAGGGCGCCGGGTGCTGCGTGTACTGCATGTGTGTGCGCGCGGTTTTAATTGCTCGCTTGGTGTTACCAATGCCCACCTCGGGCGGCAGCGCGCAGACTGGATGGAGACGGCAGGTGGTTTTCCAGAGTTCCATGAGAAGGCGACAGTCTGACAGCCGCACGCCCCAGCCTTTTTTTCTTGTGGTTATTTTTCCCGACCCAAGCGAATACCCACCCACTCAAGCCTCCACCCGTCTGCGCAACGGCAGTCGAGCAAAGCGCAGCGGTGACGTGGCCAGCCAGGTTGGGTCGGTCCGGCGCCTGCTCTGTCAGGACAATATAATTAATGCCTCCCTCCTTCTCGAGCCTTTTCTTTGCGCTTATCCTTATGGCTGCCTGTGTCTCCTTCTACCTCCTCTCTTTGGGCATCATGTCCTTGTATTTTCTCCCCTCCGTCTCCAATCCCACGCTCTCCATCCTGGACCCCGGCTTAGATATATTCGAGAACCGCAAAGTGGAATTACAACGTGAATGGCGGGACCGGTAACCCCAGGGTAGGTGTCATGTGCTGAGGAAAAAAAAATCGATGCGGTGTGGCCGCCCGTTTCTCTTGTGTGGCCCCCATTCATGAGCGGAAAGGGATAAAAAAAAAAAAAGGAGACGAAGGGAGGGAAAAAGAGCTTGGTACCACCAGCCAACCAAAGACGGGTGTGCGAGGGCGGCAGATGTAGCCCAAGGAATCAACAAATGCCTCGATGGATTCCATCGATGTCCGCGCAAATATTATATGCCTGGCAACCTGATCCGATCCGACGCCGGGCCTCAAACAACAATATGGCCTGATTCCCACGCCCGCGGTTTTCGCGGCGGCAGTTGAGAAGAGAGAATTGGCGGGTCATCTGTCGCCAGATGGATACAGCTACGGGCAGGCTGCTGCTCAACGTATGGTGCCTCACATACAGATACAACGTCAGACGCAAGAGGTTTACTCGAGCGTTCGTAGCTGGTGCGTGAACCGTTTGGACAGCATGCGGTAGCGTGAATATGCTGTTCTGGCGTATATTGCTGGTGAAGCATACACCTTGTGCTATGAGGACGCTAGGGGGCCGCTTCTCAGTACCCCCGCACTCGACCATCTAGGCACCCCAGGCACGCAGGCGCCAAAAGCCTCAAGCAGCCCTCACGGGACAGAGGCCCCAAGGAGCAATAAGCTCCGAGGTCAGACAACGGTTTACCAGCGGTGCGGTGAGGGCTGCAGACAGTCCACCACTCCACCCATGGCCGGCCGCTGAGTTTATCCCGTGGCTCGCTTGCAGATGATGGAGACTGGGGACTCAGTCACCTCCTATGACGACATGGGAGGTCGGCGAGCCCAGCCAGAGCTTCATGCGGAGTGGGGGAGCACTAGAGACACCCAAGGGCGCAGAGTGCCATCGACCCGACGGCTGCCAGGCGGTGACGTGACTCTTGGGAACCCAAGTCGAGGTGCCTAGTGTGGTCACGGAGGTCTGATGACGCGCGACTTGGACAGAGTAGGGCGGCAGGTAGGTGTTTTGCACATCGACATGACCACCGGAGATGGAGGTAGACATGACGACGGGACGTTACACGACAGAAGACTTCTTTTTGTTCCTTTGGTGTTTAATCTGGTCATATCCTGGCAAGCGTGTGGTGTCAAGCTAGGCAGGCACGCAGGTCACAGCGGTGTGGGCCCTATGCATGCCGGCTCTAAGGGCTGGGGTGAAGGCCAAATTCTGAGGCTTGCTACCGGTACGGACATCAATGTACCTACTAATTCTCCCTTCTCAGTACCCTCTCCATGGCTGGCACATGCTGGTACCTCCTTCCTTGAAGTACCCCTACCCCGCATCCAGCCCGACCCCACATTTGGCCGCCCGCCGCTGAGGTCTTGGGTTCGAGATCAAGGAGCTCCAGTGAGGGGCTCCTGTCAGCTCCATTGATGTATTCACGACTTCAGCATCGTACCGTGCTCTGCCAAACCCGCCAGGCCCTTCTCAAGTGCCGGCATTTGGTACAGCACTCTGCACACGCAGCCAACGGCAATATCCTTGGTGTAGCTGCCCGGCCAAGCCGTCTCCGTACCCGCCCCATCCCCGCTTGTGTGCGCTCCTTTGCTACCTCAACCATGGCTCTTTCGGCGCAGGAGCTCAGGGGCTATCTGGCCGACTCGCCCCCGAGCGTTGTCCGCCTCGAGATCGCAAAGCATTTTGACGCCTTGTCCGACAAGCAGAAGCGATATGCCCATTACATCAGCCGGTATGCCCCGCCTCGCCTCCATCACACACAGGAATCCAGACACAGGAATCCAGGCGAACCACCCACTGACCTTCCACTGTATACAGCGCCTCCCTCGCGGGGAACCGTATCGTGTTGCGCCAGGTCTCGCCAGAGGCCGAGTCCATCTACGACCTCATAATCTCCTTGCACAAGGCCGCCGCTGGTGACTGGAAGGCTCTGGGCAAGAAGGCGGGTGTGTCTGATGAGGCCGTCACGCACTTCCTCGCTTACGCCGCCCAGTTCCTCGGTAACGCGGGCAACTACAAGAGCTTTGGCGACTCCAAGTTCCTGCCCCGCTGCCAGGAGAGCGACGCGGCCGCCCTTGCTGCCAGCGACCCCGATGCGAACCGCCACTACAAGGCCACCAACGGCGCCATCTTTTCCGCCGACAAGCCCGGCCTGCTCCATCTGGGCTTTCCTGACGATGGCCACCTGACCGCTTACTACCCAGACTCCCCTCACATCACCAAGGAGGAGATTGATACAATCGCCAAGTTCTCCGGGGACAAGGGGCTCCTACCCGAGAACACGCGCGTGCGCAAATCCGCCGATGGCCAGGTCTTTGAGATTCTTATTGCTTCTGCCCAGACCTCGGTGCCTCCGAGCGGCGGCGACATCGGCACCCAGACTGAGTTCAAGCTGGACAGTGGGCCTCTGTCTGGCAAGACTGTCAAGCTCGTTTATGGCGACTACGCGGCCGAAATGGCCGTCATCGCCCAGAACATAACCAAAGCGGTCGAAAACAGCGACAATGACACCCAGCAGAAGATGCACAAGGCCTACGCCGCCTCCTTCGACAACGGTTCACTACTGTCTTTCAAGGAGAGCCAGCGCCAATGGATCAGGGACAAGGGCCCGATGGTCGAGTGCAACATTGGCTTCATCGAGACCTACAGAGACCCTGCCGGCGTGAGGGGCGAGTGGGAGGGTTTCGCCGCCATGGTGAACCTTGAGAGGACGCGTGCGTTTGGTGCTCTTGTCGACGCAGCCCCGTCTCTGATCCCCATCTTGCCCTGGTCCAAGGACTTTGAGAAGGACAAATTCCTCTCGCCTGATTTCACCTCCCTCGAGGTTTTAACCTTTTGTGGTTCTGGGATCCCGGCTGGTATGGTTGTTTATATGCTCGTATATGGCTCTCGTCTGTATCATATGCTAACCCTAACCCCCTACCACGCACATATTAGGCATCAACATCCCCAACTACGACGACATCCGACAGACCGACGGCTTCAAAAACGTGAGCCTAGGCAATGTAATGAGCGCCAAGACACCCAACGAGAAGATCCCCTTCATTGCCGACGAAGATCTCGAGGTGTACAAAAAATACCGGGACGACTCGTTTGAGGTCCAGGTCGGTCTCCACGAGCTCACCGGGCACGGCTGCGGCAAGCTACTCCAGGAGACGGCTCCCGGCAAATACAACTTTGACATCAACCAGCCACCTATTAGCCCGATTACGAACAAGCCCGTCACCACTTGGGTATGTTGCATGTCTCTCCCCCTTCAAGGAAGTCTGTGCTAACGCCCAAGCTTTTCTCCCCTACAGTACAAGCCCGGCCAGACTTGGAGCTCCGTGTTTGGCGGACTGGCCGGTGCCTACGAGGAGTGCCGAGCTGAGCTCGTCGCTATGTATCTCGGGTAAGTCGTCCCACTTGGTAGCCCTAGAGTTTGTGTGCCATTTTGTTGTCCAAGGGTCATCAGCACTAATAGGGTTTTCTTGCTTTCGCTGGACAGCTGCGAGTTCCCCGTTCTCAAGATCTTCGGCTTTGGGGATGGGAGCGTCGACATGGACGGAGAAGCAGGCGACGTCCTGTATGCGTCGTATCTGAGCATGGCCCGGATGGGCCTGATTTCGGTCGAATTCTGGGACCCAAAGAGCCAGAAATGGGGCCAACCCCACTGCCAGGCCCGGTTTGCCATCCTCAAGTGCTTCCTCGAGGCCGGGGACGACTTCTGCAAGCTTGTGCACTCCAAGGACGACCTCTCGGACCTCACCATCAAGCTCGACCGTTCCAAGATCCTGTCGGCCGGCAGGAAGGCCGTCGGCGACTTCCTGCAAAAGATCCACATCTACAAGTCCACTGCCGATGTCGAGACGGGCTCCAAATTCTTTCAGGACATGTCGTCCGTCGGCCTCGACTACTGGGGCACCAAGGTGCGCGACGTCGTGTTGGAGAACAAGCAGCCCCGAAAGGTCTTTGTCCAGGCAAACACGTACCTGGACGAGGCCACCGGCAAGGTAACGCTCAAGGAGTACGACCCGACTCCGGAGGGCATGATCAAGTCCTGGGCAGACCGTGAGGCTTGAGCAGATAACAAAGGGGGGTTTGTCTTGGCCCGTTTTAGATCCCGACATTCAGTCTGCTCCAGCTCATGTCCGTGCATGGAGCTTAAGAGGTATTGCATATCAAGCTGCATTCTGCGCTTCACATCACGAATCAGAAAGTCGCCAGGTGGCGCCGCGTAAAAGAAGTTCGATAGCTCTAGCTTCAAAAGAGAGACCCCCAAAAAGAACCAGAAAGAGATGCCTTGTGTGACCATAATAACCCCATGGAAGATCCGGATCTTTTTTGTTCTTGTTGACTGTGTAAACCTCGATTACAGACGCCAGAATGGACCAAACCCTTTCAACGTCCGGATGCAATTGGCCAAACAAAGCCATACCAGCCCATCATCCACTGCAAGAAAAATCGCACGCGCCGAGCCCCAATCCAGTAAACCCGATGCACCTCCCCCGTCTCCCGTTACCCCGCCTACCACTTCATCTCGTGGGGCTTGTCGCCCTTGCGGAGGCTGAAGGAGGAGGCCAGGTAAGAGGCAAGAAGGTCGACCTTCTTGATGTTGGCGATCAGGGCCTTGTCGATCGCCTTCTGGTCCGCGGCCCGGGTGCTGTTAACCTCCTTCTTCTGTCGGAGGGGCGGATGAGGTCAGCTTATTGATCCAGCTAGAGCGATGGCGCCGCCGGTACTTCTGGACCAAGCCATCATGGCAAAAATGCGGGAAGGAGGGGGGGCGGTCCATCGGGTTCATGCACGGGCGACGCACCTCTGGCTTCTCTCCCTGCTTGAAGAAGGCCTCCTCGCCAGCCTTCTCCTTGGCCTTGTCGGCGGTGAAGTACTTGGGTTGCGAAACCTCCTCGATCTTCTGCTCGTCCAGGCCGGACAGGTCGACCTTCTGCGACGTCGCGATGACGTACCTGGCGTTGACCCTGCGCAGGGGCACGCCGTTGATCTTGAAGGGACCGGTAACGAGGAGGACGCCCTGGTCGAGGGACTTCAGGAGAACAACACGCTTGCCACGGAACCGGCCGGCGAGGAGGATCAGGACGGTACCGGGCTCCAGAGACTTGCGCGGCGTCCAGGGGCGGATGGCCTTGCGGACCTGCATTTTCGGACGAGTGTTAGTGAGTGGACTGCGGGGAGGCATTGTGCGCTTGTCTGATCCTTGTGTGTTTGCTGGGGGAAAGGCTGCCGCCATAGACGCCTTCGCCTCTTCGCTGCTGCCGGCGCAATCCTCGCCGCCGCCGCCGCCGCCGCCGCTGCCCATTGCAGCGGTTATCAACCTCTATCGCGGGCCAATTCGTCCCCGATCCAAGTGCTCTCGGGCTCTGCCCTCCCGTTTTATTCCCCTCGTCGTCTTCCTCCTAGCGGCGCCTCTCCCCCTACCGGTGGCGCAAGGAGGATTGTTCGCAGAACGGCAAGCGAACTGCAGACCTCCGCCCGCCCCAAATGCCGAGGCATCGTGCATTCCCCCCCAACCTCTCAAGCGGCCCGCCCGCCGCCGAGTCCCAAGCAAGCCGGCAGCGACAAGGACAAGTGTGCGGTATTCCAATGCATCGGTCGGCTTACCTTCCGGGGGCCGGCATCGTCGGTCGCTGGGTACCACTTCTGGGCCTTCTGGGAGTGGTGAAGCACCGTCCGGCTCGACTTGCCGAAGGTCTTGGTGGTGGGCTCCGTCTGCGTCGACATTGTGCTGTAGCTTTCCCGCTCGCGTTGGAGGACCGTGGGAAAGAAGAAAAAAGATGTCGTGTCGTCGTCGTGGGAATGTGAAGTTGTCGATCCAAACGCCAGTCCCAATTCTTGCGTGAAATTCTCTTGTGGGTGCGCATGAGGAGAGGCAAGCCCTCGGAAATTCCGCGCTAGCCCTTTGTGGACTGGCGGCCTTTGGAGGGGCTGTGGCGGAGCGGTGGTTTCTGTGGCGGTGGCCAAGGCACGTGAGAAGTGGGGGAGAGAAGAGTGGGTATTGTGCGCTGCTCCACTTCCAGAGGAGGCCTTCCACCCTTCCAGCGGGCAGAGCTCACAAATATCTTGGACAATTGGGTCACCCCTTGCAGCCCCATTCTTTTGCTGCCGGGCGGTGTGGTTGTAACAGCTGGGGGCTACGTAATTTGGAGCTACCTAGGCCAGGTACCCTCAACTCCAACTCAACTGCATCCATTGAGCCTGAGCTAAACGCTGCGACCGAGGTCCTCCACACGACCAGGCAACCCGCTCGACCCGAGAGCCTCACTGTGCAATTCACGACTCTCAAAGCTTCGCCGTTCGCCCTCACTCAACAGAACTCTTGGGCCTCGTCTGCAGCAGAACCTAGCTTCACAACGGCACAATGTCTGTCGTGCCTCTGATCACATTCAAGGCGGGGCAGTGCGAAATCGATGTCAGTCCAGCTCTTTGGAACCGTGCCTTGGCTTTCAGTTCCCCATCCATGCCATCCCACGGAGCTGTACAGAGAGCTACCTACCTCCGCCCAGATCTCGAGCTGATAAAACAAACGATAGACGGATAGTGAGCCGCACCAGGTGAAGGCCTTGGCACAGCCGGGCTACATCTATCTCTATGCCGAGGATGGTACGCCAAAGCCCACGCGCCGCACCGTCACCCAGTCATCACCCAGTAGCTATAGTATTGCGCGCTGACAGGCCTCTAGCACTTATCCATTTCTGCTGGCGTCCTCGGACCCAGGCGATCGACGACGAGCCCCCGCTCGACCTAGTCATGGTCCCCGGCGACGGCCACTTTGTGCCCTACACCAACGCCGACCAGCCGACGTCCAAAACCAACGGCCGCATCTTTGTGCTCAGGTTCATCTCGTCATCCACCAGATACCTCTTCTGGCTCCAGTCCAAGTCGCAGAGCACCTCGGGCGACGCGGCCTGGTTTAGCCCACGCGACAAGAAGATCGGGGATGTCGTCGACCGCCTGCTGCAGGGTGAGGAGGTGGATGTGACCCGGGAGCTGGCTGCCATCCGTGGCGGCGACAGTCGACGCGAGGACGACGACGATGATACCATGGAGGACGTCGGTGGCCCGGGCGCGTCCAATGACCGCCAGCACCAGAGCGCAAGCGGTGGCGCCGGCGCGGACGCCACGGGAGGCGACGTCCGGGAAGAGGGCGAGGATGCCCGAGAGGGTGGTGCAGATGGCGCAAGAGCGTAGGTTTCCACTCGAGCATTCATTTTGCTTTCCTCGGCCGTTTCTTGCTTTCACTCTCTGTCACAATTTCCCCCAGGGGTCATTGGTCCTTTCTGCAGGTACTGGGTAGGCTGAGCGAAGACGGCCTTGCCTGGTACATTGTTGGTGTCTCAAATCGATTGGCCACCGCCGCCTCAAATGCCACTGCGCAAGCCCGCACGCGGCATGAATTGCCTGTACCTTAGTGGACAGCGAGATGTTTTTAACAAGGGGTTTTGTTTTTGTCATTGTTGCGTCTCCTCTGCCTGGTACTCAATCGAGACTAGACCGGCTAACGGGTGCACTAGTGCAAGCGGAGACGTCCCCGATGCAGCCACGGCTGTGCAAAACTTCCTCAATTCGCTCAAGGGCGGCTCCGGCATGGGGAATGTGCAGCAGCAGAGCCAGGGCAAGGTGTACCCGCTGCTGACGGACCTCATGGAGCCGTCAACGACAATACCCGTGGTCGACTCCGCTGCCGACCAACACCTAGACAGCCTATTGGACCTACTACCGCCCACGGTCCTTGTTCTCGCCCTGGACGACCAGTACGAGGGCGAGCCCACGCCGGCCGCCGCCGCGTCAGCCAAGGCGGCCATGACCCTCGACCAGAAGAGGAAGCTGCTCAAGCAGGTCCTCCGCAGCCCCCAGTTTCACCAGAGCCTCTCGAGCCTCTCGGTCGCGCTGAGGGACGGAGGCCTGCCCAGCATAGCCGAGGCGCTGGGCATCCGGGTCGAAAACGGCGGCCTCGTACGCGGCGGTAGTGTTCCTCTGGGCGGGGGCGACGCCATCGAGGCTTTCGTCGAGGGCGTCAAAAAAACGGTCAAGGAGGAGAGATAATGATGATGGGAGATCGGGGGCACTCAGTGAGTTCCTACACAAACAGTGTTGCGCGCTTTGCAGGCGCATATTCCTCGTCTACTAGGTGATCTGCCCTAGCAGTCCCTCCTATCATATATCATACATTCGGAAGCAGAGGATATAGACCTCTGGGCACCAAAACCAAGCAAAAAGAAGAACATGCCATGATTTACACCTCCCGTGAGAGGCCAAACTACTCGTCATCCTCGTCGAGATCGTCTCCCCTGTCTTTGGACTTCCTGAACTTCTCCTTGCCGGTGGAATATGAAGCCTCAACTGTACGACCGTCGAAGCTGCGCCCGTGCATGAGCTTGATACAAGTCTCGGCGGCCTGCTGCTGGCGGAACCTGACGCTGACGATGCCCTCGGCCTCCTGGTCGAAGAGCACAATGTTTGTCACGTCGCCGAGCTTCTCGCACTCGTCGCGGATGTCCTCCTTGATGTCGAGCAGGGCCGCGGGGTCGTCGTCGAGCTCCTGGAGTGTAAACATGTGCTTCAGGATGACGGTGCGGTCCGCCTTGCGAGACGTGGGGGCCCGGCCCTCGTCGACGGGCGGCAGCGCCGCGGCGAGGTGCGGGTAAGGGTTGTCGTCGTCCCAGTCGGCAAGCTTCGCGTCCAGCTTCTGGGTCTTCTTGATGATCTTTTGCTTGTCGCCCGCGTTGCGCTGCGGTCTGCTGCCCGCCCCGTCCTTGCCGGCCGTGGCGGCGGCGGCGGCGGCGGCGGCGGCAGGCGCGTCTCCGCCGTCTTGCTTCTCGTCGCGCTGATCGTAGTTCGTCTTCTTGTAGCTCGAGTCGGCCGGCTGCACGCGCATCCTCGGGGCGGGGGGGCCTGAGCTGGTGAAGCGGAAGTCGGTGTCGTCGAGCAGCATGATGGCCATGTCGACCGACTGGGGCTTGAAGAAGACTATGAGGGCGTCGCCCTTGAAGTTGCCGTCGGCGTCCGTGTACATCTTGATGCGCGGGCGGTTCCCGTCGATCTCCTCGGCAATGACGCCGCACTTGCGCGAGAAGAGCTCGGCGATCTCGTCCAGGGTAGCGTCAGGCGGCAGGCCCGTCACGTACACGGCCGTGTTCTGGCGCGGCGCGGGCGGGGCGGCCGAGGCGGCGTGGCGCTTGGGGCCGCCCCTCCTCCCGCCGTTGCTGTTGGAGGCGCCCCCCGCCGTCGTGTCGTCGTGCTTCCTCTTACGGGCACCGCCGGCAGGGGGGCCGGCCGGGCTGTCGTTGGCGTCGGACACGTGCCCGTAGGCGGCCTGGTGCTCCTCGATCAGCGCATCGTCCAGGACGGGGATCCACCGCTTGAGGCCGCCGTCCCACTCGTACTCTGCGCCATCCTCCTGGACCGCGATGTGCTTGTTGTCGAGCTTGGAAAAGGAAATACGGTCGTCCAAGTCGAACTCGGCAGGGTTGGTGGGGAAGGACCAAAACTCGGCGATGTCGGTCATGGCGCGTCGCGGGGCGGAAGAAGGTTCTGGGATGGAGGGAAGGTGGGAGAAGAGAGTTGGATCCGGGACCAGGAAGCACTTTGCCAAACTACAAGGGACGCGCAGCCCAGATTGCTCCCACCCTGGGACGAAAGCGAGGTGCCGACCTTGTGGTGTGGTTGCGATGCACTGTGAATAGACTATTCGAGGTCGCTCACTCTGATAAGCTCAAGGTGTGCTTCTGACGTTGAATGTTCTGAATTGGCTGATTTCTCGGATCAAACCTTCAACTCGACCTTTCGGCAGGCAGCCTCACAGACCTATGGAAGGTACGTACTCCGAGAAACCTTATGTACTGTGCGCGGAGTATCCCAGATTGAATCAATGCGCACCGTCACGTCACCCCGCCCCACCCCTACGAGGAGCCGGGGACCCACCTTTGCTTTTAGCCCAACCTAGTCGACCAACAAAAATCGGCAATTTCAGACAAGGAAAGAAGAAGGAAGAGGAAAAGCGACACAGAAAGTAATTATACGAATGGGGATAAACCATCACAAGGTAAATTTGCCCGCAGGCGACAATCACATCGTCAACAGTCTTAACCTAACGCCTAGCACAAACAGATACCACAATCTGGAGAACGAGAGTAAGATGGAGCTCAGCCGCTTCATGAGCCATGGGATGGATACCCTACGGACTCTCCGCGAGGTTCAGCTCGATCTTCTCGGCTGTTGTGTACCAAATAGCGGCCTCGATAATCTTGCATGTAATTTGAAGATCATTCTGGTCTGACGATATGAGGTCAAGGCAGATGAAGTTAGAACAGCCAGTTGTCCACACAAGGAGCAAAGAAGCCGAACTTACCTCGCGGTGCGTACTTTGTTGCATTAAAACAAAACAGGCGCAGAGGCGTTGTCAGCGGTATTCGATATACTATGTCACTTGAGCAGCCCAACTCACTATCATCATAAAGGTGTCTGGGAGCGGTGACTGGACCCAGCCTTTGAAGCTCAGGGGGTGTCGTTGGCCCCAGCCCCTTTGGAGCACCTCTTTGATGTCGTCCGGATGGAGGTTCATGTGCATAGACTTGTCCGAGCTGTGCAAATGAACAATCTCGCCGTTGCCACAGACATTGACGGGGTGTCTCGCAAACAGCGCAAATCCGTGCTTCTCGATGCTCGACGTTCCAACGCCGAACTTGGCTGGGTACCTGGCGCAGAGGCTCTCTATAGCTGTCTTGAGCAGCTCGCAGAGCTGCCAGCTGCCCCACTGATCCAGTTGCCTCTGCGGCGCCAGGCCGGCGACAGAGGGACGCGGGCCTGCACGGAACGACAGGGGCTGCTCTTGGAGGATGCCCATAGTCGGTATTTTATCAGGGCTGGTCGGTGGCGGGGTAAAGGGGTCCCGGAGGGCAAATATGCGGTACCATGCCAGGCGTACGTAGCCCGCGGGCGTGGGGGGAGTCCCGCCGGGGCCCAGATTTAGGAAATTATTGTAGTCATTCCGGATTAGCAGCAAAATAGGCATGCTAACCAGAATACAAGCAAACATGTGCTGCTCGATTGTATGCATGCCAAAGATAAGCACCATTGTTACCGCCAACAGGGCCGGCGCATCGAGGGTGATGGAAAAAGGGTCCTGCCGGATGACCATGTTGATCGCAAGCCCATGTTCCCTCGACTCATCGCCGAGCGTGGCCGAGTGAGGGGGAGAGGGCAACATGGCCGGTGAATGTTCAGTCATGGCGACTTTGCCTCCGATGAGTACAGATGCTGATGTTTCGGGCGAAGAGAACATGTGGGTGCGGTTGAAGCGTCGTCGTCCTGGAGGCTCGCTCCTTGTAGTACCCAATGGGTTCAATGATTGACTCGAAGTATTCTTGTTTTAGGTTTTCAGCTCGCTCGAGTATCTGGGCGGTAATATCTTGTGGTTGACAAACGACTTCTCGGTCGGATACCAAGGCATAGGTGGGCACTCGAGAGTAAGGACCCAAAGAGAACAACAAAAAAGGAGTGCAATTCTGAGGGACCAAGCCACAGTCAGTCGTTTTTATATGCATTGCACGTTGCATGGCCGGACTAGCAGCGGCGTGGGAAGATGCGACAAATGGCTGCTGTGCTGGCACGCTCCCATGTCCGTCCCACTTGGGCATCAGTGTTGAAGCAGGTAGCCGTGCCATGTTCGGATGAGAGAGCGGTGCTGAGCTCTCCTCAAGCAGTCACGCGCTCCTGCTCTTGGATGGCGACCATGGTGGCCAGCAGCGATTGACGGCGCTCTGCGGCCGGAGCAGGGAGCATCAGAGCTGCCGACGTCGGCAAAGGAGGGGTCACGAGACGTCGGTCGTCTCTGTCTCCAAAGGGTGGTAGCGTTATGATCAGCAGACGGACATGACACCAGCTTGCTGCTTTCAAACCTTGTCCGCCGGACTGACGTCTGCAAGCTCGTCGTGAATGGAGCAATAATTAGGAGGCATTCTTTTTGGCCTGGGCTGGCTGTTTGTGGTTTGCCAATGGCAGGCACGCAGGGGCGAGTTGTCAATGGTTGGCTACTCCACACAGTGTCCTCCACAGGAACAGCTTGTTGGGGGAGCTGCCCAGGCAGGCGCGCCTGGCACATGTATGGTTGGTTGCTCAGTCAACCACACCGACGAGCTCCGCCCACGCCAAAATATCAAAATATGCGCGGCTAAAATTCGAAAGCCAGGTCCCAGACCTCAACCCCGTTTTGGCCGTCAAGCATTCCATTACTACCCCAAGATCAAATTGGCCTGTTCTATCTACCTATGCGCCTGGCACAGACCACGCCGTCGACATATTGTTAGCCAGCAAATCTGACGTCCCTCCGCCTTTTCGCCTGGTCACGAATATCTGCAGGTCAACACACAGGAGCCCATCACCAATATCGAGCGTCCCGTCTGGGCTTGCCGCAGGGATAGCCGTAGCAGCAGATTGCTGCGAGCGCATCGCATGGCAGGCTTTCCCTTCCGCCTTCTGAGGTGGCGGAACCCTCAGAAGGCTACACTTCCGGTTTACGAGCAACTACCATCCCCGTCTCCAACCAAGGAGAAATATCATGCCAACGCACCGTCAGACCGAGACAATGATGACGACGACGACATCAGCAGCGACGAGGACGACTTGAGCGACGATGACCTCGATGGAGACTACTCGGACGCATCAACGCCTAGCGCTTCCAGGTCAAGGCAGTCATCGGGCTCGTACTCGTCGGCAACTCGCATGCTGCCCAGGAGGCCAACATTCCGCGCCATGCCCCGACGGCCCACCCGCTCTCCATTCTACCGCCTTCCTAACAGGATAGTGCGCTACCTTTGTGCCGGCATGATGATTGGTATCCTGCTATTGATATTCAGTCTGGTCCGTGCGAGCCAGCTCGAGAACAGGAGGCTGGCCGAGGGCAAACTGCCGAAGCCCAAGGCCGCCCCGCCCGCCTGGGAGTCCTATCCTTTCCTGACCAGATACTACGGCGGCGTCCGGTCCCTGATCCCCCTGGCCGACAACAGCCCCGAATACCCCCGGCTGGAGGATGAGGCGGTGAACAAGTCATCGCCGGCCGATCCTTCGCTGTCCCCGCCACGCGAGAGCACCAAGGCCGCACCTGCAAATGGAAACTTCCCTGAGAGCAAGGAGTTCGCCACTCAGTACCCGTCATCAGTGTTTTCCAAGCATCAGCAGATTGCCGAATGCTTCCTTGATGCCGAGGGAACCGTCAAGGTGCCTCCCGTCCGGTACTTTGACGGGCGGCCCAGTGGGTTTCCGGATAACATCATGGGGTCCTACGAGCTCCTTGCTCTCCCTGAGGATATCTGTTTCGACCGATACGGCCGCTACGGCCCCTATGGCTTTGGCTATTCTACTCGCAACGGCGGTCTCGGTATCGGCGAGCACGGCGACAGTGAGGGCGCCCAGGCCGTCTGGGCGTCCTCACGGCAGGTCGATTTCCGCTCCGTCAACTGGGCCGACGCCCAGCGCCGCTGTTATGAATCAAATTCTGCCCGCTTCAAGGCTTTCGAGTTAAAGGCGGCGCCTCCCCGCGGATTCTACGTTGGCCAGCGCCCTAACGACACGAAGAGCCGCCGTCGCCGTGGCGGGGCCTCGGCTTCCAAGGAGGACAACACCGCCACTGCCGTCCCGGGCGCACAGGCAAAGCATTCAAACTCGACCAAAACGCCCCCGTCGGAGACACAGCGGCATGGGCGAGAGTCCAGGACGGCTGTTGTCATCCGATGCTGGGATGAGTACTTGTTCAAGGAAGAGGACAAGATGAACCTACGGTCGCTCATAACGGAGCTCTCTCTCGCATCCGGTGGTCGCTATGATGTTCATCTCCTCGTCCAGGTGCGCAACGACGTGGCGCACCCAATCTGGGCCGATGATGAGGCGTATCGGGTCAGGATCGAGGCAACCATTCCAGAGGAGTTCCGCGGCCTGGTGACGCTCTGGACCGAGACGCAGATGCTCTCGCTGTATCACGGTATCCCTGACCTGTTCACGCGAGGCCCTGAGCATCCCGTGCATGGTGCCTACCGCGGCTTGCAGATGGCCATGCAGTACTTTGCCCATACGCACCCCGAGTATGACTTCTTCTGGCAGTGGGAGATGGACATCCGCTACACAGGGCATCACTACGACCTCTTCTCCCGCCTGGAGCAGTGGGCATCGCAGCAGCCGAGGAAGGGCATGTGGGAACGCAATGCGCGTTTCTACATGCCTTCTGTGCACGGGACCTGGGACGACTTCAGGCAGATGGCTCGCGTACAAACCGAGATGGGCACGACTGGAGCGGACAACATATGGAGCGGTCTGGGCGGAAAGGGCCCCGGCGGCAAGGCGGCTGTTCATGGGGAGCCAAGCGTTTGGGGCCCGAGGCGCGCCCAGGACCCCAACGACTGGTTCGAGGAGGAGAACGACCCAGAGCCGCCCACGACGGCCGAGCGGGACAAGTACAAGTGGGGAGTGGGCGAGGAGGCAGACTTGATCACGCTCTCGCCAATCTTCGACCCCGAGGGTACAACTTGGCTGCTGGCCGACGACATCGCTGGCTACAATGAGACGGACGGAAAGGGCAAGCCACCGCGCAGGGCAGCCATCATCTCGGCCGCGCGTATGTCGAGGAGACTGCTTCTCACCATGCACCGCGAGACAGCGCTGAAGAAGCACCACGCCTTTCCCGAGATGTGGCCGGCAACGGTGGCGCTCCATCACGGTTACAAGGCCGTCTATGCTCCCCATCCCCTCTTTGTGGACCGCCGCTGGCCGACGGACCTGATGGCACGCCTGTTCAACGGCGGTCGTAATGGGGCCTCGGGTGGCTCGCGCACCTCGGTCTTTGGCCAGCGCGAGCACAACTTCAAGGGCATGTCGTGGTTCTACAACTCGGGCTTCGGGCCAAACCTGTATAGGCGCTGGCTCGGTCTCCAGGTCAACAACGACGGGGGCCCCTCCTTTGAAACGAGCGAGGACGAGCAAAGGGAAGAGAGCGGCACCGTCGGCCAGATGCGAGGTGGAGAGGGCCGCATGTGCCTCCCCCCAATGCTACTCCATCCTATCAAGGACGTTGATCTTCCAGTTGACCGAAACCTGGACGAGACCTTCGACGGCCATGGTGTGTCCGGCACGGATCCGTCACTTTGAGTGTCGAGCAGGGTTTTTCTTTCTTGTGACTGAATTTCTTGTTCTGGGGATCTGACCGCGTTCACCATGCGTATCCGGCCGGCGAACGAATTTCTTGCGAACTGCATGGCGTTTTATATGGATGGGATTATTGCTATTTGTTATTTGAAGCTGTCTGGGATTTGTTACACGATGATATGTGTCGAGAAGGGGACGGTTCGTTCCATACCAGGGTTGTTGGTTTATAGACGCGTTAATGTTACCCCCGCACTGTTGTCATCTCTGTCAAATCTACCTCACAAACGCTGGAGATGTAGCTGCAATGATTAAAACACACGCTCACAGACAGTGACAGGACCAAAATTCGGGACATTGAATCTGTTAGCTAGGGACTTGACTGGAAAGCGCAGAAGAGTAAAATCATGGGGTGTGATCCGAATATGTAATGACAAGAACGAGTATTCAAATAAACATGGGCAACAACTTCGGAGAGCAACAACCCCTAGCCCTCGGATAACTAGTTCGCATTTTGGGAGTTTAAGTCTGTGCTTCGACTTGCCCAGACCCCTATTGCCCTCTTGCCAGCCGTCCTCGGGTGGTACATCGCAAGCATAGAGACTAAATATCTCCAGCTGGATTCTGTAAATGTCTGTTCTAATGGTACACTTCACGAAAGCAGCACTTCAAGCCCCCAACAAGTCACCCTACACCACTCTCTTGACCTCGAAAAACCTCCGCAGCCACCAGACCTGGAAGACGGACTCGCCAATGACGACACCAATGACAAACAGGTTCCACCATTTGACGCGGCTGTTTGTGCTCTCGGCGGTGTTGCGGTGGGTGCGCTCGCGCAGGATGATGTAGCTCTGCTCATCCTTGACCTGGGCCAGCAGCTCCGAGAGCTGCTTGACGGCGGCGTCGAGCGGGTCGTGGGGGTGGTCCGACTCGGAGACGTAGACGATACCGTGCACGTTGAACGAGACCTCCTTGCTAGTGGCGCCCCAGTGCTCGTTGCCGAAGCAGTACGTGTACTGGCCGTCGTGGTGGGCCGTGAAGGAGAAGTCGCCGTTGGAAGTCGACTTTTCGAACGTCTCGTACTGGCCGGTCGGGTTCGTGACCTGGCGGCGGGTTGGCCCCTCGCGTTAGGGGGTGGGTTCGTGGTGTGCGAGGCAGGAGAGGCAGGCCACCTCGCAGGAGGGGGGCGGCGGGTTATCTTACCCAGAAGTCAATGTCGAGGTTCCCGGCACTGCCGAACTCCCTATCGCCGACCTGGAAGGTGACGGTCATCTTGTCGTCCTTGTGTAGCTGCTCGTGGAAGCACTCACGGCCGTGGGCCGGGAGCGCGATGTTGTGCGCGGCAGTGGCCTGGAGCAGGCCGGCCGCGACCAGCAGGCCGGGGATCGAGAAGAGCCTCATGGTTCCTTTTGCGCTGGCTGTCTCGCGTGCTACTGTGTGGCCGTGCGTTCAGACTTTGTCGTCGATGGGTGTGCTATAGGGGCCGCTGTTCACGCTCGCGGCAATGGCCAACCAACCTCAGGCACAGCTTGAAGTTCCAGGCTGGACAACTTGGCGATATCGAACCGCCCCACTATGGCTCCACAATTGAGGCTCACAACACAACGCTCGCTTTGCCACAAGCTGGCGCTGGCGTGGCTGGATGATTGCTGTCACCCAGAGCGGAGCCTGCGCCATTCCACTGTGGCCGGCCTATCACATGATGAGGGGCGAAGATCAATGGCGGCGGTTCGTTCCCCTCGGATTTCTACAGCCCGCCTAAGAGCCTGTTACCATGTTTAGATTAGTGCGTCAAGCCGCATGTTAACCACATATCGACGCAGTCCCAGCCCAGGATCCTGTGCTCTAGGACTGCCCATCCACGTCGGTGTGCTCGCCGGGTCGACTTTCCTGTTGGCCCGAAGCCTGCTGGTTCGGATCGGATCCATTCCTCGGATGCAGCCAGCCTGACACGCAACGTATCTAGCTAGTCACTCTGCGGCAGCCCCTGCCCGCTGAACATTTGGGCCTGCAATGGCCGAGTTTCAAATCCGGTCACTTGTTCAGCCGCGCCACGGCCTGAAAGAAAAAGACACCGTTCAGCAGCCCCATCAAACCAAGTGGCAAATTTATATCGAATACAGCTTGTCTAGGCCCTGCCGAGGGATCGAACACGTCGCCGCAAGAAAGCAGTTCCAAGGTTCTGGCTCGATCTCGAGGATGACTCGGCCAGGGCGAGTACAAAGGAGTGCAAGGAGTGTCAATCTTACTAGCAGCGGCGAGAGACAGCACTGCTGCCTTGTAGCGCCCACTGCCAGGGCAACAGAACACGGTATGCTGCGGCAGCAGCCCGAGGTGGTGCTAGGAGTCAAGGGGCAGCGCTGGTGGGGTGCAGCACAAACGAGCACCACCGCCTGTGGCCCAGTCAGCGCAGCCGCCTCATTATCTTTGGTCCAGGAGACAGGCATACCCAGGCTCCACCCGGCGCTGCTATCTGCCATGTATCCATATGTAGCATGTATGCACTCCGTAGGGGAGCCGAGTAGGCGGTGCACAGACGCCTTGGGCCGTCAACAGCCAGTCAGCTGGCCTTCTAGAGTCCTAGACTTGGAAGCCTGCGGTCGGGGTTTGCTGAGGTTGCAAGGCCTGCTGGGGTGCGGGGGACTGGAAATGTCGAGGTGGTAATCAGCGAAGAAAAGAAGGGAGGGGGAGAAAAAAGAAAGAAAAAAAGGGACCAGTCCGCTTGCACTTACCCACCAGCAGCACAGTCCACTGACGCCTGTGGGCCGTCACCCCCGACAGGTCGAAGAGACCACATCCACTTTCTACTCTCTGCTCCCATTCCAACCTTCAATTCCCACACACCGACTCAACCTCGCACACGGGTACATCGCCATCCACGAGAACACAACGGCATCGCGTCTGCCCATCCCGCGCCGAAGGTGAGCCATTCCATCCACCCAACGTCGCCCTTTCGACACGCTGGAGCCGTCGCTTGCTTCTTGCTGCTGCTGGTCTGCTGGCCTTGACCCCCTCGGCCTCGCCTCCTGCTGCTGTCTCTGTCGCATGCCCACGCACCACTGCTCCCGCGCACCCCTCCCGCTCCCACCCAGTCAAGCCGCCGCCTAGCCTTGCTCTGCCCGGCCCCTTCTCTGGCCTGCACCCTCTCTGCCGTCGGTAGCTGTCATCTGTCGGCTGCCTGGCCTTCGTCTAGTCCTCCCCGCGATCCCAGCGCGCAATCCGGCTTAGTCTGCCTGGATGACCGTCGCGTCAACAGCACGCATATCTGTCCTTTCACCACCGCATCCTTTATATCACTTCGAGCCTCCCCTCTGCCCCAATATCCATCTGCAATCCGACCCCAGACGCGCCAACAGCATCATACTTTGATCTCGGAAGATCTGCACAGCTCGCTCGGCCCTCGTCAGAGTGTCGTTGAAAACAGACTGCCGCATTGACTATTTCGACACCGTGCTAACCCTGCCCTCCCGCGACAGAAAGACTCAATCCCTTCTTATCGACAAGAAGGCGTCTATCAACTCTCCACAGCACTTGCGCTTACAACATATCGTGTCGCCAAGATGGGTCTCAGCGTCAGCAAGTTGTTTGACCGGCTCTGGGGGAAGAAGGAGATGAGAATTCTCATGGTCGGTCTCGACGCTGCCGGAAAGACCACCATTCTCTACAAGCTGAAGCTCGGCGAGATTGTTACCACGATTCCCACCATCGGTATGGCCCCCTGAGCTCGCTCTTCCCCAGCACATTATAGTTGTCTTGCCCGTGGCTGTGCGGTGTCATATCTCCCCGACTCCTAGCTATGGCTTGCTGGCACATGTCCTGCTTGAATGTTGTGATTTGTCCACACCCGCAAACGCAACACGCGCTATGCAATATCTGAGGCTAACGCGACTCATTCGACCAGGTTTCAACGTGGAGACTGTCGAGTACAAGAACATCCAGTTCACCGTGTGGGATGTTGGTGGCCAGGACAAGATCAGGCCTCTGTGGAGACATTACTTCCAGAACACGCAGGGTATCATCTTCGTCGTCGACTCCAACGATCGTGACCGTATCGTCGAGGCCCGCGAGGAGCTTCAGCGCATGCTCAACGAGGACGAGCTCCGAGAGGCCATCCTCCTGGTCTTTGCGAACAAGCAGGATCTTCCTGTACGTCCTCAACTACCCCATCCGTGCCCTAGTTTATGCTTGGCACGTTTTTTTGCTGACACGAGTTGCCTGCCTCTAGAATGCCATGAACGCGGCCGAGATCACAGACAAGCTGGGCCTCCACAGCTTGAGACAACGTGCCTGGGTAAGCATATATCCCAGCTTCATACGAGCTCTCCTCACCCGCGTGTGCCGGTGGTTCTGTGTTCTAACCGCATCTTATAGTACATCCAATCGACCTGTGCCACGTCTGGAGACGGTCTTTACGAGGGTCTCGAATGGCTTGCGACGACCCTCCGCAAGGCGGGTCATCAGTAAAGAACGAAGAGCTCGGACCCCCTTCTTCCTCTCCCACAGTCGCCTCCTCGAGGCTCGGTTGTAACTCGCCAAGTATCCGTCATACCAATCGAATAGTTCTCCTCACTTCAGCGTCAAGCCCAACCGCACTGTGGCCAGCGGTGGTCTCTCGGGACGCGCGTCCAAGCAAGCAAATGCCATGACTCCCGACTCGACGTTTTTTCTTTACTTTTTTAAAACTCAAGCGCCCTCTCATGCTCGGGAAATTCTTGTCGACGTTTCTTCTTTTTCTCTCAAGAAAGGGGCGTGCTGGATTGGAATCTTTGTACGATTTGAATCACGACGGATTATCTCGCGCTTCCCCGGGTCGGCCCCCCTTTTTCACCTCTGCGGTTCGAAACCGCGCCAGGACATGGGCCACTCGCTCCGCCCCGACTAGTTTGCTCTCTTTCCGCTTGGGGCCCGTCTTGTTTACTGTTGCCTGCGTATCGCGGTGGTGTCTGTCTCATGTCTGAATGTTGTCAATGTGACTTTAATGCGACTATACTTTCCGTTGTTCCCTTGATGGTAACTGAATGTGTCGCCCAACAAACATACAAGTAGCGATGGAACGGAACTTCCCAACCTACGGTAGTTTGACTGCAATTTCTATCAGTCCACACCTCCATGCAGGCTACATGAACGCCAAGGGATCCATTGGGGCTGTGGGGGGTGAGAGGCGCCTAGGTCTGTAGTGTCCAAGTCTTAGATTCCATTTTTCAGTTAATGGTTGTTGACTTTACAGGTCCGTATGAAAGAAGTGGAAATATCGAACAATAAGATGCATACATGCTACAGACCGGAGTTGTGATCATTTTACATGAGTCATCCTCGTATCGTTCAAACGTAAGTTTGCGGCCAACAAGAGAATTCTGATATCAGACATCGCGACGCAAGGCATCAAACCAGGAGCATCACGTTTGCGGTGTCGAGCACGTCACTTTGAGCGAGGTCGCGTCATCTGCTATGTTGACGGTGGCGACGTCGCCCGTCTTGATCTCACCCCGGATGATCCTATCCGCCAGGCGGTTCGCGATCTCGGTGGTGATGAGGCGGTTGAGCGGCCTGGCGCCGAACTTGGGGTCGTACCCCCTTTCGGCGAGCCAGTCCCTGACGTGGCCGGGCACGTCGAGCGTGATGCGGCGGTCGGCGAGGCGGTCCTGCAGCTCCCTCAGCCGTATGTCGACAATGTCCCGGAGCGCGGGGAGGGCCAGGCGCTTGAAGATGATGAAGCTGTCGATGCGGTTGAGGAACTCGGGCGGGTACGCCGACGAGACGACGTCCATGACGGCGCCCCTCACGTCCGGGCTGATGGTGCCGTCGGCGGCCTCGGTGTAGGGGTGGTTGGGGTTGGCGCCCACCAGTATGTCGGCGCCCAGGTTGGAGGTCAGGACGATGATGGTGTTGCGGAAGTCGACCTTGTGGCCCTGCGCGTCGGTCAGGTAGCCCTCGTCCAGGACCTGGAGCAGCAGGGCCGAGATGTCGCGGTGGGCCTTTTCGAACTCGTCGAAGAGCAGGACGGCGTAGGGCTTGCGGCGGACGGCCTCGGTCAGCTGCCCGGCGTCCTCGTAGCCGACGTAACCCGAGGGCGCGCCGATGAGGCGGCTGATGGTGTGCTTCTCCTGGAACTCGCTCATGTCGAAGCGCACGACGGCGTTCTCGGTCGAGAAGAGGAAGCCGGCGAGCTTCTTGCAGAGCTCCGTCTTGCCCACGCCCGTGGGGCCGAGGAAGAAGAAGGACGCGAGCGGCCGGTTCTCGCCGCTGAGACCGGCCCGCTGCAGCCGCACCGCGTTGGCCACGGCCGAGAGGGCCTCGTCCTGGCCCCGGACCGACTCGCGCAGCGTGTCCTCCATGTGCACCAGCTTCTCGATGTGGCCCGACGTGAGCTTGGCGACCGGGATCCCCGTCGCGCGCGACACCACGGTGGCGATGTCGTCGGCCGTCACCGAGTCGTGGATCAGTGCGCCCTCGCCGCCCTTGATCGGGGACTCGCCGTCCTTGGGAAGCGTGGCCTCGAGTCCGGGTATGACGCCGAACCGGAGCTCCGACGCCCGCCCGAAGTTGCCGTCCCGCTGCGCCCGGTCCAGGTCGACCCTAGCCTGCTCCAGCTCCGCCTGCGTCTTCTTGATGGCCTCGAGCTCCGCCCGCTCCTTGTCCCACTTCTCGTTGAGCGTGCGGACCTCGTCCTGCAGCGCCTTCAGGTCCGCCTCGAGCTTCTCCCGTCGCTCGCGGCTGGCCACGTCCTTGTCCTTCCGGAGGCTTTCCAGCTCGATCTGCAGCGTCATTATCCTCTGGTCCAGGCGCATGATGTCTTCTGGCTTGCTCTCCTGCTGCAGCCTCAGCGACGACGCCGCCTCGTCCATCAGGTCGATCGCCTTGTCGGGAAGGAAACGATCCGTGATGTAGCGATTCGAATAAGTGGCAGCCGCCACGAGGGCGCCGTCGGTGATGCGCACGCCGTGGTGGACTTCGTACTTGTCCTTGATTCCGCGCAGGATGCTGATGGTGTCCTCGACCGTGGGCTCGTTGACGAGAATGGGCTGAAACCGCCGCGCTAACGCGACGTCCTTCTCGATCAGGCGGTATTCGTTGAGTGTGGTGGCTCCGCAGCACTGGAGCTCGCCCCGCGACAGCGCAGGCTTCAGGAGGTTTGAGGCGTCGATGGAGCCCTCGGCCTTGCCGAGGCCGAGCAAGGTGTGCAGCTCGTCAATGAACAATATTATCTGGCCTTCGGATTGCTGAACCTCGGCGAGCACCTTCTTCAGGCGCTCCTCAAAGTCGCCCCTGAACTTGGCCCCGGCGATCAGCGAGCCCAAGTCCAGGCTTATCACGCGCTTGTTCTTTATGCTCTCGGGAACATCGCCGCGGACGATGCGCAGGGCAAGGCCCTCGAGAATGGCCGTCTTGCCCGTGCCGGCTTTTCCTATGAGCACGGGGCTGTTTTTGGTCCTACGGCTCAAGACCTGGATGGTTCTCTGGATCTCGGGGTCTCTGCCGATGACGGGGTCGAGCTTCCCTTCCCTTGCCTTCGCCGTAAGATCGACGCCATACTGCTCCAGAGCTGGCTTCTCTTCCTCCGCTCCGAGGTTCATACGGTGGGTGCCGCCCGGGGGGTGAGGGCGTCCGCTGGCATAGCATCGCACGGGGGCTACTGGCAACAGGCTTGGTAACACCCGGGACCCGCCAACGGAGGCAGCTATCCCAGGAGGCGAGAGTCGCGCGCCGCACCCGGCAGCTGCAAACCTCGGCTGCCCATGGCGTAGTAGAGTCCCGGCTGGCGTTCGTGCTGCGAAGCGCGGTGCCAACATGTGGAGGCGGCTCGACGTTCCAGCACTGGCTATCATTGTGCCTTGTTTGCGCACAGATTTCGTCTAGCGCATGGCAAACAAATAGTCACTGCCTGGGTAGGTGGTGGGTATTGTTATAGATAGGCGCGGATATAAATCGGCAGGTCTATCTATACCCGAAGAGATGATGCGTGAGCTTATTCTCAAATCTCGTGGCTGCGTCAAGGGGGTGTTTCCAGAACTGCAATGTCAAGGAACTGAAGAGGAAAGAGCAGCCACCAGACAGTTAAATAGATCCTGATATGGTGGCGAGTATATCAATTATGGCGTGCTGCCGTCGGCTGTCGAGAACCAAACTGAAGCATTTCGACTGTTCGAGCAGCTTCGAGACTGAATCAGAGCTCCACCTGCCTCTGGGTGGACAATCTGGTGACAAAATCACTACATAATGACCGAAAAAGGGATGAAAGTGAAAACCAAATGTTTAAACGCAGGGGGAGAAAGGGGTAAACCTGCCACAGAAACATGCGGAAAAGATGAAGCGGTAGGTGGGATCTTCATTCGATTCAGTTCATTATATTTTTCCGGTCTTTTGTCACTGTATAGCACATTCACACTCTCTGTGTCTCCTTTTTTTTTCCCTTGCTGGGACCTCGCTCACCTTGGGCCTCAACGCGGGCCTAGACCCACTTCTGTCCTCTTATCTTATCTGAATTTGCCTGCCAGACCGCGGGCATGGAGGGGCAATTTGGAAATTTAGCCAGGACCCCTCATCCTGGGACGGCGACAAGAGGAAGAAGAAAAAAACGGGTTTCACCACCTGGGAGAGAGTCCAGCGCGCCGGCCAACCCCCCAACCCCACCTACAACCGACCTGACCCGACTCCATCTCTCCTACTTTTTTTCTTCCTTACCTCCCACTTTCCGCCTCACAACCTCCCTCTCACAGAAACCAAGTGGCCTCTACCTTCTTCCTCTAACCAATCACCATGGGTTTCGTTGACATCCTCACCGGTGCTGGCCTTGCCAGTAAGTACACATGTTTTGCTTATCCTGCGGCCTCCTAGACGCGAGGATATCTGTTTTGCGCCTCGCTTTGTTTTGCTTGTCATGATGTCTTTCGGTTGCTAACGGATACACCAGCGCTCGACAGCTGGCTGAACACCCGCTCCTACATTGTCGGGTACGTTTTGCCCCCTTCTCCTGCGCGGCGTCCCTCTCAGGCTGTGCTGTGATCTCCTCCCGCACCAAAATTCGCACCCTCTGCCGCCATCTTCCCCATACACATGACGAGAAACATTGGTCCGTGTTTCCGAGCAGCTTAAGACCCTGCGCATGACGACCAAGCAAGCACTATGTGCACCTCTGATTCTCTCTTCTGGTTGCCCACCATACACGCACGCTGTCAAGCCTAAATTTGGAATCGGCTCCGAGTGTTCGAGCATCCTCATGCGCGCATATCCTAACAGAGCTTGCACAGAACCGCTGCCACCCAGGCTGATGTCGTCACCTTCAAGGCCCTGAGCTCGGCCCCCGACGCCGAGAAGTACCCCAACGCTGCTCGCTGGTACAAGCACATCGCCTCGTTCGAGGACGAGTTCTCAACGCTCCCTGGCGACTCGGCCAAGCCCTACACTGAGTACGGTCCGGAGGAGGTCGCTGCTACCCTGAACCCTGCCAAGGCCCCGGCCGCCGCCGAGGAGGATGACGATGTCGATCTGTTTGGCAGCGACGACGAGGAGGAGGATGCCGAGGCCGCGCGTATCCGTGAGGAGCGCCTGGCCGAGTACAGGAAGAAGAAGGAGAGCAAGCCCAAGACGATCGCCAAGTCCATCGTGACTATGGACGTCAAGCCCTGGGGTATGTGGTCATATGAAAAGTCATGGCGCGACGGTCATGACGCACGGCGCGAGAGCTTATGCTGACGAATTGGACCTGGCCAGACGACGAGACCGATATGGTGGCCCTGGAGGCGGCTGTTCGTGCTATCACGCAGGACGGCCTGGTATGGGGTGGCTCCAAGCTCGTCCCCGTCGGCTACGGTGTCAACAAGCTGCAGATCACCCTGGTCGTCGAGGACGACAAGGTTGGTATCCAGGAGCTTCAGGACGAGATTGCCGAGATCGAGGACTATGTCCAGTCCACCGACGTTGTACGTTTACCCTGCCACTGCTTCATGACTATCACTACCTGGAGGGACCGTCGCTAACACAATTTCTTCTTCCAATTATAGGCTGCCATGCAGAAGCTGTAAGCAGTTGACCGCGGGAGTGTGGGTTTGATGGTCCGAGGGAAGCCAAGAAGCTAGAAAATTAGACCATGTAGCTAGGAAGCATCCATGGCTCTCTGCCTGCCGGCTTTTCGGGATTGGCCAGAGAACTTGGTCCGAGCACAAAAACGAAATCAAAAGAAAGTATTGAGAACCATTTATTGTTGGCATCTCCATGACATTTCGATGGAAGTTATCTTGTCGTAGGCATAACTTGGAAGCAGTGTTGTGTGAGCCTAGAGGGGAGGCGAGACGCAAGACGGAATCATTGATATCTGGGCAACATGGAAGCTCGCATGTGCGGGGCATGGAGGGGGCGGGCCCCTGAAGCCCTGGCGGGTTTAGCTATGAGAATTGGTTGGTTGGATGCATGTGCATGTGCATGTGCACACGCCGTCGTCCGTGGCGCGTCGCGTCGAACACATGTCCCTCTGGCTGGGTAGAGACAGATATAGGTAGAGCATACCTACGTCTTGGGTGGCCACGATGTATGGTGACCTAGGAAATAAACTGGTTCGTTGTTTTTTTTGGTGCCCCCTTTACCTGTCGCCACCGGGGCAGCAGATCAGGCACCGGAGCATGTGTCTAGGCCCTGGCCACCCCTATACGTGCCCTCCTGCGCGGTAGTCAGGCGCACCAGTCTGACGGTCAAACAGGTCCAGCATGCCAAACGGACACAAAACCTGGCGCACCTCCCGCCATACCAGACGGAAATGGTCAGGGCGGCTACGCGGGAGGTGCGCGATCTCAACAAGGACGTCGCCAGCCTCCTCGAGCCCTTCAACGGCTCCTTCGACCCCAGCGCGGACCAGGCCACGGCCTGCGCCCTCTTGGTCGACCACCTCTCCATGCGCCGCAACAAGCGCTGCCTCCTGGCCTACCACCGCACGCGCACCGACAAGCTCGAGGACCTCGTCTGGAGCGGCGCTGATGTCCTAGACCTCTCCGGCCAGCAGCTGAGAGAAGGCGCGGCGGCCGACGGCGGCGGCGGCGGCGGGCGCGCCGCCAACACCGAGGGTCCCACGAGCAGCCTCAGCCCCCAGGAGGAGGACTACGTACGCCAGTACAGCGATCTGCTAGCCGCGTACAAGGGCCAGTGGACCGACATCGACCTGACAGGCAGCCTCGAGCCTCCCAGGGACCTCTTTATCGACGTCAGAGTCCTGAAGGACGCAGGCGAGATCCAGACTGAATACGGGTATGTCATTGACCGTGTCGCTATTCCTTCCACCTACCCTTCGTCCGCCGTTGAAGGCATTGTCTCGCAGAGTTGCGCCTACCCGAGCTGACATGACGTGGACTTGCTTCCACGACTTAGCGCCATCACGCTCAGCAAAAACAGCCAATTCTACGTGCGTCAGGGAGACGTGGAGCGGCTGATTGCCCAGGGTTATCTGCAGAAGCTGGGCTGAGTACTTCTGGCCCATTGGCAAGTAGTCTCATTTACCATGCCGTGTCTATCTCGGCTTCCCATACGCCCCTGGACGTGTGCCAGGCCCGTCGAGAAAGAGAGTCGTGTAGACGTGGGCGAGGGGCTAGCTACTAGCGGTGATAACGAAAACCTAGATTCTGCATCTACATATGCTAAGGGCCATCAGCAATGGCAGTTCCCTTTTGCTAGGGGAAAGGGGTGACTATGTAGGTCACAAGCGGTTCCGCTCGTCCCCAAGGCTTGGGAGAAGTGAGTGAAGCATGCACGGCACGTATCTCAACACCTACATACAGGCAAAACCTTCTGCGGGTAGCCTAGGAGTTTCTCATGCACTCTTATCAATCCCAATTCCCAAGGTCCATGTGGTGCCGCCCCTCCGTGCGAGGCATATCTCTCTCGTTTTCTTTTCTCTCTTTTTCTTTCTACTTCGTACAAGCCAATTGCGGGCCATCACCTACGAGGGACTTGGCATCACTTTCAAATACACGTAATGCGAATTATACCCTGATACAGCGGCCGTCTCGACATCAGATGCCGCGGGTCTGTAGAGTTGTGTCGGCCACATGCCGTCTTTTCCGTGGTCCGAAATCGGTAGGTACACCCACACCCATCGAGCCGAGCAGTTGCGCTTCGCCGGGTATGTACCAAGATGAATGGCATGTTTCCAGGAGACAGGTAGTAGCTGCACCAGGGAGGGGCAGCAGAGGCAGAGAGGGGAAGGGAAACAAGAAAGGCGCACAGCTGGATGGCTGGCTGCTGTACATGTACTTAGCCCACCCAACCAGTCGTAGCCGTAGCTTCTTGGCAGCGTGGGAGTCGACATGCAGGCATGCCACCGGAGCGACAGCCGGCTGGGCATGGGGGGGTCGGCTGCACCCCCGACAATGGAAGGGAACGGTGTGGCGTACATGATATCAGATGCATTGGATGGGCCCGCCCGTGCACCCACACGGTGTTGGTGCTACTGTGTCCCGCTTTGTGCCGCTGTGGGCTGCTCTGAAGCTGTCGTACAGCCACAGTGCAATCTTTTTAATTTTTTATTCTGAGCATTTTCTTTTTTCCTTGTTTCTCGCTCTCCCCTTTCCTCCGTCTCTGGCCGTTTTAGACATGCCTGACAACAGAGTTGGGGCCAAAAGCATCGTGGGTGGATTATATATACTCTCCAAGATTTGTGGCTTGCGTTTGCCTGGCTGAAAAAAAAAAAAGAACTATACAAAGGAGCTTAGTGGTGGAAGAGGCGAGTGCTCTGCTCCACGAAGGTGATTCCCAGCTTCTCGGCCGTCTCGAAGACGATGCCGTCGTTCTGGCTTCCAGTAGGCGCGGCCATGTACTTTACACCCGAGCGAGCAGCCCTGAAGACGTTGTCGGCGAAGGGGAACTGGCGGAGGGGTTAACGGAAAGGTCGGCGAGCGCAACGACAATGTCGGAGCTTTGAGGGAAGAGGAAAAGACACTTACAAAGGCGTCACTCGAGATGGCGACGTTGGTCAGCTTGCCGAGCCACTCGTCCCTCTCGGCCTCGGTGAAGGCGGCGGGGACCTCGTCGAACAGGACCTCGAAGGCGTCCCTCTCGGCGCCGCCCTTGGGCAGCTGGCCGCTGACGAGCAGGTCGATGGCGTTGCTCTTCTCGGGCCGCTTGGCGCCCTGGCGCCACTTTGCGCCCAGGACGCGCGGGTGGAAGCGCAGCCACCAGTTGTCGGCCTTGTCGCCGGCGAGGCGGGTGCAGTGGATGCGCGACTGCTGGCCGGCGCCGAGGCCGACGACCATGCCGCCTGCGGCGTAGCACACCGAGTTGCTCTGCGTGTACTTGAGCGCGATGGTGGCGACGGTCAGGTCGCGCAGCGCGCTCTCGGGCAGCGGGGCGGCGGCGGCGGCGGCGGGCGAGTCCTTGGGCGTGATGACGGTGCCGAACGAGGCGGGCGAGACCTTTGCGTCGTTGCGGTGCTGCGACAGGCCGACGCCGTAGACGGTGCGCTGTTCGCGCGCCGCCGGCTCGTACTCGGGGTCCATCTCGAGCACCAGGTAGCGGCCGCCCTTCTTCTTGCTCAGGATGGCCAGGGCGGCTGCGTCGTAGCCGGGAGCGATGATGCCGTCCGACACCTCCCGCGAGATGATCTTGGCCGTGGGCTCGTCGACCACGTCGCTCAGCGCGATCATGTCGCCAAAGGAGCTCATACGGTCGGCGCCGCGGGCGCGGGCGTAGGCCTGGGCCAGGCCCGACGAGTCGATGCCCTCGATGCCCTCCACCATGTAGACCTTCTTCTCGTTCTCGCTGAGCGGGGTGCCGATGGCGGCGCCGGCGGGCGAGACGTGCTTGAAGCTCGCGGCGGCGGGCTTGCCGAGGGCCTCCTTGAGCTCCTTGACGAGCGGCCAGGCGTTGAGCGCGTCGAGTAGGTTGATGTAGCCCGGGGAGCCGCAGAGGACCTTGAAGGGTAGCTTACCCCCCTTGGTGTAGGCGGCCGCGGGCTTCTGGTGGGGGTTGGCGCCGTAGCGCAGCGCCAGGTGCTGCAGGCCGTCCGAGGCGTACTGGCGGCGGAAGAAGTCGGAGATGGCGGCGTCGTAGTCGGCCGTGTGCTCAAAGGCCTTGAGGGCGTAGAGCTTACGGCTCGACTCCTTGATCTCGCCGGCGTCGAGCTCCTTGAGGAACTCAGCGTAGTCGTTGGGGTCGCTGAGTATGGTGACGCGCGAGTGGTTCTTGGCGGCGGCGCGGATGAGGGTGACGCCGCCGATGTCGATCTCCTCGACGGCCTCGGGCACCGTCACGTTGACCTTGGCGACCGTGTCCTTGAAGGGGTACAGGTTGCAGACGACGTAGTCGACCTTGTCGATGCTCTGCTCGGCCAGGTCCTTCTCGTCCGACGCTAGGTTGCGCGCCAGGATGCCGGCGTGCACGGCCGGGTGCAGCGTCTTGACGCGGCCGGCGAGCATCTCGGGGGCCTTGGTGATGGCCGAGATATCCCTGCGTGAGGGGAGAAGAGGAGCCGGGTGGTAGCGTGTTAGCAAAGGCGAGCAAAAAAAGGCAACCGTTTGCGCCGTTGGCCGTTGCCATATCGACTTACTCAACGGCGAACCCAGACTCCCGGATCATCTTGGCGGTGCCGCCAGAGGCAAGGATGCGGACGTCATTCTTGACGAGGCCCTTGGCCAGGTCCAGCAGGCCCGTCTTGTCGTAGACCGACACAATGGCAATGCGCTGTGGTGCCCCCATCGTTGGTTCCTGGCTGCAGATACGAGATATATGATATATCCGGGTGTGCTTGGTCCAGAAGGGCTGTCTGTCTCAGTCAAGAGGCAGAGGAGGAGGGTGGGAAGAGCACAAGCCCATAGAGGGGGCGCGGGGTGGGTCGCTAGAATCGGACTAGAATCGGAGTCTTTTTTTTTTTTTTTTTTTTTTTTTGGGCGGCCGGAGTGTGAGCCGGTAAATCAGTGGGTCTCGACCGTTCAGAGGCGACGCGGGAGAAGGGAAGAAGGAAAAAATTGAAATAACCTCGACGCCATCTTGGTCGCCATCCATCTGTAATAATCCTTGCACACAGCAGGATGGCGCATTCCGCCCCGCTCATGCATGGGAGACGGCGCTATCAAGGTTCAAGGCCCGAGTTATCCCCCCAGCAATTGCGAATCCACAATGGATGAAGATGCCAGTCCAATCTTCACCCCAACCAAGCGTGCGTCAAAGTATAAACTATCTCATACAACAAACATTTTTCGGCTTCCCCCCGGCTGTGCCCAGCCAGCCAGGTCGGGTAGGCGAGGCTCTTGGGTCAGGAGCACGTCCAAAACCACCCAACAAGGGTTCCATCCCCGTCCGACGCCGGCGCCCGACTGTGTTCTGAGCTCGCCATCCCGTTGTTCCATGACTGCCGCAGCCCGTCTGTCACGACTTCGCTCGTCTCCATGACTTCCCCTGTCTCGCGCTTCTCCCCCTTCTCACCCACCCGGAGGGGGAGGAGCTCGGGTTCCGTCCACTCCCAGGAGCCTGCCGCTCACGATGCCTCCAATGGCGTATCGGCGTTGAGCCCCCCAAGCCACCATGATGCCCGCCGTCTGTCGTCGTCGCTCACCACCGCCAGCCATCGGGAGCCAATCCGGTCATTTATCCACGGCAGCGTGCGAGACCAACCCAGTGAGTTTTGTCCCTTGCCCTGCTATCTCCGAGACCACCCCCTCGCAACTTTTTATCACCACTCTCGTCTCCTCATGCCTTGCCTCACATCGCCGAGAGCTCTGCGCTGACATCGCATTGGCTTCCCTTGTCGCCGTAGCCCCCGTCGACAGCGCTCAGTACGCGCGGAGCGTTCGTGAGGACACGGCCGAGCTCGCGTCTTATCTGCTATCCGACCAGAGCAGCCGCCTCACCGCCCCAGCTTTCTTGAATCGCCAAAGGTCCAACTCGAATCGTCTACCACGCGAGGTTTCACGGCCGTCATCCAACTCTGCGTCAGACGACGTCGAGGCCGGCCCGACCAGAGACGCGGGATCCACTCAGGAGGTCCCAGACTTGCCTTTTGACGGTTCTTTGGAGGAAGAGGACTTGGACGCAGCTGGCCCTTCCATAATCTCTAATATGCTGCGACGATCACCACCCGAGTTCCCGGGTTCGCATGCGGACCTGGATGGCAGCCCCGCCCCTGGGCGGACTCTCCATGTTGCCCCGACGGCCACCGATTCCCACGACTGGGAGGCGCATCATAAGCAGGGTCGGCAGGATGTGGAAGCCGAACTCTTGACCGAGACCACGCCGCTCCTGTCTGTGAGGTCCCACCACAGCCCAGCCACGTCCGATCCCGGTCTTGATTCGGATCTGGAAGATCAGAAGTTTCCTCAGCCTAGACCCTGGCACAGCGCCATTTCCAATACCGGCCGTCGCATTGCTGGCGCCGCTTCCTCACTCGTCGATGCGGCTCGCGACCAACCGACCTCTCTCAACCGCAGATCGATGTGGGAAACTCTGGTGGTAGCCCCAGTGTCATGTCTGCCTGCCGTTATCGTTGGCCTCTTGCTCAACATACTTGATGCGCTCTCGTACGGTAGGTCGTGTGCAAGCAAGCTCTTTGTGGCAAACCGGATACTGCCCTCTGCCCCATTTGGACCATGCTGATAGCTTCGTTACTGTGGCCTGCCAGGTATGATTCTTTTCCCGCTTGGGGACCCGGTATTTGCTAGCCTGGGACCCGCTGGCATATCCATCTTCTACGTCAGTACCATTGTGTCGCAGGTTACATATTCCACGGGCTCGGTCTTCAGGGGCGGCATCGGTTCTGAATTGGTAGGCGTCTCTTCCCGGCATAGCGGCTTGGAGCGAGTGTAAGTGCTAATCAAACGTCACACACAGATCGAGGTCGTCCCCTTCTTTCACGCAATGGCCTTTGCGATTCATACCCACATTGGGGACGGCAACGACGTTGCCGTGATTGCCAGCACTATAGTGGCATACGCCCTGAGCTCCATGCTCACTGGCCTCGTATTTTATCTCATGGGCCTCTTCAGATTTGGCGTATGTTCCTGATTCTTCCACCCCTCCATCTGCGTCCCTACCAAATTCCACATGCAATTTTGGCCATGAGCTTACGATGGACCCTTCATAGTACCTTGTTGGCTTCATCCCGAGGCATATCCTCGTTGGCTGCATCGGTGGTGTGGGGTGGTTTCTCGTTGCCACCGGTTTTGAAGTCTCGGCTCGCATCGACGGGAGCCTCGAGTACAACCTCGAGACTCTACACAAACTGTCTAGGCCTGACACTATTCCTCTCTGGGCAACTCCTCTGGTGTTGGCACTGGTTCTCTTCTACTGCCAGAAGAAGATACAGTCCAAGTTTTTCCTCCCACTGTACATCTGCGGCATCCCGGTGGCCTTCTATTCTATCGCTTTCGCCCTCGGCAAATTGGATATGGACGCTTTGCGGGAAGCCGGCTGGGTATTCAAAGGCCCTGCTGCGAATGAGCCTTGGTGGCACTTCTACACGCTTTACGGTTAGTCCTGCTTACCTCCCAAGCCATCATCCTACATTTCCCCAGGCATTAGTTCAGCAGGAAGTCTGGAGCGAGTACTGACGGAGGCACCTGCAAATCAAGACTTCACTGCTGTTCGATGGGATGCAGTCGTACAGACCATTCCCGCCATGTTTGCACTTACTTTCTTTGGCATCCTCCACGTACCTATCAATGTCCCCGCTCTTGCGATATCGACCGGTGAGGACAACGTTGACCTCAACCACGAGCTCAAGCTCCATGGCTACTCCAACTTCCTGTCAGGCCTTTGCGGCAGTATCCAGAATTACCTCGTTTACGCGAACACCGTCTTCTTCATGCGCTCGGGGGCTGATAGCCGGCTGGCCGGATTCGAGCTCGCGGCACTGACTACTGTTGTCATGATGATTGGGCCTAAACTCATCGGATACATCCCAATCTCGATGGTCGGCTGCTTGATCTTTGACCTCGGCTTTGAGCTTCTCCTCGAGGCCCTGTGGAGTCCCCGGAAGAAGCTCAAGAGGCTCGAGTACCTGACTGTATGTGGCATTTGCGTCTCGGACCCGAGCTCTGCTCCTTGTGGGACTGTTGTTTGCTAATATCTGCTTCCGCCAGGTCGTCGCCATTGTTCTCATCATGGGGATTTACGACTTCGTTACTGGGATTGGGGTCGGAATACTGATGGCGTTTGTGTCCATGATCTTCCAGACCGCACAGGTGTCGGCAGTCAGGGCTGGCTGGTCGGGTGACGTGGTCGGGTCAACAGTGCGACGCAATCCCTCGCAACAGCACTTCCTTCAGCAGGTCGGGCGTCAGATCTCCATCGTCAAGCTTTCCGGCTACCTCTTCTTTGGCACCATCGTTGGGGTGGAGGAGACGATCCGAGATCTGATCACGGACGAGGCGTTCCGACAGAGGCCTATCAAGTTCCTTATCCTGGACCTGCACCAAGTTACTGGGCTCGACTACTCTGCTGGCGAGGCTTTCGCCACCATCCGCCGGCTGCTTAGCAAGAAGGGGATAGAATTCATCCTGAGCGGGGTGGACGGCAGCAGCGCTCTATGCCACAACCTGAGGGCGCTAGGTGTAGGGGAAGACGAGGCCACATTGCTGCCCGATCTGAACTCAGCTCTCGAGGCGTGCGAGAACGAGCTGCTCAAGACTCTGTACGCACAACAAGAGGCAGTAAAGGCCCCGGTTCATGTTGGAGCAAGCAGCTTGGAGGTCCCAACCAATGACAGGTCGCCCGGACCTCTAGAGCAGCTGGCCAGCTCTCCTCGCCGAAACCACCTGTACGAGGCGGCTACCCGACTTGCGGATGCCGGGAAGACTCGGCAGTCCAAGTGGCAGAGCTTCAGGGAGCCCCTGAGGCTGATGCTGCAAATATTCCAAGACATGAGCGACAAGAACGAGGACTTTTGGTTCCGGGCCTCCAGCTACTTTACGCGGAAAGAGTACCGGTCTGGCGACGTGCTGTACCGGCAGAGAGAGCCAGCCACCGGGTTCTATCTGGTCGAGAGCGGCATCATCCGGATGGAATACGATCTTCCGCAGGGGTACCTCTGCGAGAGCATAGTGGCTGGGACGACATGCGGCGAGCTTCCTTTCTTCTCCGAGACGAATCGCACGGCGACAGCTGTCGTTGAGCGTGACTGTGTGGTCTGGCTCATCGATCGGGAGGGCTGGGACAAGCTGCAAAAAGAAGAGTCGGACGTTGCGCAAGAGCTCCTCCGCATGGGCCTCAAGCTGACCAGCGAGCGCATGAGTGTCATGACTTCATACGTCTTGACGGTGGCCTCTTGAGCACTCCGCGATGAACTTTGGCTGTATTTCTTATGTTGGTTGTTTATATTCTGACAGCTTTCCATGATTTGCCAGTCGGGCGAACACATGTTGCTCCATGCTTAAAAAAAAAAAAAAAGATTTGTCCTGTGTTGATGGGTATGCTTGTTTACTGGGGAAATGGGGAAAAGCGTTGTTTCGCATTTGTTGGGTCTAGATAATATTGTGCGAGGGTTGGAATTGAGTGCGCAGGAAAATAATAAAACGTGGCGCATCTGAGTGAGTGTACGGATTGACGCGTTAAATCCGCAGTTTCAGCAACCGTTGGCTTGGGTGATGGAAGAGATACGTACTGGCACACGACTTGGAAACGGCGGGTGGCGAACCAGTTTTAGTCACCCAAGGCTCACTCAGGCAGCCATGGGAAGGTCGGAGCAAGTGCGTCGCCACTACAGCAAATCCCAGCTCGTCGGATCATCGGCTATTAATCGACCTACCTGTCACGACACCACACAAAGGACGTTATCTATCCTTGCTGATCTGGACGTTGCCATGAATCGACAGACTGTTCTGGGGAGCTCACATCGCGTCCAGAAACAGCGCCCAAGGGAAGGGTCCACACCGGCGGCTCGCGCCCTAGTCTCGTCATGGACGGCAGGGTTTCCACGGAGGGAGGCGGGCGAGCCATCGGCCAACAAACAGGCGGGAATCGCCGGCGGCGCGGACCCGGCCGCCGTCCCCGCGGGCGGCGACCAGACGCCACCCGACATCCCACAGGCCATAGCGCACGCGCGCGACAACATGTTCTCGGCGCTCCCGAAGCGGGGGATCCCGTCGGCGCTGGCCGCAACGGTCCTCTCCCGGCGCGCCTCCCTCCCGCCCATGGTGTCGGCGGCCCACCTGCAGGCGCTCCTGGGCTGGACGCCGACCACGGTGGAGCGCGGGGCGGCCGAGCTGGCGCGCGCCGGCACGCTGCGCCGCGTCGCGGTGCCCGGGCGCGGCGCAATGGGCGAGGTGCTGGTGCTGGCCGCCGACCTGGAGCGCATGCTGGGGGAGGCCGACGGCCTGGGCGATGCGGCGCGTGATGCCTTTGCGCGGATGCTGCGCGAGCACCCGGCCGCCCAGGCCGTCCCGGCGGGGAGCCTCGCGCCGGAGCACCTGGCCGCCCTCGTGCGCGCGGGCTTCCTGACGGGCGGCCATGGCGGGGCGGCGGCGGTTGGGGCGTCGATATTCGCGCGGCCCGAGGACCGCGGCACGCTCATCTCGCTGGCGACGGTTGCGAGGGCGGCGTCGGGGACGGTCGGGGCCGTGGGCGGCGAGGGCGGCTCCCGGGAGCACGTGCTCAGCAGTAGTGGGTCTGCCGTCGGGGCCGGGAGCGGGAGCGGGTGCGGCGCCGAGTATCGGATCGCGATACCCGGGGCGGGAGTGGGGCTAAAGCTCGTGGCGGCGGCGCTGGCGCACCTGACGGAGCTGCTCGCGCGGCTGCCGGACCGGGAGGCGCCCGAGGACACACTCCGGGAAAGGTGGGACGGCGGCGGCAACGGTGGCGGCGGGCGGCGGCAGGCGGGGAGGGGCGGGCGATTCGGGGTGGCCCCCAGTCGGGCGCGGCGATGGAAGGAGTTCTCCGGGCTGCGGTTCGACTGGGTCCTGGACGAGGCGGTCGGGGCGGGCCTGGTGGAGGTGTTCGAGACGGGGTGCGTCGGGAGGGGCGTCAGGCTTGTGTCGCCGCCCTAAAGTTGTGAAGCATGGTGCGACGCGCAATGCGTCCGCCTGCCTCGCTCCCCTCCAAGCCCTGAACCGGGATCTGAAGCCCGACGGGACCCCCCAGGTCCGACTGACAAGTTGCACAACGGAGAAATAGATATAACGTGTAACGACGGGCACATATAGGTACGGAGGTAGTGCCTGGCTGGGATGTATGGCTATCTAAATGATGTGGATGATCGGTCCATGTTGGCCCCGTCTCATGCCGAAAGGCGCCGCGGATCAGGGGTGATACTTGTTTCCTATGTGTAGAAACTTGCAAGCACAGCCCTGCCAAAGGGTACAAAACGCAAATACGTATAGATGTGCATGGTGCTTTTGGAGTTCTGCCCACGGAGGTATAGTACCCAAGCGCCCAGAGAAGACACCTGTCTTTGTCGGACGGCATGTGTTGATGCCGTGCCCGTTTGGCAGACGAGTCGAGGTTACCTAGGCAAGGGTTCGGTGCTGACGGCGGGTGTTATAGGTAATATAGCAAACTGCGGCGCACCGTCCACCGCCCACCCTTCACATGACGACTAAACATCCGGTGGGCCACGATAGACCGGATGCCAAGCCGGATGTCATACTGTGGCAGCGACAAGAGCCTTCTCCGCCGCGAGCCGAGAGGGTGGGTAGGTTGCGTGTTCTGGGCTACCCAAAGTAGTCGGGCGGGTGACGGCAGCGGCGCCCCGCCGTTTGAGACCCCCCCTCGCCCTGGCTCGGGCGAAAAGGGTGATGTTTCTTGCACTCGCTTATGTCTACCGGGAGAAGCTAGATGCTGTCTCGAAATACTACCCGGTAAAGCAATTTGTTGACAGCCCCGCCTGTCTATAGAAGGTCTATAGGAGAACCATACACACTCACATAAATACCCCCTTCGAGGTGCCAGCGAACACAACTGGCATAACCAAGCTGGCAGGTATGGGTGCCTCTATATTTGCAGAGGAAAAGCGGTTGGCGCGCGAAGGCGGCAGGCAACTCGAGCCGATCTGAGGCTTTCCCAGCCGCATAAGGCACGGAATCCGGGAGATGGCCAGGCTGCCGACAGTTCTGCTTGGGTACTCCTGTGCCTTTGTATAGAGACGTACTACCTAGTAGGCGCGCAGGACTTGTTAGCGTGGCGACGCAGGTCTTGGTTGCGTCCACTTTGCGGGGCTTCGATGGCGCTCGCTGTGGCATCCATTGTAGCCTATCTCGGTCTGGACTGTCGAAAGCTGTAGCCCAAGCACAGACAGAGCAGCCCGCATGATCCAATCCCGTTGGGTGATGGGCACCCCACCCTCGACGAGCGCACGGCCCAAGAACCAGGGTTGCATCCGGCACACCCAGCATGCGGCCGCCCCTCCCTGGATTTGATGCGGGCAGCCTATTTGATGTCCGTCTCCCGGGCTGACTGGCCCAGACCCCTGTCAATACCTCCACAGCTCCGCGTGCCGTGCCATTGGGCCTCCTTGACTGGGGCCCACGGCTAGCGCGGCGCAGGTCCCAAGTCCAGTTGGTGCCGTGACTCGAGGCTATCGCGGAAATTGCAGCCCGTCCTCCAATGTGACCCCCCAAAAGCCTGATTAAATTGCGCCGCGCGCTGCCTGGCTTGCCTGGAAACTTTTGACATGCCACGCCAACGCGAGCTGCTGCTAGTGCCCCTCGCCCGCGCATAGGTTTCCCGGGCCACGACCGTCGAGGCGCGGCTGCCGCTCTACCCTTGGCGACTTTTGATCTAGAACGGCTTGTGCCAAAGAGGAGGCTAGCCGATTTTCTGGTACCTGCCTCTGTGTGGGACGTATACTGAGTATTCATCGCACCAGCAGCGTGCCTAGGTATGTGGACGGCCCACGGACATGCTCGAGAGATGCATTCGCCAGTAATGGATACATCCCTTCCCACACTCGTATCGCCCGACTAGGCCATCTAGGAGAAAAGATGAGGAGAGTGATAACTGGCCATTGGTCCAGACGGGGGGAAAACCGAGGGTACCAGCATCCATTGAGATTACCCCGGTTAGTGTGGAGTGGGGTCGTCCCAAGGGGTGGTCACAAAAGAGAGGGACCAATTAAAGGTGCGCACGGACTCAAGAGGCATCACCCGAAGGAAGGGCGACAAGGCGCCACCAATACGGTGTGCTGAGGTACATGCGAACAAGTGTTCGATATAGGGTGAAAGCCGAAACAGTGCCCGATATCGAATTTTGGGATCCCAGAACGGCAGAACGGACCACGGCAAGGGTCATCCAGGTGCCAACCCCCACCCCTTTTCTTCACAGACTTGGTGCCCAGCTTTGGGCGACGAAGGGATTCTCACGGCTGAATAAAATGCAACCCCGCACTAAAGTGTAAGCACGTGCAGCTGAGGGAGGAGAGCGGACGAGTGAAGTCATCAAAAGGGATCATCACAAAAAGAAGGGATCTGCAGTGGTCCTTTGGCTCAATTGCTCTCGATTGGGAGAACCTAAGGCTTTGTGTGTGCGTGTTGGTGAAGGGGTCCCCGCCTCGGTTGCCCCAAGCCCCGAGGCCCGTCAGGTAATTTCCAGGCTGTTTTTCTTTTCTTTTCGTAGGGGTGTGTGTGTCCAGTCAAAGTGGTTCTTGCACTTGTCCATGCATTACCACAACGAGTCCTGGTCGGCCCAATTGCTGCTCCAGCCACCTGCCTCGGACACACACGCACAAGCACATACTCTCGCTCCCGTCCGTCAAACAGCTGGGGCGGGCTTATCGGGATCGGGCCGTCCAGAGCCTGCTCCAGAGTTCGCTGGGCGGCGCGTGCGTTGGGCCGGTTGTGCGTCCCGAGGGCTTCAAGCTTCATAACGGTCTTGTTCCACGTCGCGCTATTATCCACTGTGGCCCGAGCTTTCCCCTCTTTATTCTTCTAATTCTTTTTTGTTCGTCTTTTCTGCATCCCCCGCTAGCCCCTCCCTGTCCGAGTCGCAGCCAAGCAGGGACATCGCTTCCTGGACCCAACAACGCCACCAGCCTGCACTCGCAATCTCACTCTCTTTTGCCAGTGCCAGCGCCGTTGCGACCAAAGACCACTCCTTCCGAACACGCTTCGCGTAGAGCATCGCGCTAGCCCGCCTGTGCTGCACCTCTGGTCCCATTGACCCGTGACCATCCTCGGCCGAAGCTTTGGCGGCCCCTTCTTTGCCAATCGATCGCATCGTGCAGCAGCAGCACCTGCAGCACAAATTTCCCTGGTTCGCTCCACCCCGGTCGTCGACAAGTCGCACGCGTCCACACCACACGCTCGCTAGACTTCCACGACCCTGGGCCCCCTCCCCGGACACCCTCATTTTCGCTGCCGTTTTCCTGGCTTCCAGCGCGACGTACAGCCAGTCCAAGATCCTCACGTCACCCACTCTCGACCGGCCTTGCACAACCACGCGAAGTCGACCCGATCGCCCGGCAGAAACATCAACCTCACTGGCAGGAGGGGAACACCAAGGGTCAGCGCAGGAGCCGGAACAGATCACGGAACATCCAGGGTGAAGAAGAAAAAAGGCCTACGAGGAAAAACAAGGAAAGCGAGGGAAAGGGATCGTGCGGGCCACAAGCCAAAGGAACCCCCAGGCGACCCGACGACATTTGCTCGCCACCAAGGTATGTGCAGAATCCCCAACCATCTCTCGCCCCCAAGGACGCCCTCAACTCGGTCGACTCGTCGCCTCTCGGCTCCTGTCGTATCCTTGCCCGGTGTTCCTTGCGCTGATTGCCATTTTGTGGCACCCTCCGCTTGTTTGCTCTTCATATTTTGTCTTCCGACCCTGGGTCGGCTCCGCAAAACCAATTGTCATGCGTCTGCTCGCTCCTCCTCCACTGCCGGGCCTCCTGCAGGACCAGAGCCTGGGGTTTCTTCCATTGCACACACACGCTTCGTTCTATCCGCCCATCCCAAACAACACTTCTGTTTATATGATCGCCTACTACATCCGTGCCCTTCCTTATGTACTGACGCATAAACCCGTTTCAAGAACCCTGGACTCAACAGGCGGGTCAACAAGTCCACCACCGCCACTGCCCTCTACCGTTGTTCCCGTCTGCCTCATGAGCAGGCTTGGATTGTGCCGGCCCTGTGCACTTCACTGGTCCACCTGCCCGGTGCATAACCCCAGCCATCCCCCTTCGGTGAATTTTGATGGGGGCTTGACCAGTGTTGCATCTACCCCCTGAGCCTGGGTCCGACAAAATCCAGCACGTCCGCGCAGCTCTGGTCACGCCCGCGAAACTACCGCGTCTTCGACTCTCCTCGACGGCGTCCATCAAATATGGCGGCCACACTCCCAACGGCATCGCGGCCCACGAATGGGCCTCCGACAGCCGCACTTCCGGCACTACCTATCACCAAGACCCGAAAGAGCACCGGCGGCATGGCAGCAACACCCTCACACTTGGGCAGCAGCACGCCCAGGAGCGGCCTGCGCGCTCCTTCGTCCACCTTCCTCCCTCCAACAACACCCGCGCCCACCACGGCGCTTCCGCAGCCGCGCGCTGTCTCCGTGGCCGCCCCGACGAAAACGATACGGAAAACCGTCAGCATAAACTCCTTCCCACAACCACCTCGCGGCGACGCAAGATCCAGTCTCCCACCAAGTCCACTCTCCAACAGCGGGCCGGCGCCTGCCCGGAAGTCAAAGAGCCAGGCAGCGCTGGGCTATCAGGTCAATGGCGCCCCGAGTCTCCTCAACGGCACCGAAGGTATATCTGTTGCGCGCGGGCCTGGGACGCGAAGCTCCGATGGCTTGATCAGTGTGGGATCCCCGCCTCAGAGCAGGAGTTCCTCGGCACAGGACTCTTACTCTACGTCGGCTACTCAGTATGATGATCTGGCAGACGGTTCTCAACAAAAACCGGGCGCTGGCGCAGCTGAGGGCACCTCAAGCAAAATGTCGTCCAAGCTCGAGGGGAAGGGAAATGTTGTCGTGAGCGTGAGGGTTAGACCTGATGCCGGCGGACACGATCACTCGAAATCAGACGGCGAATGGATAGTTGAGGGAAAGAAGTCTCTAATATCATATCGCGGCAAGGAAGGCGGCGATTATTTTTATGGTATGCAAGACTAATCCCCCTTCCTTTTCACTCCCCGTATTGGTTGCTCGGTTCAGCGACTTACGCAATGCTTCCTCGGCAGATAATGTTTTTGCGACACACGACGACAACTCCAAGGTCTACGATCACATCGCCAAACGACTAGTCCGTAGAGTCATGGAAGGATACCACGGAACGGTCTTCGCATACGGAATGACGGGTACTGGAAAGACCTTCTCCATGCAGGGCACCGCTTCGTCGCCAGGCGTCATTCCCCTCGCAATCACCGACATCTTTTCTTATATCCGGGAAACACCCTCCAGAGAGTTTCTGCTACGCGTCAGCTACCTCGAAATCTACAACGAAAAGATCCACGATCTGTTGAGCATGTCCACAGGAGGCGGCATTGGCGGCGCTGGCGGGCAAGACGAGATCAAACTGCGCGAGGACAGCAAGCGTGGAGTCTATGCCAGTCCCTTGAAAGAGGAGATTGTGCAGAGTCCGACGCAGCTGCTGCGTGTGATCGCCCGTGGCGACCAGGCACGTAGGACGGCAAGCACGCAGTTCAATGCGAGGAGTTCGCGAAGCCACGCAGTCGTTCAGATAGTGGTTGAGAGCCGCGAGCGCACGCCGGGCTCGACGTCTGATAGCAAGCGCTCTGGCCTCGCGCCGGGCGGAGTCCGTGTGTCAACTCTGAGCCTGATCGATCTTGCTGGCTCTGAGAAGGCGGCCGAGAGCAAAGAGCGACGTACCGAGGGTTCCCACATCAACAAGAGCTTGCTAACGCTCGGTACCGTCATCTCCAAGCTGTCAGAGAACAAAGACAAGGACGGAAAGCCCTCGGACAAGGACGGGAAGCACCTACCATACCGTGACAGCAAACTGACCAGGCTGCTACAAGGTGCTCTATCGGGCGGCTCCCTTGTGAGCATCCTATGCACCATCGGGATCGGAGCCGCAGGGAGCGCGGCCACGGTCAGCACACACACCAACGAAACGATCAATACATTAAAGTTTGCCGCACGCGCCAAGAACAATATCGTCAGCCATGCTAAAAAGGCCGAGGAGGCACTCGGGGCTGGTGGCGAGGGCGGCGCAAAGGTCCTCCTCGAGAGGTACCGCATGGAAATACTGGAGCTGCGGGGTCAGCTTGATGCACAGGCCAAAAACAACAACAAAAAGGAGGCCGAGGCGGAGAAGGCTCGCGATGTGGAGCAGGAGCGGGCACGCGAGAAGCAGGCCGAGCACCGACATGAGGAGCAGTTGCTGGAAATGCAACTTGCACGCACGGCTCTGAAGGAGAGGATCGATCACCTCAACCGACTGATATTAAGCTCAAAGTCGATCGGGGTGAACAGCAGCGGCTCATACAGCTCCCTGGGGATGCACTCTCGAGCGTCGCTCGCATCGGTCAGATCTCTGGCAACCACGGCACGGGGCTCGATGCTCGAGCGGTCCTCGTCCATGACATCATCATCCTCTACCGTCGGCCGGCGGACCAGCAGTCAACGACTTTCCGCAACGGGCGAAGCTACGGTGGAGGAAGACGGCAGTGTTGGGGAGTTTGGCGATGGGGTTGCGTCACTGGCTGCCCAGAACCGGGCGCTCCAGGCCGATCTAACTGACAAGAACCGTTACATATCGACGCTGGAGAAGCGCCTGCTCCAGGCCCGGAGGACAAGCTCCTCGCGTGCCTCCGTCCTCGGACCCAACAAAGGTATCATGGTTGGCGAGGACCACAGTGTCGCGGCTGTGATTAAGGAAAAGGATGTCGAGATCGCCGAACTACGAGCGCGACTGGACGACAAGGACCGGATGCTGGCCGCGCTTCGCAGTGCGGCCAGATCGAGAGAAAACGCCGACAGGGTTGACTCTCGCGCCGAGGCCCGATCCTCGCAGGTGATGGATTCTCCGCAATCGCCCAAGCCGTCTCCCCTGACAGACTCGAACCCAAGCCCTCCCTCTATTGCTCGGCAGGTGTCGAACCTAGGTCGCGGGACCAAAAGCGTCGATGAAATGAGCCGAATCCTGGATGAAATGGTATGTGATCGCCTCGTTCAGCACTCTTGCTTGATTTCCTCCAGCGCCCTCCCGACATCCTACGCCTCGGAACTTTAAATTATGTATGGCTAACCTGATTTGTCTTTCCCCCTTAAAGATCCAGGACCGAGTTGAGAGCGGGCACATTGTACGCGGAACTCGTGGCAGTGTCAGGATCGCGAATGATCGAAAAGGCCCTACCGCTACGGCCACGACCAAGCCGGCGGGGCACGCACCCATTATTGTCTCTACTGATGTGTGAGGCTCGCCATGGCACATGGTCGTTTGTTTTCGCCGTCTGCTACTCTGCTGTCATTCTGTTTTCTTTCCTTCGGCGTGGCAGCAGCAGCCACACCCACCGATGATGGCCGCTTTACCAAACACTAAAAAATAACTTGGGCAAGGGAAAATATTTGGGTTGGGCTTGGCTTGGAGGCGAAGAGGAGTTCTGGATTGGGCTTGTGAACGATACGTTTGTTTCATTTTGCTCTTTCGTTTTTTGCCCTCCCTTGCCTCTTCATTTTCATTTTCTTGGGTTGTCTTCATTCGTCTTTCTCGCATGTCACCTCCCTTTTTTCCTCCATGATTTTGCGGGCGACCGTTCTATACCCGACGCAATTATTCTCTCTCCTTCTCTCGGTTTTCTTCCAGTCACGAAGTTGGCTTTTGTTTTAACGGCTTTTGTTTTAACGAGCTGTTTTTGCTCCCTCACAAATTGGTGAGTGAGATCCCGCGAAGGGACTGCTCGCAATTCCAGGCCGAGCTGTATTATATCGTGTATATCCCTTGGCATCGGGAGCAGTCCTCATAATGTTGACGACCACAAGAGGAGGGAGGAATGGTTTAGACGAGTGCGTGTACACAGGTGGACAAGAAGGGAACAACGGCGCGAGGAGGCTATCATAGTTTATTATGTGGCATCATTACGGGCAGACAGGCTCTCCCTGTTTTGCGGCCAAGATTATCTATCTCTCATTCCCTGACAGAGCCAGTGAGCACGCGATGAGCGAGGCACGGGATCATCTAGAGATGTCCTAGGTCGAGGGCGAGGGAGGTGCCCCGCCGATTCTTTGACTTTGCGTCGGTGGCGCATTGTTGAGGGATGCACAGCCTGGTTCAAGACAAGACGTGTGTGCGCTCAAGGCAAAAAAGCAATCGCAGGCGGACACGCAGGCGCATAAAACATATGAAAAGTAAGAAGGCCCACGATGGTCGGACTACCCGTTCCGTGAACCGAATAGGATAGCACAATAGGTACCTACCATCCTGCCTAGGCGCGCACGTGTATGTGTGTGTCTCCCAGTATGTATGAGACTGTGTACAGCGTACACATGCGCATCGGTCACATCAACGAAACCGGGTTACTTTCTCGGCAGCCGCCGGAAAATCCCCAAAATCCCATGTTCCACACCGACTGGTTGCTCCTTCCCCCCTTCAAGTCGGCGGATGGCTCCCAAGCTTTCCCGAGCTTGCGGGCTGACGCCAGTCCATTCGCGGAAATGGGCCCCTAATTGCTGGGGGACTTTTGTGGGACCCCTTTCCCCGGCTGAGATCTGCGTCCCACTTTAGCACGCGCGTGTTTCAGAGCTGCAGGGGGCTCTTGATGGTGATCGTCCGTCCCGTCTGGCTCTGTCGCCCCTTTCCCACGACTGTCCAGTCACGATGCAGCGTGCCAGCCGATCGGGCTCATCTTTCGTCCTGGTTTTTCTTTCTTTCTCTTTCACCCTGTCTTCGGACGAGTGAACCCCTCACCTGCAGGCAGGGCTCACATTCGTTGATCCCCTTCTCGTTGATCGGCCGGCGGCTGCCATTCCATGCTGTTCCAGGCAAAAAAAAAAGGCGCACCACAAAGGAAGGAATGCGTGTGTGCTTCGCCGCACACGCCGCACACGCCGCAGCACACGCAGCAGCACATCAATATTCAGCCAGTGAGGGAAACCCGCTGGCTTGCGGCCGTTTGGCCCCCCCGCGCCATTTCCCGCACCCCGTCTGTCTGTCCTCGCGTTTCCCACCCCGGCGACGACCTGTGAATGGTCTGGTGACCAAGTCCTCTGTCTCGTGTGCCGAAAGGCCCCCGTTGACTCGGTTCTTCTCTCAGGGATCGGCCTTTTCCCCGCCGCCCTTATGACAAACGACCTTGGCGATGACGTTGCCATCTGTTCCCCACCGGCGTTGTCAATGGGATCTCTGTAAATAGCACACAAAGCACAAGTGGTGCAGCCGCCTCGCCTGAGCGGTCCCCATCTGACCGACCCCCAAGTACATGTGCCAAGGTGCATACATCAAGCAAACGACCGTCTGTGCCGCCCCCCCCTCCAGGGAGATTGGGATGCGCAGGATGAAGGCTTGAGATGCCGTGAGCAGCCTCGGGAGCTCCCTTCTTCGGTCAAGGCCTGCGTCTGACGCTAAGCTGCCTCCTAGCGGCTTTTAACCTGCCACCCCAGGTTTCCATTTGGCTAGCCGAAGGGGACCATTCATCCTCTTCCTGTCATCTGGTTCCGACGGACGGCACCCAAACCCACTTGCGCATCGCTTCTTGACTCGCTTGAAGTTTGTTTCTTTGATATTTATTTAACACACTCTCGTCGCCCTGCCCATCGCATGCACCGCCACTGGTCTCTTCCTCACTCCTTTACTTCACTTCCCCTTGTCTCCTTTGGCCCTTGGCCGGAGCTTGGGCGTCGGTGCACCCGGCCGTCTTTGTCTCTCTTTTTTTCTCTTTGTTCCCCGCCTACATGGCGTCTTTTGATACCCCTGCGCCATAGACATCATGCCTCCAACACTAGACCTCAGCGGAGCGACGCACTCTAAGATGATCATGGCGCCGCCGAGGATCAACCTGCGGAGGGCCGCCTCATACCAGGGCGACAGAGGCCCTCTTTCTTCAACTTCGTCACGCTTCAGCTTTAACCATCTTGTCTTCGCCTCACCGCCGCCATCCCCTAGGCTTCCCACGCTGGTGCCGCCGCCTCGCAGGAGCTCGGGTGCACCGCGGCCAAGTCGTGTTCTGAAGGCTGTTTTCTGGGTCATGGTCGCCTCTCTCATGCTCTACTCGGCACTAGCTAGGGTCAAAGATTCGGCTGTCTTGTCGTGGCTTGACATGGTCGGACCGCAAGGAGCCGAACGCTACGAGATGGTGCCCTGGGATTCTCTGCCCGACTTCGCCAACCCCATCGTGCTCGACGACAGGAAACGGGGTGCCAGCTGGACCGTCTCGATCCCGCCGGGACATCGATTTCCTCTTTCGGTCAAGGAGTATGCCGAGATGCCCGCTCAGTGCCGCGAGGTTTCGAGGCGGGTCAACGAGCTCCGACAGCAGAGCAAGCACTCGATACATAACCCGTTCAGCCGCACCGACGCGAGCTCCTACTTTATTGACATTCGAGAGGCCGAGAGAGTCGGAATTCTGCCGGGCCTTCTCGGGAGAGCCAAGAAGGCGCCGGCCCCGGGCCAGCACGGCGCCGAGGAGGATCGTGGTATGGTCGGCGAACCCAAGGGCCATCTCGTGAACGGAGAGGTTTGCGCCACCAGTCTGATTTTTGTTCTCGAGTCTGCCGACGCCGGGCTCGGAAAGACGCTCATGGCCATGTGGACGGCATATGGGCTGGCCCAACAACAGGGAAGGGCCTTCTTCATCGACGACTCACGCTGGGCATACGGGGACTACACAGCTATTTTCCAACCTCCTCCGCGGCCAAACTGCCGATCACCTCCGCGTCACCAGATACTGCCCTGTCCGTACCATGCGCGCCACCTTGTGGTGACCCCCGCCACCGCCGAGGACTTCTTCACAACTGCCCTGGCTGCTGAGCTGCCGTCCCGCGAGGGAGGCCGAGATGACCCCGCCTCCGAGAGGCGACTACAGAAGGACCAGTACCAGCTGACTCGCCAAGGGCATGATGCTCTGTTCAGGCTCAATGACCAGGACGAGGCGTACGTGTCCAGGCGGGTGAAGGATCTGGCTGGCAAGGCACACAGTGGAGGCGTGGCCGTTGGGGTCCATGTGCGGCGTGGGGACCGGCGCCCGCTCGAGTACCAATATCGCGAATCATACATCCCGCTCGAGGCATACACGGAGCGGATCGGGAAGATCCTGGACGGTGCGCGCGACAGCACGGGCGCACAAAAAACGCAGGCACAGGACCCAACCCGCTCCGTGCTGCTATTAGCATCAGACGACCCCGTCGTGTACGAGTCGGAGGGGTTTGCGGCTGCGTTTAGGGCACAGGAGCAGATCAAGCTGGCCAGCAAGACGGCTATCCAAAAAGTCAACCCCGACAGGACAGTGATGCACAAGTTTGTGGATGAGGCCTGGGGCTGGGAGGGCGGCTTCTTCTCAGCAGTGTTCTGGAACCTGGGGCGGTCGTCGGTGGGCAAGGGGTCGGGCAGCTCTGGGGCGCCGCCGTCAGCCGACACGCTGAGGCTGAGGAGCCTGATCGGGAGGGCCTACATGATGGACCTGGCCGTTCTCTCGAGGGCCAGTGACTTTGTCGTCTGCACCGTTAGCGCGATGGGGTGCCGGCTCGTGGCCGTCATGATGCCCGGCGGCTGGGACGAGGCCCTTGAGGGAGGCCGATGGGTTAATATCGATGGCGACTACGGCTGGGACGGCAGCCTGTGGTGAGTGGTGAACGGCCACGTAAACGTGCGACTTGCATGCATTTTCATTGGAGTTTTGGGAGACGGTGTTATTGGCGTCACTTGGTCGGGCTTGACGCACGATGCCGCCCCCATATTGTTTGCTTTTTTACTCGATTCCCTGTCTTCTCAGTTCGTTCTGACAAGGTCCGCTTGCGGACTCACTCACCCAGCGCCTCCTTTTTGTCACTGTCTTTAACTCTCGATACTAGCGAAATACCCTCCCAGCACGTGGGATCGCGCTGTCGACATTCCCAGACGCCTTCTTATTTCTCGTTGCTGCCTTTTTTTTTCTCTCGCCTTCGCTCCTCCCTATTTGTTGCCCTTTTTGCCGCTCCTGATGTCCGGACCATCTCGGGGTTTGCAATGGCTGGCAGAGCTGGACACATGGCCCATTCTTGTACATAGATATGGAAAACCAGGTAGAACAAAAAACACCACCCAAAATGGCCTCAGCGCCTGCCGAATAATTATAAAGGGGTGCCTCGTTTGGCTGAGAGATAGAGTGCGTATGGGATATTTGCAGAAGCCGTCGTCAGCTCGGGGATGGCCTCATCAGGCCATCTCCATCAGCACTTGGCGATGCGGTGTGGAGAGCGGTATGGGCGGTAACCCAAGGGTCCACCCCGCCGCGAGGGCTGGATGGAGGAATGGTAATGAATTTCAACAGATGTCCACAGATGTCCAAAGCCGGCAGCAGCCAAGGGAAATTTCCAACATGGCCTTGTGGCGCGGTCATGGCGTGATGTTGATTGGGCCGTGGCCTTGCCTCACGCAACGCTTCTTCGTGGCCGGCCCCGCAAACCGTGAACGTATTCGGGAGGTACCTGCCTACGTGTTCCGTGACTTCCCCGTCAGCGCCGTTCGCTCGCATTCCTGTCGAACACGAATACGAGTACCAGCCAATCAGGTCATTCCAATTCGCGGGTCATGGCGGGGCCCTAAGAGTCCAGATTGGCTGTCAAGTGTGATCCAATACCAGTCAATCAATTGACATGGGGAAGAAAAGGAGATGGACTGACAAGAAAAAAAAAACCAATACTAGACGCAAGGGTGTGGTCTAGCGATTCATTGGGAATAAAGACCCTCTCCCTCGCCGCTTTCTCACCGGCACCGCAAGTGTCGCCATCATCACACAGACATCGAGTCGCCACCAAGACAAGGCACACTCTGTCTGACCGCACCGCACACCCGCCGCCCTTTCCCTCTCGCCCTCTCGTAACCGCACGCGATGGGGCTTCTCCAGGAGGTCGCGGAGCCCGTGCTCCAGCGGTTCTCCCAGCTGGGCACCGCGTCGCAGGTCGGAGCCGTCGTCGCCGGCGTCGTCTTCCTCTCCGTCTTCCTCAACGTTCTGAAGCAGGTCCTGTTCAGGGATCCCACCAAGCCCCCCGTGGTCTTCCACTGGTTCCCCCTGATCGGCAGCACCATCACCTACGGCATGGACCCGCCCCGCTTCTTCCGGGAGTGCAAGAAGAAGGTTTGCGAGCCCGACATCCCCGGCCTGTCGTCGAGTTGTTCCGGACACAAGACTGCTAACACGGCCGCGGAATAGTACGGCGACGTCTTCACCTTTGTCCTCCTCGGCAAGCCAACCACCGTCTACCTGGGCACCAACGGCAACGAGTTCATCCTCAACGGCAAGCTGCGCGACGTGTGCGCTGAGGAGATCTACACCCCCCTGACCACTCCCGTCTTCGGCAAGGATGTCGTCTACGACTGCCCCAACTCCAAGCTCATGGAGCAGAAGAAGGTGAGCTGCCGCGGAGAGAACACGCAATGGCTAAACGTGAACCCTTGCTGACCTCGCCCCATCCCTGGGTTGCAGTTCATGAAGATCGCCCTCACCACCGAGGCCTTCCGCTCGTACGTGCCCATCATCTCGGACGAGGTCACCAACTACTTGAAGAGGACGCCCGATTTCAAGGGTGAGCAGGGCGTGGTCAACATCTGCCCCAAGATGGCCCAAATCACCATCTTCACCGCCTCGCATACCCTGCAGGGCAAGGAGATCCGCGATCAGTTTGACGAGTCGCTCGCTTCGCTGTACCACGACCTCGACATGGGCTTCACCCCCATCAACTTCCAACTGCACTGGGCTCCCCTCCCCTCCAACAGGCGCCGCGACCACGCCCAGCGTACCGTTGCCAAGATCTACTCGGAAACCATCAAGCGTCGCCGCGCCCGTGGTGCCGATAAGGAGGCTCACGACATTATGTACCACCTCATGAACTCGACCTACAAGAACGGAACCCCTGTCCCGGACCACGAGATTGCCAACATGATGATCGCCCTGCTCATGGCCGGCCAGCACTCATCGTCGTCAACCAGCTCCTGGATCATGGTGCGCCTCGCCTCGCGTCCCGACATCATGGAGGAACTGTACCAGGAGCAGGTGCGCGCGTTCGGTGCGGACCTGCCCCCGCTTACCTACGAGGACCTTGCCAAGCTGCCGCTCAACCAGGCCATCATCAAGGAGACGCTTCGCCTGCACGCCCCTATCCACTCCATCATGCGCGCCGTCAAGCAGCCCATGCCCGTTCCCGGTACCAAGTATGTAATCCCGTCCAGCCACGTCCTCATGTCGGCTCCCGGTCACTCTGCCAGCGACCCTGCCTTCTTCCCGGAGCCGGATCTGTGGGAGCCGCACCGCTGGCTGGCCGACTCGCACCTTGCACCCCGACTGGGCCCCGCCGCCGACGAGGACGAGGAGAAGATCGACTACGGCTACGGTCTCGTCAGCAAGGGCACCGCGTCTCCTTACCTGCCCTTCGGCGCTGGAAGGCATCGGTGCATCGGCGAGCAGTTTGCCAATGTGCAGCTTCAGACCATCACTGCAATGATTGTCCGCGAGTTCAAGTTCCGCAACGTGGACGGTAGCAACAAGGTTGCCGGAACCGACTACGCCTCGCTCTTCTCCCGCCCTCTGGAGCCGGCCAACATCCACTGGGAGAGGCGTCGCAAGTAGGGCTGCGACATGCGCCCATTCTGACGCGACCCAGACCAAAGACCTTTTTGAAACAATAGAGGGGCAGAAGGGAAAGGAAACATTGCAGTGTATATACCTAGATTTTATACCCTTACTAGACGAGACGGCTTGGCTGGTCTGCGTATGACAGGAGGCACGTGGATTTTTGGCACGGTAGCTCGTGCTTGAACGGAACCCGTTCGGCCGCATGACGAGGACTGGCCTCTACTTTTTTGGATATGGCACACGCGTAACCTCGATAATCATAATAACTACTTCATGTTTTCCATGTTTTCATATAGAGACCCTGGCGGACGGTGCGCCGGGGGTGGGGTCGTGGCTCAGACGTCGCGGCAGGACAAGGATGGACGACGGTTAATGTCTGTGCGGTCGTCGCCATATAAGGGAAGTCCGGACGGCACTTGTATCGGACAGGTTGTGTCCTTGCCTTTAGTTAAGCGACACAACTATCATTCCCAAAAAACGAGCAGCCCTATTGCCGTCCTCTATGACCATATACGAAGTGAAATCACATACAGTCACCTCGAGCAGAAGGAAGCAAGAAAAGAAAATGACATCGGACGAAGAGCTGGGACCGCTGGTCAGGCTCTGGGGCATCAGGCTGGACCAGCTACCGCCAACGACGGCCAAAGCGGACGAGCTGGCGCCGTTTCTCGGCTCGATCCTGCGCGAGGCGATCCGGCTCCTCGACTCGGCCGTACCCAGGGCATCGACGCCGGGGCCCCAAGACGCCAAGGCGACGGCGTGGAAGAGCAAGGGACGCAGGAGGCCGGCGGGCAGCCGGGCGGAGGTAGAGCTGCTGGAGCGGACCTTTTCGGCGGCGGAGCTCGCGCGCGTCTCCTCCTCCTCCTCCTCCTCCTCCTCCCTCGTCGTCGGCCACAGGCCGACAGAGCGCATACGGGCAGAGACGTGGATCGGGCGGCGGTCGGTGCACGACGACGGCGACGACGGCGACGGTGGCAGCAGAGACGAGGCGGCGGGGGGCTTGGCCAGCTGGGCCGAGTTCCGCGACGGCCTCAAGGACCGACACGCCGAGGCCGAGGCGACCTTCACGCCGAGCATCGCGGCACACCGGAGGGCGGCGGCGTGGGACTGCGGGGGCGTCGAGGTCGAGGTGGCGGCGGGTGGTGCGGCTGGGGAGGAGGCAACGACGACGACGTGGGGCGACTTCACGCTCGCCGTGGAGGAGGCCAGGCACCGCATCGGGCGGCCGCTGCTCAGGGACCGAGTGTTTGCCGTGCTGCAGCTCACGAGCGCCGTCGTCGCCGCGCCGGCTGGCGGTGGGGACGAGTTTGTGGTTGTGAGCATACCAATCGTCGACGAGGCCGAGGGCGAGCGGGAAGCTGGGACGGTCACGGGGAAGGGGAACGGAAAGGGAAAGGAGAAGGAAGCAGGGGCGGAGGCGGAGGCGGAGGCAGAAGTGGCCAGGAAGCTTCTGCCCGTCCTGGAGCTGGCTCGGGACGGCGGGGTGGTTGTCGGGGCCTACGTCAGCGTCGAGCGGGTGCGGCGGCTGGGGGCGGGCGAGGCCGAGGCCGAGGCCGGGAAGATCGAGTGGGTCATGGCCACGGCCTCGGACGCGCGCGGCGTGCTGCCCGCCCGGGTGCAGGCCATGGCGGTGCCGAGCCAGATCGTCAAGGACGTGCCCTGGTTCCTGGCGTGGGCCGCGCAGCAGAGGCCGGCGCCCGAGGCCGTATGAGCGGGTTACCTTGGTTAGTCCACTTGCTTGGCTATCACAGCCACAAGCTCTTGAGCTTTCTCAGTACGAATATTTCCCGATTAATACCTATATATGATATCTTGCTCTATTAATGTTGCGCCTCCCTTTTTTGCCTCAAACCCCTTTTCCTCTCCCTTTACCGGAACCCGAGCCACGCCATCAGCTGCTCCTGGCATTGTGGATGTCCAGAACCAGGATGTCGGTGGCGCCGACCTTGGTTAGCTCGTCCATGACGGGCGCAATATTCTTCTTCTCCACCATGGCGCTGACGGCAACGGCCCCCTCCTGGTCAATGGCGGTGATGGTCGGGGCGCGCTTGCCGGGCGTGATGGCCGTGGCCTCGGCCAGCCTCGACCGCTCGACGTTGTATTGGCAGAGCACGTACCTCTGGGCCGTGATGACGCCACGGATGCGCGAGGCGATCAGCTCGACCAGCTCCGGGTTGCTCGGGGACTTGGACTTGATCAGGATCGCAGATGACTCCACCACCGTGTCGATGGCCATGAGTCCTGCCGCCTTCATGGTCTCGCCAGATTCTAGACGTCGAGGAGCACAGCCAGCCGGTTAGCCAACCTGGGCAAGCGACGATCGGCCAACATTGGAAGTTAAAAAAAAAAAAAAAAAAAAAAAGGGAGAACAACTAACCAACAAGGTCTACAATGCCGTCGGCCACGCCAAGGGCGCACGCGGCCTCGACACTCCCGCTCAGCTCGATGATCTTGGTGCGGAGCTTCGGGGGCGCCGACTCGCCGTCGAGGCCGGCGGCCTGCTCGAGGTTGGCAAAGTACTTCTCGGCCAGGTGGACGAAGCTGGTGCCGATGTTCTTCCCGACCAGGTCGGCCGGGGAGGCGAAGGAGCCCTTCTGTGGCACCTGGACCTGCAACTTGCAGGCGCCGAAGCCGAGGTCCAGCACCGTCTCGCAGCCGCGCTGCTGATGCTTCTGCCCGCCCTCGCCCTCGCCCTCGCCCTCGCCCTCGGGGCTGGCGAGGCCCGATGAGCCCCACCGGGCGCGGTTCGCGGCGCGGACGCCGGCGTCGTGCTCCTGGACCTGGTCCTCGCCCGTGATACCCAGGTCGACGCGGCCCTCGCCCACAAAGGTGGGGATGTCGGCCGCGGGCAGGAAGATGAGGGCGATGGGCAGGTTCTTAACCAGGGCGATGTCCAGGCGGTTCTCTCTCCTGAACTGGATGTCGGCTCCCTCGAGCAGGTTTAGGGAGTGCGCCTGCAGGCGGCCCTCTGCCACGTGGGGGAGCAAAGCGGCGTGTCAGCGCAGGGCCGTGCTGGCCTCGATTCGGATTGTCTGCGACCATCTAGAACTCTAGGGCACCCAAGGAGGGTGCTTGGGACATCTAGACGGCCATTCAGCAGTTGCACATGACTCACTTTTAGGCACCGCAAACAGGAGGCGTCCCTCGAGGCTTTTCACGAATGTCAGCGTATCCAACACGATGATATCTGAAGCAAAACGGACTGAAGATGAATAAGAGGCGCTACTCACTGGTTCACTAGATCCATGGCGGCAGAAGATACGGGTAGGTGTGGGCAAGGTGGTGATGTACGGGTCGGTGCCGGTATCGGGATCGAAGCTGCTCAAGTATTGTCACAAAGACAGGGTGGGCTGGTGGGCTGGCGCAAGCTTAAGGATATGCAAGCAAGTTCCTGCAGCATCCATCGGGATGTGGGGACCTGCCGGCCAGGCCCCACGCTCTGGCTGCCTGCATCACTGCTGTATAGAGGTACTTAGCCTTTGGTGTGTACGGCTTTTCTCCTCTTTTTTTTTTGGAATTTATTCCTGTTTCTCTTCTTATCTTCTCTCCATCTCCCTTTGCTATAACCCATCTTGTCCTAACAAGGTTATGAAACAACCCTCTTGCAGTATTCAACAAGTGCCTGGTCTAGCTCCACATATCTACAATACAGAATTCTTACGTGCCCCAGATGACGACACGCCCATCAACTCCGCTCGCTGTCAATCGATATAAATTAGCTTTTGCCCATGCCATTTCCTTGGCTTTTGCGCACGTCGACTTACAACTGAACTTGGCCAGGCCCGAAGCGGATTCTTGGTAGGGGCGTATGGTGCTGATGGTGTTCTGGTGGACCGTCTTGAGCTGGGTGTCGTCCTTGGCCTTGCCCCTCAGGTCCATTTGGCGGAACATGTTGAGGGCAGACTCTTCGCGGCCCTCGGACAGGCCGGCGGGGCGGCTTTTGGCCTCGAGGGTGCCGCTCAGTTGCCAGCCTTGCTCGCCACCCTGGAAGCGGAAGGCCTCGCAATCGTAACCGGCGGCGATAATCTCGGCCTCACCGTTCCAGATGAGGCCCATAAATGGCAGCAGCTGGGTGGTGATGCTAATGAGGGCGCGCGGCGGCTGGTCAGGCCCGCCGGGGTAAACGACGGTGATGGAGCTGTCGTGGGCGGCAAAGGCCAGAGCGTCGCCCGAAGGCGAGAAGGCGACGGCGTGGACCCAGCCGGCCGAATTGTTGAGGTACTCACCGCAGACCGTGTTGAAGGGCAGGCGCTCGCCCCAGGCGCTGGGCTCGGGCTTGGTGTCGACGCCCTTAATGAAGCTGCTGAAGACGCGGGCGTGGGCGTCGGTGGAGCCGGCGGCCAAGAGCACCGAGTTGGGGTGCCAGGCAACCGTGGTGATGGTGCTGCGGATGGGCTTCTTAAGGTGTTTGGACACCCACCAGTCGTTCTCCTCCTCGAAGTAGCAAATGGCGATCACGCGGTCGCCCGAGCCGACGGCGAACTTGGTCTCGCTCGGCGACCAGCGCACAAAGGTGGCGGCCCGGTTGATGCGGAGCAGCACGAGCGTCGGCTTGTAGCCCGTGGGCGAAGGCTCCCAGACCAAGGCATTGCGGTCTATTTGCGGCAGTGGCCCCGGGCGCGAGGCGTGAGCGGGTGCCAAGGTACGGACAAGTCATGGGGGAAAGGGGGTGATTGACCTTGCGAGCACGAAACGATGCGGCCCGAGTTGGGGGCAATGTCGACGCTGGTGACGGTCTTGTCGTGGGCCTTAAGCTCGTCCTTGAGCTTGAAAGCAGAGCCGACCTTGGAGTAGAGCTCGACGGTCGAGTCGCGCGCAATGGCCAGGGTCTGGCGGTCGGCCGAGAAGGAGTGGTCGGCGATGGGGTTGTGGAAGAGGTGGTGGACTTCGGGCGGCGCCATGGCGGGCAGAAGAAGGGGGTGCACGGTTCGTGATAGGAGTGGCTCTCGACTATCACGGTGCCGGACCTGTAGGTAGTAGGTAGGTGCCTAGGTAGGTAGGTAGGTAGGAAGCTGGCAATGGTTGATGGATGGGAGCAGGGTCGACGTCTTTGGTACTCGGCGCATGCAAGCTGCAGGTTCAGGGCCAGTGACAACGACAAGCCGCCTTCAGTCAATGCATGCGCAGGACTGGCCCAGCGACGTAACTGGGTGGGGTTAGTACCAAGACGCAGGTCACGCAGGGGCTCCCACGTCCCACACCGCCCGAGCTTCAGGCGTAAAACCAGTGCGCGTGATTGGTGATGAAAAGTGCGGTGTTTTGTTCTAGGCTAAGGCCCGGAAGGCCGAGTGCTACGAAGAGTGCATAAGGTGGGCTTCAAGGCCCGTGCGTAGGCTGATGACTCATCCCACCTGACAGGCGGGAGCTGTGTCCCGCCTTTTTCGTGCGAATCCTGAGCAAGCAGCAGCGAGACGAGCTTCCATATGTGTTTGACCTCGACGCGACAACCACCCTCTCCACCAACAAAAGGGCACGCCCTGCATCCTCGCGCCGCACCGCGCCGTGCCAACGTCTGCACCTCCTCGACAAACGACAAACTCTCGCACAGACAGGATCTCTCCGACACGGTCTCCCCGACAGGGTCCCTCAGACACAATGGCCACGGCCTCGGCCGCAGCCCCGCGTGGCGCTGGCCTGCCAGCCAAGGTCTCGCAGGTCGCCCCGAATCAGACGTGAGTGTGCCGTTCTGGCGCTTTACACCGATAGACCGTACGGGCAGCCACTGAACCCCGCCTGCGACCTCCAACAGGCTCTACGTGCGAGACATACCCTCGTCGAGGGGATTGCAGAAGCAGGACATGCGCATGGCCCTATATATGCTTTTCTCAACATACGGCCCTGTGCTCGACGTTGTCGCTCTCAAGACATCCAAAATGCGCGGACAGGCCCATATCGTGTTCCGGGACATACACGCCTCAACACAGGCCATGCGCTCTCTACAAGATTTCGACTTTTTTGGGAGCAAACTTGTAAGTCTGGCACCGCCTTCACCCTTAGCGAGCGTGTGATGACTGATGGAAGAAATCCTGCCATGGGTAGAAAATCGAGTACGCCAAAACAAAATCAAACACAGTTGCCAAGCTGGACGGCACATTCAAGCTGTCCAACCCATCAGCATCCACAAACGTCCAAGTCACGGAACTGCAGCAGAGTATTTTCAACGCGCCTGTGCCAGGGGCCGCAGCTCACGGGCTTCCCACCAAGCCCCCCTCAGCTGGCGACCACGCCATGAAGGACGCCGATTCCGCCGAAAACAGGGGCCAAAAGCGAGTCAGGGATGAGGAGGATGAGGATGAGGATAGTGACGTCGCCATGGAGGAGGACAGCGACGACGAGTAGGCTTACTGTCAACCATACTTTTCCGGTTCAGACCGGGCCTACTCGCGCGAAATCCGGTGTGGCGATCCGGCCTCCAAACGCGACTCGGGGAGGGAGAGGAGACACAACCGTCTCAGCCCTCCGTATGGCACGCCTTCTTGGAGCCTTGTTAGACGGCCACCACCCAAGTCTGCTACGCCAATGCCATCTCGGTTGGCACCCAGAGGCCAACGCAGCCACCCACCAGCCCCAACCAAACCATCAGATAGTCTTCTCTGGAGCAGTCGAAGTCCGACATTGCATCTCCAAGGAGGCATGGGTGGATGAAGAAGGTTGGCAGACCTGTTATGGGATGGTGCTGAAGATAGGCGGGGGAAACAAAGAAAAATGACAGAAAGAGGACGCAGCGTGTTAGTATAGACCGACCGGCCCTGAACTCGGAAGAAACTCGGAAGAAGGCTGCATATCCAGACTTGCTTACATCTGCTGAGATGGCCCCAATCGGCCCTTGCGTCCGGAGCCGTTCTTTGAACTGGTCGGGAACCAGGCGCCGGAAGACCGTATCCAGGTCCAGCGCTGGCTCGTCGGCTGGCAGTCCGCGCAGAGAGAACCATAGGCACGGCACTCGGTAGGTAGGGTGCAGGTGAACCTCATAGGTGACGCTGGGCAGCTCTTCGGGAGTGGGTCGGCTGGGCAGGGCCGACTGGCACGGAGGACTCTTGGTTCAGTCGCAGCGAGGGGAGCTGTGTGGCATGGCAAGCTGCGGGGAGGCGGAACATACCGAATCCGCGTCTTCGAGGTCCATCATGTGCTGGTCGGCGCCAACGTGGGCGGCAGTATCTTCATCGACAGCGCCGAGTGAGAAGCCGCCGAGTTGGGCAGAGAGGCCAGCGTCGTCGAGGGCGAGCTCGGCAGCGGTGATGGGGCGGACTATCTGGACATATGTGCTGTACTCGGGACCCAGGGCAAAGCAGGCGTCGAGGGCAGAGATGACGTTGAGCTTCCACTGCTTGCGGAGCGGGCCCAGAGCGGCACGTCGATACCTCCTGTCGAGCTGATGGCAGGTCTCGGCAAACTCGTCGGCGTGGAGGAAGGGATACTCCCGAAAGTCGGAGCTCCTTTTTGCGCGCATCGGGACGTGATTTTGGTCGGATTAAGCACCAGGCTTATAGACAGGTGCCTAGGTTCTAGGTTCCTACCTAGGTAGATACAGGTAGACGGTAGACAGCCCTTTGTACCCAAGACGAAGTTGCTCGATCGTGGGGGTTTTGGAATGATGGTGTCCACACACATTTCAAAGGCCACCCCTCCCAAGAAATACCCAGCTAACAGCTCTTGGTACCTAAACTCGGCGCTGTGTAATTGTTGGGTTGGCACATTACACCCATCGCAACTTGTCATGTTACCATTTCATACTACTCGTAATATGCATTTGAAGCCAAACTCATATGTAAAGTTTGACCCGAGTTGGCCCACTGCCTCTGGCTGTAGTATGCGTGCCCTTTTCACAGAAGTGGCAGGCCGGAGGTGGTAAAGAACAAGGCTGGGCACCCGCAAACAGAAAAAATAAAGAATGACGGCAGGGCTGCACTAGGGCGACGGATTGGGCAGTGGTGGCTGTTTTTGTTTTGTTTTGCTAAATCAGTTAGGTGGTCGAATGCCGATTGGAACTCACTGGCCAGGTGGTTTCTAAGCCCGTCACTTGCTTCTGCGAACACATATCTAATCACCAACCTGCTCGTCTATCTCCTAGCCTTTATTCGGGCTGCTCAACTGCAATCTTCATCGTCACCAACTGCTTTGCCGTCGCCATCATAATTCCACTCCGCCGACCTCGACCCACCTCCACATACCTGGCCTGGGTGGGAACCTTTGTGGCTGCCAGGGTCAATCGGTCAGAGCTGGCTGGGGCTTCCAAGATCCGCACGATTTGCCTTGACTCGATCCCAAGGGGAGAAGAGGCCCCTTGGACAAGCTATCCCCCCCCTGGAGCCGAGGTGGAACGCCACGTCGCAGCAGTGGCAGCGAGCCAGGGGCCCCCAAATATAGGTGGCAGTAACCACGGCTGAAGCCGCCGCTCCCGCTCCCGCACAAGCCGAGCTAGCTCAGCAAAGCGCACAGCACACAGCACGCAGCAGCGACAGCCTCCTCGCCGCCGAGGCCATGTCGTTCGCAGTGCCCAAGCATGTGCCGTCGTCGTTTGGGAACCCACAGCAGCGAGAGTTGGAAGACCATCTGTGGGCATCCTCGCGCGCACAACAGCAGCAGCACCAGCGCCACATCCACGGCGGCGTGCTTGGTGGCGTTCAGGACCGCGTCGGCGGCTTCTTCGACCCAGCCCGCCGGGCCGCCCTCCCGATGTACAAAGACAAACCATACGCATACCCGCCCTCCCACCGCAGCCGCCCCATATACCGGTCCAAACGAGGAGTCGGATTCCTGTTCCTGGCCGTCATCGGCCTCTTCTACCTGAGCGGCGCCTTCGAGGAGCACAGGGAAAAGGTCACGAAGCCGTTGCGGGCCTGGTCATGGCCCCCTAACGGCGGCAAAACGGCCCTGGGCGCCAAGGTCGATTGGCTACAACGGAGGGCGCGCGTGGTCGATGCGTTCGAGCTGAGCTGGGCCGCCTACGAGCGGTACGCGTGGGGCTACGACGAGTTCTATCCCGTCTCCAAGCACGGACGGCAGATGGCCAAGAGCGGGCTGGGCTGGATCATTGTGGACTCGCTCGACACCATGATGCTCATGAACCTCACGGCGCAGCTGAGCCACGCGAGGCAGTGGATCTCCAAGTCGCTGACGTACGACCAGGACCAGGACGTCAACACGTTCGAGACGACGATACGCATGGTGGGCGGGCTGCTGTCGGCGCACTACCTCTCGACCGAGTTCCCCGACATGGCTCCGCTGGCCGAGGACGACCCCGGCACGCCCGGCGAGGACCTGTATCTGGAAAAGGCCAAGGACCTGGCGGACCGGCTCTTGTCGGCGTTCGAGACGCCGTCGGGCATCCCGCTGGCCAGCGTCAACCTGGGCAAGTTCCAGGGCATCGCGTCGCACTCGGACGCGGGCGCATCGTCGACGGCCGAGGCCACGACGCTGCAGCTCGAGTTCAAGTACCTGGCCAAGCTCACGGGCGAGAAGATGTTTTGGGACAAGGCCGAGAAGGTGATGGAGGTGGTAGACGGGTTGAACGAGTGGGACGGGCTGGTGCCCATCTACCTGGACCCGGCCACGGGCAAGTTTCGGGGCGAGAACATCCGTCTAGGCAGCAGGGGCGACTCGTACTACGAATACCTGATCAAGCAGTACCTGCAGACCAACAAGAAGGAGAAGGTGTACAGCGACATGTGGCACGAGGCCATGGGCGGGGTGCGCAAGCACCTGGTGTCGTACACGGAGCCCTCGGGCTTCACCATCATCGGGGAGCGGCCCGACGGGCTCGGGCGGCCGCTGTCGCCCAAGATGGACCACCTGGTCTGCTTCATGCCCGGCACCATCGCGCTGGGGGTCACGGGAGGGCTGACCGAGGCCGAGGCGCGGCGGCTCAAGACGTGGACGCGGCAGGACGAGGCAGACATGCGGCTGGCGCGGGAGCTGATGCACACGTGCTGGGGCATGTACAAGTACATGGCGACGGGGCTGGCGGCCGAGATCACCTTCTTCAACGTGGGGGACCCGGCCGCGCGCGAGGGCGACGCGCACGCGACGCCGCCCGACCACTTCTCCGAGGACCCCCAGGCCAAGTGGCGCAAGGACTACGTCGTCAAGGAGGTCGACTCGCACAACCTGCAGCGGCCCGAGACGGTCGAGAGCCTCTTCTACATGTGGCGCATCACGGGGGAGAACAAGTACCGCGAGTGGGGGTGGGAGATGTTTGCGTCCTTTATGGAGCACACGGCCGTGCCCGACGGCGGCGGCTTCACGAGCTTGTCCAACGCCGACCAGATGCCGCCCGTGACGCGCGACAACATGGAGAGCTTCTGGCTAGCTGAGACGCTCAAGTACTTTTACCTCCTGTTCTCGCCCAACGACGTGCTACCGCTGGACCGCATAGTCATCAACACCGAGGCGCACCCGTTCCCTCGCTTCGACATGGGGCCGCTATTCTCGACGGGCTGGAGCCGAAAGGCGCGGGGGAGCGGCGACGGCGGCAGCAAGAAGGACGCCAAGAGCACGCATTAGATGGTCAGATAAGAGCAATGTCGGAGTACATGGTATGGGATCTGTGTTGCATTTTTTGTTTGGGTTGGTTGGCCGAGCTCGGGTAATGATATAAAATACATAAAATGTCGGCCCGGACAGGCTGGGAGGTCGTTTGGCATTTTGTAGCATTTCCAGTTGGTACCGATCTTATTTTCTTGGCTTGTTTTGGGTGCTACCCGATGCTACGTGAAAGTGCCAAAGCGAAGGAGCGCAGTTGTTAGTGGCTTTATGGGCAGGTGCCAGTCGCGTGCTTATCAGGCAGCCCAGCTGTGCTTGCCGTTTGACACCTCTCAAACCCTGCGTGCGTGCGTGCCTGCCTAGCCCAGCTGGCTGAGAAGCTAGGGGCGTGTGTCTCGATGATGCAAGGCGATTGATACGAGAGACTGATCAAATCCCCCAGAAACGACGCCCCCCTCAAAAAAATACAAAAAAAAGCAAAGCCACGTCCGCCCCCATCGCATCGCATCGGACCGAATCGCATTCGCGATCAGTGCAGCCACAGCGCAATGCACCCGCCGACGCTCGGTTCGCCGACGGCGCCCAGCACCAGCACCAGCACCAGCACCACCCACAGGATGCCCCCCGGCGGCGGCGGCGGCGGCGACATCGAGCTGAGCCTGCTGCCGGGCAAGGAGGACAGCGTCGCCCAGGGCAGCAACTACAGCATGCGTGAGCCCACCTACGAGGACGAGCCGCGGCAGGGCCCCCTCCGCCGCTGGGCCGACAGCTTCCGCCGCGACCCGGCCATGCGCATCACCCCAAAGGCCGTGCCCATATCGCTGGCCCCCGGCACCCCGCCCGGCCGCGGCGGTGGCGGCATGCTACCCGTCCCGCTACCCTCGCGCGACCCCGAGGACGGCGGGCACTTCTTCGACATGCACGGCGCCGCCCTCGCCACGGCCAACTCGGGCCTGTCGCGCGAGCTCAAGGGCCGCCACCTACAGATGATCGCCATGGGCGGCTCCATCGGCACCGGCCTCTTCGTCGCCTCGGGCAGCGCCCTCAGCACCGGCGGGCCGGCCTCGGTCCTGCTCGCCTACTGCATCATCGGTCTGATGCTCTACTGTACCGTCCATGCCCTCGGCGAGCTGGCCGTCGTCTTCCCCGTCGCCGGCTCCTTCTCGGCCTTCTCCACCCGCTTCCTGGACCCGTCGTGGGGCTTCGCCATGGGCTGGAACTACGCCCTGCAGTGGCTCGTCGTCCTGCCCCTCGAGATCATCGCCGCCTCCATCACCATCAGCTACTGGAACGACCAGCTGGACCGCTCCATTTTTGTCACCGTCTTCCTCGTTGTCATTGTCGCCATCAACCTGTTTGGCGTCAAGGGCTACGGCGAGGCTGAGTTTATCTTTGCCATCATCAAGGTCACTGCCGTCATTGGCTTCATGTGAGTATGCTATTTATTTGTTGGTCTTGTTGTATCCCCCGCCAAGGGCCTGGCCTGGCTGACAGCACCAGTCTCCTCGGAATCGTCATCAACATCGGCGGCACCAAGGATGAGGGCTACATCGGCACAAAGTACTGGCACGACCCCGGCGCCTTCAACAACGGCTTCAAAGGCCTCTGCTCCGTCTTCGTCACGGCCGCCTTCGCCTTCGCCGGCACCGAGCTCGTCGGCCTGGCCGCCGCCGAGACGGCCAACCCCCGCAAGTCGCTGCCCACGGCCATCAAGCAGGTCTTCTGGCGCATCACCATCTTCTACGTCGTCGCCCTCACCGTCGTCGGCCTGCTGGTGCCCTTTGACAACCCCGACCTGATGGGCGCCACCTCGGTCGTCGACCTCAACTCGAGCCCCTTCGTCATCGCCATCGAGAGCGCCGGCATCGAGGTCCTGCCCTCGGTCATGAACAGCGTCATCCTCATCGCCGTCCTCAGCGTCGGCAACAGCTCCGTCTTCGGCTCCAGCCGCACCCTCGCCGCCCTCGCCGACCAGGGCCAGGCGCCCCGCATCCTGTCCTACGTCGACCGCCGCGGCCGGCCCCTCGTCGCCATCCTGCTGTCGTCGTCGCTCGGCCTCATCGCCTACGTCGCCAACCACCGCGACCAGGAGATCATCCTGAACTGGCTGCTCGCCGTCTCGGCCCTGAGCTCCATCTTCACCTGGGGCAGCATCTGCCTGGCCCACATCCGCTTCCGCCGGGCCTGGATCCACAAGGGCAGGTCGCTCGGCGACCTCGCCTTCCGCGCCCAGGCCGGCGTCGCCGGCTCCTGGCTCGGCTTCGTCCTCAACGTCGTCTTCCTCGTCGCCCAGTTCTGGGTCGGCATCTGGCCCCTCGGCTTCGAGCACAAGACCTCGCTCGAGGTCGCGTCCGAGTTCTTTTTGCGCTGCATGGCCGTCCCCATCGTCCTCATCATGTGGCTCGGCCACAAGCTCTACTACCGCACCTCGTTTGTGCGCACCGACGACATGGACCTCGACACGGGCCGCCGCGACTTTAACCTGCCCATCCTCATGGCCCAGGAGGTCTCCGAGAAGGGGTCCTGGCCCACTTGGAAAAAGTTGTATAGATACTTTTGTTAGATTCTTTTTTTCTTTCTCTTTTTCTTTTCGTTGATTGTTTGTATTGTTTCTTGCCCTCGTCTTTTCTGCCTATACCTCCTTTTCCTATACGTTCCTCTACCTTCTTGGATACGATACGGTGAACAAGGTCGGCCAGAAGCATTAAGTTTGTGCATGAATCCCATGCCCTTGTGTGCACATTAAACTACGACAGACATGGTTATCCCGCCCCAAGGGCTTTTGAATAGAGTGAATAAATTTGCAAGACCTGTAACTTTGATGTAACAAGCAGCCGAGCATGGAACCGAGTGAATGGCAGGTGAACTTTTTATGAAACAAAATGGCTATCTGCGCAAAGCTGCCAACAAGACATGGGAAAGGGCGCCAGCAGCGCTGCATGAGCTCGACACTTCCGTGCTCGGTCTAGCTCTGTGCTCAGTCATGAGGAAAAAGTACAAAGTCTACGTAATCGTGAGCAGCGTGAGGCGCATCACATCATAATAAAGACAATATGGGAACCGAAGAGCCATCACGGAGAGATAGACTGGCACGCGTCGCGCCTCTCAAAAGTCCCAGAAGTTGCCCGACTTGACGGGGACACCTTGCTTCTTGCCAGCAACGGGGCGAGGCTGTAGCGTCTCCTCGGCCTCCTCGGCCTCCTCGCTGTAGAGCCAGTCTCGGTTGGTCCCCTTCTTGCCGCCCACTGGTGATGCAAGATAACAATGGTTAGCAGGAAGAGCGAATTAAGCCAACCAGACGGAACTGAAATATTGCACTTACTTCCGTCTCCGCCGATGACGATTCCGCGCTCGTCCGTCTTCTTGACGCCGCGAGCGACCGGGAGGCTGTTCTCCTTCTGGGAGGCGGGAGACTTGTCGTACGAGGACCAGTTGGCCTCCATGTTCTTGACGGCCTTCTTGCGATCCTCCGGGACGGGTGGCCTGGACACATTGGCGCCAAATTCGGATTGCCTGGGGCTGTCGTCAGTCATCTCAAACTTGGAGTTGAAGTCGCGGCGCCTCTCTTTGATGTTCGTTATGTTGCCGAGCACACGCGAGTCGGTATCCTCCGGGGGTGCCGAGCCGTCGGCGCTGTACAGGTTGTTCTTGTACAGGCCGAGGCCGTCGTTGTGGCCGGCGCCGCGCGGCCTGCCGGCCGGGCGCGGCTCGCCACTAGGTTCGCCGTCGTCCTGGAGCTCGAAGTGGGCCGCCGCGTCCCGACGAGGCTTGGGCGGGGCGGGCTTCTGGGCCACTGGCGTCTCAGCTACTTCGCTGTTCTCGGTGCTCCAGTGCCGCTCCTCCTGAGACCACGTGGGTCGGGGACGCGGCTTCGAAGGAGTTGTGAAGTCCTCGAAAGCCCACTGACTCTTGTGCTTTCCGTTCGCCACATCCTCAAACGCGGTGCCCTTGACAGGCGCGTCCTTCGGGTCACTACCGTCGACAAAATCAAAATGCTCGTACTTCTTGGGGTTTGGGCGGTAGAAGCGGTCGGGGGCCCTCTGCTCGGGCGAGTCGGGCCCCTGGGCCTCGGCCGCGCCATCGAAGAGCCGCATAGGCTGGAAGTTCTTGCCAGCCCCGCCCTTGGGCGCAATCACGCTCTTGGAGGGGGAGTCGCCAGACACTCCCGAGCCATCGTCGTCCTCGGGCTCATCGCCGAGGATCTCGGTGAAGGACCGCTGGTGGGGTCGCGTCTTGCCGGCGTAGGGGGAGATGATGCTCTCGGGCTCGGGTTCCTCGGCGCGGGGGGCAAAGAGGTTCAGGGTCGCGTGCGGGTCGCGCATGGCATTGGTCGAGCTTCCGCGCGAGCGCGAAGCCAGGTCTGCCGCTTCCGTCGCGGCGGCGGAGCCGCCAACGCACTTGGTGATCAGCTTGATCTGGTCCTTGCTATCCCGGATAGGCCAGTTGCGGCCGCTCCTGCCAATAACATCGAGCTGTTTCAGGAGCGAGGCCTGGTCCCAAGACTGGCGAATCTGCACGATCTTGCCGGCCCTGTCAAAGGCCACAAAGTGCGTCTGTTGCCAGGGCAGAGTCTAGGTTAGCTGGTTGTAGCTGCAGTAGATTTAGAGCGACGGGCTACGCACCACAACAAGGTGGACACCGCGGTCAGTAACAAAGTTGTCGTCCAGCCCAGGGAGATACGGCCCGCCGCTGACGGTGAACTCGAGCGAGGTTTCCGTCTCGAGAGCAATGCCGAGACCATCGCGACCCTCGATGGAGGAGAGGATATCCTCCTTGGTCTTGTTGAGGTGCTTGCGCAAGTCAGTGAGATGCTGGACAACTTCGGCGTCACCAGCGACGGTGGTGGTGGTGGTTATGTAGCTCAGCGACGCGTTTTCGGCCAGGGCGGACGGGTCCGGCGCAGCGAGGAAGCGCAGGTAAGCGTTCTGTAGCGCCATTGTGTTTGTTTATGTCGGCCTGTTGTTGGCGACTGGGCGAGAAGGCAAGGGTGCGTGTTGCTCGTCGGACGACGAACAAGCTTCCCGAGGGAAATTATGCGTTGCAGGTGGAAGAGCCGGCGATAAGGTAGAAAGTCAAGAAGCCACGACAAGAGAAGGGAACCTTGTGTTCCGGACCAGTGGTAGGCACCTGTACCTGCACCTGAGCTTGGACCTGGTGCGCCTGGACCTCTGGACCTAGGCTGGATAGAAGAAGACGAAAGAAGCGCGAAGGCAGAGACTACCTAACCTGGATACTGGTATGACAGAGGGAAGCAGCCAGAAAGGTGCGATGGGGGCGAGTGAGGGTGAGAAAAGGACGGCGCGTCAAGCAACAAACAGCCGGAGAGGGAGGAATGAATTGGTGATGGAGTGCCAGCCGGGCAAAAAATCAGAGCCAGGCAACTTATTGAGCGGAGGGAGGCGCGAGCCGGCAGGCGTTTGAAAGGTGGGGGGAGGGTGCTCCCCCCCATGGTCCCCCTGCCCTGCGCATTGTTTTGTTGACATCTGCCTCATTACAGCAAGCAGCAGCCAGGAGTGCCAGGGCAGAGCACGGGCAGGCGAGGTTTGATCCTTCGCGAACAAAAAGCAGGTACCAGCCGGGCGGACCCACTGGAGTCTGGTCGCCTGCATGCACGCCATCAATTGCGAGCCTTGCCCCTTCCGACCTTGCGGGACTAGATGGATCTCAAATGACGGCATGTCGCATTCGCATCGTGGAGAGAGAAGGGAGAGGCAGCAGAGGGAGACAGTCAGGCAAATAGACAGAAATCGGCAGCAACTTCAAACATGAGGTGTCGCCATGTGCCACTGGGTATCCCGAGTACATTTTGGCTTTCGCTGATGGGTATATAGACATTTCCCTCTTTAAGGGTGCAGTAATGATGGGAATTCCAAGGGCGAAGGAAGCAAACAAGGTTGGCTGTGCGCCAGGCCAATCGTAGACCTGGTCAGATCCGAGGGGCCCCTGACGGCTCCTGACCCCGTACTTAGCCCCGCTTCCAACTGCCCCGCCTACAAATCATAGACTGGCTGGCACTTCACACTCTCTCTTTCTGACACGCATAAGGCTTCATTTGGCACGTCCAAGCGAAGGCGCAAAGATAATTTGCATCCAGTGCCAATTCTTCCACCAAGTTGCGACTGAGCCATCGCTCTCTCCCGACGCCTACAATCCCATCGCTCCTACTTGCCGCAGTCGACTTCTGGGCAGTTGCCCTCCTTCCATATTCCAAAAATCCGAGGTTTTCAAAAGGGAGGCAAGAATCTGTTGAACGTTTGTTCTGATTACTAGATAAAAAGATACCGAGTCCTTCTTGGAAAGGAGTCTCGGGCAGGCACTGTGGTAGGTTGCCCAGGCAAATATTGGGTGAGTGTAGCCAGCTAGCCGTCTGTCCCCGACAGTTCCGTCCTATGAACGCCATGAAATGCAGCCCCAAACTCCAGCGAGTCGCGTAACAGTCGTGGGCTCGTGTGCTCGTGACTGTGCGGCGCCTCTTCTCCAGGAAGAGTTAGAGCGCACCGAGAAGAAG